GTTAGGTTAACTCAAACAAATATGTTTCATAAAAATTCTTAAGACAAGTTGGGGAAGTATACACAGCACTTTCTTAAGTCCTTAAGGTTAATTTCTTAGGGTTAATGTTAAGGATAAGGTTAGAACTAATACTCGAAACAATGACTAAAGAATCCAAGGAGAGCAAATTGTTACCATGTCACCAAACAGTGCCGTGGCACATATTTTTCTTAACTTAGCTGTTTGAAGAGATATTTATATTTTTTGATTAATACTTTGACTGCGCCTACGGTGTATACGGTGGTATCATACTAATTAATTACGAAAAAAAAACGTATTAAAATATTGATAAAAGGTACAAAACTAGTATCGACGTATAGCACACATCAAGTACAAATAATATCAGAAAAATAATTATCGAAGTCAATAACAAAACGCTAAAAAGATGGAGTGGACTGTTTATTTACCTATGAAACGTAACTCCTGGCTCTTTCTTATCGCTGTGGCTTTTACACTTGAAAGCTGAACAACTAATCACCATTGTAATAAAGTTTATACAAAGTTCACTACACCAAACTATTAAAAATCGCTAAAATTGTCGCTGATGACTCATTCGTTGCCATCAACAAAATGGCGTCTAATGTCACAACTTCTGCTGCAGCCCGTATATGGGCGTTACATGTCCTTGTGTCCTTTAGCCATTGACTCGAAATATCAACCAACCATTAGTGTGAACGATGACACGTTTATATTAAAGAAAATGTCACATTTTGAGCCAAAAATAAGCCTGATAATAGCATAATTTAATATATTTTGTTAAAATACGTTAAATCTGTTATGTAAATGCCCTGACGTGACGTCAAATCGTGCTTTATGCTGGCAACAGAATATCTACACCCTGTTCCGTATCTAGAGATTGTATGGTCTAAGTTAAAAACGTTTGGAATTTTCTTAACTACGTATATATCATATTAAATAAAAGTTCGGACGAACAGTTCAGTCCCGATAAAGCTCATAAACAGTGTATAAGATACGATTACTTTTAATACATAAACGATCTGCCTTAAAATTCGAGATTTTATTTTATTATGTTTTTTTTGCGTTTTTTCAAACTTTTTTTACTTTTTTTTATTATATACATATAAATTTAAAAACCGCCGGACCCGGTGAAATAATCGACCGAGTTTCGGCGGCCCGAAAAATAACAAGAGCCTAAGGTCACAACTAACCTGAAATACTATTATCACAGGCATGTAATACCATAGCGGGCAATATAATAATGGTTATTGTAATTTGGCGCCCGAAACGGTTAAGTTTACGTCTTACAGGGGCGATAGTCAAGAAATGATTTAGCAAAAAAGAAATCTAACTCATTTCGTGATAAAATTCTATACAAAAAAACGATTTTGTAATTTTTTTTTCTGGATGCAGGTTTCCTTAAATGATGTGTTCATCAGGTAAATTATTAAAACCGCTGAATAAAAAAGGGAGTGTCGAATGTGCTCTATTTAAATATTCGTTTATTAAAGAAGGAAAAAAGTCATGAACATCATTGATGTCAGATTTGTAAAACATTATTTTGTAATATTTCTTATTTATTCGACAAATATTGATTTTATGTAAAGTGTATAAATCTGGAACAACATTGCGTCAAACCACAAAATACATTGAAATTATTCTAAATCTTAGAAACAGACTTCAAAAGCGAGTGATAATACTCGGAATAAAAACGTAATAAATAATAGAGCAAGTTTAAACTAGTCTGTAACTTTGTTACAACTTGTTTTAATGTACTTTTTTATTTTATTAAACATTTTTCATCGATCAATTATAGATTTTATTGACATTTATTATTTTAAGGTGAAAAAACAGAAAATTATTGAGTGTAATCTACTTTAAATTTTAACGTTTAAAAAAATTGAACACAACTGATAACCGGAAGTCAAGTCGGCCATATTGAAACGCCTTCGCGATCACGTTAAACTTGTCAATAAACTTTTTTCTTATACATAGATAGTGATTGCTAAAATGTATTTGAAAAATTGATTGAAAAATTACAATTAATAATAAACAAAATGTGTATATAATGGTTGCGTATAAAAACAATGATTATACAAGTTTGTTCTAAGTTAACAACCCCTTTAATAGAAAAAAAAATTATTTAGAAAGTAATCCATATAACTTATGTACTATATCTATTTTACTTCTGTAAAATACATTATATACATGAGTAAAATACTCTATAAAAATAAACTTTTCTATTTGTACTACCGGATGATTATCAAATTACTTAGTTGATTTTAGTAAAAAATTGATATTCTGATAAATATTTACTATAAAATGCCATTTTTTTACTTTAAAACATACTCTAAAAATTAATGATAAAAAATGGTTTGATATAATTTACCATCTCTGATGACGACAACCTAATAAGCAAAACGTACATCCTGAGAATTAAAAAAAGTGTTTTGATTATCAAATTTCGAAAAATAATTGTTTTCAATTTAGGTGAACCAAATTTTTAGCGAAATTTTTTAATAAAATATTTTCTATATCAAAATTTCAACACGAAATTCATTAAATCAAATTTAGAAACTGGTTTTTCACTCCTTAATTTGAAACATATTTTATAAATAATATTTTATCTAATTTTCGTGTAAGAAATACCCTTCGAAAAATCTCACGTTCCGTTCATGACTACCGCCCCCCGACATTATCAGAAAAAGTAAACACGCACGCAATCATAAACACGGATGAAACATTATCATAACTTTTTGATGTTGATTTTTTGGGTTGATCGTATTCACAACAAATATTCTTGAAACGCGTGTGACTATGTTGTAGCGTTTTGTACTGGTAAAACTAGTGCAGAATCTATACAATATCCCAAAAAAGTTTTTGTTTTACTTGTAGCCACTGAATTTTTTTCTAAAACCTATTTTGGAAGATCGCAATAAATTCATAAAAATTTTGGTGTACCTTTTCTTAAAAAAATTGCGTATTATTATTATGATTTTTAACATAACCTCCTTCCCAATTGACAATCTAAGTTGTTATGTCACTTCAGCCCTTCCAAACAACACCATAAATATAGATATAAAACCAAACCATAAGCAATTTTATGATTTCATTTTTCCAATTTGCTATTAACAAATATGAGTTCTTGGGTATTTATTTGAATATAACGTACGCTCCTGAAGAGGTTTTCCTATAATTTGATAAAAGTAATAATAATAATAGCTCCCGTATATAGCGTTTAACGCCTTCGGAGTAGCAAGGCACATCTTGCTATACTAGAGCCGTTCGGTAAACAAGGAAAGGTAATGTGGCTAGCACTACGCTTCAACCGCCTATTATTACCTCAGGATTGTGAATCCCAAGTACTCATTTAAGGCTGAGTCGACCTAGGTACCCAAACTATTTTTATTTTAACAAAAACAGTCGGCTGATGCAATGCCGGGTATGGGATTCGAACCCACTACCTTGAGATTGGTAGACGAGAGCCTGTACCTCTACGCCACCGGGCACCTTATTTGATAAAAGTAAGTCTTCAAAATAATCCAGTAGTTTAGGGCAGTTTGAAGTTATACTCTTTGATGATTTCTTTTGTGAGTAAAATGGCTTAAAAAAATTATAGAACATTAACTGTATTTATAGCTTTGTCTGGAAAGGTTAAACTACGCCCACTGACGTGACGTCAAACTGCTAGCCATTGTTTGATAGGTTAGAAATCCTTGAATTTCTAAATTTTAATTCGCAAGTGTGAAAAGTTTTATAATTTAAGAAACCCAGGATTTATTTATAAATATGTATTAAAAATCACTTTATAATATATCGTTTTTATAGGTTATATTATCGAAAATTGACGTTTAAATGTCATCATTTGACAGTTTAGAAGCTACACTAGTTTAATCACTACAAATCGCCTTTAAATTTGCAACAACCGCTGATCGATTGTGTTCAAAAAACGTTCTAAAGAGAACAGAATCACAAAAAAGCACGTCGATTAGGCTGCAACTTTAGGACCTATCCTACTGCATGGCACTGGTTATTGCGGTTATCAATCCTACCACAATTTCAACGGAAATACGTTAATTTTGCTTATAAATAACTTTTTTCGACTAACGCGTAAATTCCAGAAACTTGAGTTCATATAATTAACTAACTGAATGTATAGGACAATCGTCATTGCGAACGAAAATATTTTTCAATATTCCGACGTTTAACAGGACGATCCACTGTTCTGAACAAAAAAACTTTGTAAAAAAATGGTTTCAAAAAATCTCAAATAAGAAACCTGAGTTTTTTATAAACTGGATCGTCCTGTAGAGTTGATTTTTATCGATACCGAAAACTGATGTTAGTAACTTATAAATTTCTTCTTGTATGTTATTAATTCACATTAAAAATATGAAAAAAATTTGAGGAAATGCGCTACTAAACAAAATAAAAAAATATCCGTAAATATATAAAACGTAAATTAAAGCTATATTCTTTTTTCGAAAATTAAACGTTTGTCCTTTAGATTAAAAAAAATAAATCGGTTTTTACTACTCAAGCACTCATCTACGCACATGCTCTCTTCAACATTAACAAAAAAGCACATTACCTGTGTGTAAGCGAAAAAAAATGAACCTTAAAACTAAACAAAAAAATAATTGGCACTATGAATAGTTTTTTCAAACGTAAGAAAAAAAAAACAATATGTTTTAGAGGAAAAATTAGCAAAAAAAGAATAATTAATACGTATTTTTTTGCTAATTCTTCAAAAATCTAAAACACAAAAATAATATTAATAATAAAAAAACAAAATGTAGGAACCATATGTACGCGTCTGCGGCTTAAAGTAAAAATGTTTATAACAAAATATCTTTGTTCTTTCTTTGCTGTTACGAAAAAAAGAATCACGTTTCAACAAAACAAACTTAGGTCGATGATAATAATATAAATGTGTATAGATAATATATACGTGTATATAAAAGTGTGGTCTTAAAAATTAAGCTTTGGATGAATTCAGTTACCTCAAAACGAATAAAAAACTTAAACGACTAAACGTTAAATAAAATCAGTTCGATACTATGTACAGTGCGAGATCAGTGGGCGGGGCCGCCGGCCCTAGAGGATGTAGAGGGTGTTCAGGACGAGCACGTGGTGGTTGTTTTTGGCCAGGGTCACCACGTAGCCCTCCGAGGTGATTTTCAGGCCGCAACAACGGGATACCTGGAAAACAATGGACAAAATTATTATTAAGGTGGAGATTTACTTGTGCCGAGCCCTGTAATGTAACGCAAAGCGTTACATTACGTTATCTTCGTGCATTAAAAAGTGGTCATCAAAAAGGGGAAGACTTAAGATGGCGCTGCTGTAGTAATTTTAAGGCTTCATTTCTCCAAGGGTATCAAAGTTTTTAATACTAAATATTTACTGAAGTTTATTTATTGATCAGTTATTGTGTTGCAATAATAAAAATTATACTACCTTATACAGAGTGTCTAAAATTTCATTTTAAACAATTACTAGCTTTAAACGGCAATAACTTGTTTAATTTAAATGGAACACCCTGTATATTTTATGAGAATCAGATGCACAATTTAATTGTTCATCAAATTGTATTATACCATTTTTTACCTATCTCTTCAAGTTTCCGTAGAAAATGCATTTTCTTGTAATTTAGAACTCATTTATCAGTATACCCATGGAATACTGACATTTTAGATTATTTTTAAAGATGTACCAAATTTTTAAAGAGTAAAGGTATTAATATTGTCGATATAGTTTGTTTCAATAAAAAATAAAAAAAAACTGTTTAAATATTTGTTAAAGAGGACCAATTAATATGATTCCAGTATTCAAACTACATTAATTGACTGTTTGCGTTGATTAATAATAATTGCTCCAAATACTAAAAAATTGAATTTTGTATGCGTATTAAACAGTGTGGTAAAAACTAACACCTTAAAAAAGATATTGATTTTTTGAAAAATACTTATTTATAACAACGGAGACATTCATTTTCGGAACTTATTATTATATTGACTTCTGATTCAAATCCACATTTATTTAGAATAATTTATTAACGAACATAATTAAGTATGTAATTAATTAGTATTTGGGCGGAAATAATGGTGGTATATTTAATTAATGGTATATGTACTCTTTTATAAAGATTTAAATAATTTTCTTTTTGCATACAAATGGGCTAGTAATATTATCATTTTTCTAAAAACGATAATATTACTAGCCTGTACATTTTGTACATTTGTTGCTTTAAAAACAATCTAAAATGTCAATATTCCATGGGTATATTGATAAATGAGGTCTAAATTATAAGAAAATGCATTTTCTACGAAAACTTGAAGGGATAGATAAAAAGTGGTATAATACAATTTGATAGACAATTAAATTGTGCATCTGATTCTCCTAAAATATACAGGGCGTTCTATTTAAATTAAAGAAGTTATTGCCGTTTAAAGCTACAAATAATTTAAAATAAATTTTTAGACACTCTGTATGAGGTAGTATTATTTTTATTATTGCAACAAAATAACTGATCAATAAATAGACTTCAGTAAATATTTAGTATTAAAAACTTTGACACCCTTGGAGAAATGAAGCCTTAAAATTTTTACTGCAATTTCACAAAATTGAAAATATTTCAAAAACGGTAAGGTGTAAGTATAATAAACCTTAATCAAATTTACCTTTATTTTAATCGTAGAAACTAAAAATGTAATAATATACAGGGTGTTCCATTTAAAAAAAATACAACTTTGATATTTTTTATTTATTTGGGACACTCTGTATCTTGCAAAAATATTTTTAAATTGTAGCTCTAATAGTCCTTCAACGAACACAAAACTTACAATTTGTAAAAATCTAATCATTTAGCTATAATACTCCGTGTCGTATGTGGTGAACAACCCTGTATAGCTTGTAAATTTTTGGCAAAAATAAGTGAAATTGAGTTGGTGTTCGACAGTGGTCGCGCTATTAGAACTCTGAATTCAAATATCGATATATCGAAATCCATTAGAAATAATTGATTGTAGTTTTTATTAAAAAACTTTCTTAATATTTCTGCTATATTTTTTTCGCAAGCTGTATGCGAAAATCTTTACAAATATGAAAGTTACACCATTGCTGAAAACTGATATGCACTAAAAGTAAATGGACGGTTTTTTTTTAATTTTGACATAATCCAGTAAAATTGAATCGCCGTATAGAGTGAAAATAAAAAAATTACGGGCAAGCTGATTTTTTCAGTTTGTCAGCGACTGTCTTCTGAGAGTAAAATTAACAAAATCGGAAATTTTCCCCTTGCGGTTTTTGAGCAATAGGGGTGTTTTTTTTTAAACTGTACTACAACAAAATAATTAGACGCAAATTGTACATAAGAACATTCTCTATAAGTTTGCCTAATGAATTTTTTTATAAGTTTATTATTTCCGGACTTAGCGGCCGTCTCATGAGCCCTTTGGGGTGATTTTCAAAAAGTTTGTTTTACAGCAAATTGACCCTTATGAAAGTTGTTCATAATAAATGGACAAGCAACTTTTCCTCATGAATTTTTTTGTAGCTTGATTATTTTTGGAAATAGCGTCCAGTTCATGAACAAATTAGGGTAGTTTTCAATGTTACCCTTTTTTCAGGAAATTCACCCTAGGAAACTCGTTCAAATAAGAGGTATATGTACACCTTTGCCTTATGAACTATATTTTGACGACGACAACTTTACTTTATACGAAGCAACAAAAGAAACCAACAATAAATTTGAGGAGCCAACGCCAGGTCCATCACACAAAAGAAGACGATACAAATAAAAAAACATCATAATATTCATTCACTTGATGAATTCCATGTTTCGTTTTGGGGAAATAAATACATACCACAGAGAAGTTTGCATGTAATTTTAATATAAACACCTTTAAGTTGGTAAATTTGTAGAACTAAACAAAAATTATGAAACTACCCCAATTTGTTCATGAACTGGACGCTATCTCCAAAAATAATGAAGCTACAAAAAAAATCATGAGGAAAAGTTGTTTGTCCATTTATTATGGACAACTTTCATAAGGGTCAATTTGCTGTAAAACTAACTTTTTGAAAACCACCCCAAAGGGCTCATGAAACGGCCGCTAAGTCCGGAAATAATAAACTTATAAAAAAATTCATTAGGCAAACTTATAGAGAATGTTCTTATGTACAATTTGCGTCTAATTATTTTATTGGACTAACAGGAAAGAAAACAAGCCTATCGAATTTTTCTCATTTAAACATCTTGGAAAAGATCCGAACTTCAAAATCAAAAAAAAGGTTCAATATCTAAAAAAAAATATCTGAGTTATCGCGTGTGATGTTTCTTAAATTTGGAAAGTAAAAAATAGTTATTTTTTATAGATTTTTGTGTGTGGTGCTTTATTCAATACACATCTTTGTTTTGTATAACACACACCCTAAACTTAGTTTTTTAATAAAATAACTAGAGTATATTTTTTTGAGTTTATACAGTTTTTTTCTCTAATATTTTGAAGTAATTATTCGTCACTAAAAATTTTAAAATATGACTTCCCGCTGTGCATTCCAATTGCACCAAAATATTTCTTTGAAAAATCAAAAAAATGCTTTAAAATTAAAATGATAGACATCTATCACTGTCAAGGACTCTGTCGTTGGACAGACTATAATCAGAGAAGAACAATCGTAGAGAAGCGACAAAAGGCATCCCGCCTAAAAAGTTGGAGTGGGAGGTAAACCGGCTAACTGTCACCTCAACGTGTTTTTCGGAATACGGCCAGCGTTGCCATTGTTAATGATAAAGTCCTGAAATCTTACTATTTTTTTATTTGTGTACATAATTAATCTTTTTTAATTAATTAATCTATACTTTACCCTTACCTTATAATAGTACTTAAAGAAAGAACTTTCAGAACTAAATATAATAAAAACTTAAAATAGATGCAGGTTGTTAGCGTTTAATAAAAAATAATTAGAAAATTAACACTATTAGAAAGTTAAATATTTTATCGCAAATATAATATATTAGCGACGCTAATTTGAGTTGTGTTATATTTAAATGTAATATGTTTTTTTTTATGTAAAATATGATTTTTTAATATACAGGGTGAGTCTTAAATAAGTACATATATTTTCAGTGCCGGTAGATCTCGATAAATGAAGCATATTTTCTCTTTACAGTTTTTCAAATAAGTCCAGAATATCCGAGATTCTTTGAAAATTAATAAAAATTGCTTACATTTTCAGAACCGCTGAATCTTTTCTGGGATTCCTTTCTTTTAAATTTAATCTACCACCTATGTTCTCATATTATGGAGAAATTATGTTTTTTAATCATCTTAGTTTTAATCGTTTGCTGATGCACTGCAGAAGTAAAGTGTTCTGGTGTATTGTGGTAAATTAGTGTTTTATTTTGCTGTTGTAACACCCCGGTCCCAACCCTCAACTCTAATTATGTTATTTACTTTTTGGTTTGTTTTAACTCTTGTGATAACAGCTGATAAATATTCGAAATTTTCTTAAAATTGTTTTATTTATAATTTTGATTAAAAAAAAATCACTTTCAAATATTAATTTCGAAACAAACAATATTGTCAACAACAACAAACAAATGTCCCTCTAAAAGGAATAGGTTAGAAAATGGTTAGAACGCGGTAAATCCACAAACCGCGGGAACTCGTTAAATTTTAAAAGATTGTTACTATTCAGTATGATTCCTAAATATTGTATAGTACAGTACGTCTGTCCGTTCTGTAGCTCCGGGGTATCCGTGAGAGGGGAAACGATATTTTCTCGATGTTTTTCGTAAAAAATTAGACGGCGCGTCCCATCAATAAAAATTCGACAAATTTGCAAGTAGCCAATAAAGTGAGTGGGCGGAGCGATTTGCGGTGACGCACTCGTCAAATCGACGTATAAAATATATTGCTGTTTATTTAAATGTTTTTTGCCCGCATTCCTTTCATAGACACAGATCCAGCAGATGTACTGTACGCCAATTTGAAAGTCACAAAACTTGGTCCCCCTCACTTCAATAGTGCCGACGGTTTTTGTCGCTTCTCTACGATTTTTCTTCTCTGCTATAGTAAACGCCACGAATGTTTGGGAGTAATTCATCGCTTGAAGAAGTTAGAATCGACACGCGCGCTATCATTTTTACATTAAAAACGTAATTTTTTACCGCAGACGTAGGTTTTTAAAGGCCCGGTCTAATCATCTGCCTGCGCTCCTCCTACTTATTCTTAAATGTTAGCGTGATTGACAAAGACGATACTATATCGCGTTTCTTTGATTGATTCGTTTTTGTGCGTCAGTCCATTAGTGTGCTTGCAGTGCGACCAATGGTGCATTCCATTTTATATTATAACCAAATATATGTTTTGACAAGACTTCGACAGTTAAAACAACAAATTACAACAGATTATATATTGATTATTATAATGACTTGCAACACCACGGCACTGGAATTAAGTTTTATGTGACCTTGAACAGATTAGTTCACATGGTAGCGACCGATAAATCACTCCCAAACATTCGTGACGTTTACTATATAATACAATTACTTACTTTTACATATGGGCATTCGAATTCTGAAATGAGAGACCCGTCCCTGGCGAAAACGGCGACGTGGAACCGGTTCCCGTGGGAATCCCCGATCAGCACGTCGCCGGCATCGGAAATGTCAATTCCGTTGGGAAAATTGGTCAGATTTTCGCAGCCGATGCGACGTAAGTATTGCCCGTCTTCGTTGAAAACCACCACATTGTGACCTTTAAAGTCGCAAACATAAAACTCTTTTCCTGAAAAAAAAACCAGATTTTTATAGCTTAGTTGTTGAAATGTTTAGGAGTAAAATTATTATATTATTTTGTCGTCGATTTCTTAAATACTAATAGGGATTTAATGAGTTTTTTGCAATGACTGTTAGCCCACGGTCACACAGAAAGCGTTTTTTTGCGTTTTTACTGTTGTTTTTTGCGTTAACATCTATTGTTTAGGAAGATTCTATTAAATTCAAAAATTTGAAGGAAATGTTTGGAAAAGTGCAGTTTGAAAAGGAATATTTTCTTACGCGTAAAAATAGTTTTTTATGCGTAAAGTGTATTTTTTCTGCGTAAAAAAGTTTTTTTAACAGAAACAAATAGTTGTTGACGCGTAAAAAGTCGTTTTTACGTGTAACAAATAGTTTTTTACACATAAAAAATATTTTTTTTGGGCAAAAAAGTTTTTTTACCAGAAACAATGAGTTTTAGATGCGTAAAAATTAGTTTTTTACGTGTAACAAATAGTTTTTTACACGTAAAAAATATTTTTTGGGTAAATTTTTTTCCCCAGAAACAATAAGTTTTTGACGCGTAAAAAAAATATTTTTTTAAGTGTAACAAATAGATTTTTACACGTAATAAATAGCTTTACACGCGTAAAAAATAGTTTTCTACCAGTAATAAATAGTTTTATACGCGTAAAAAATAGTTATTTACGTGTAACAGTTTTATTTGCGTAAAATAATAAAAATAGTTTTTTACGTGTAACAAATGGTTTTTTACACGTAATAAATTTATTCACTTTTACAAAATTTGTATTAAAATATCAATATTTTTGATAAACACGTGAAATGCTCACAAATAAAACGTCGCGTCACTTCGTATTTTTAAGCCGTTAACACGTTTCGTTAAAGCTAGCTCGTGTGTCAGGGCCATCTCGATAGCTTGTATGTCACGGCTTTGAATTTTTACTCCCAGCGCGCGTAAAGAAGTTTCACGCCAAAAAGTTTCATAAATCATGTCCTAAAATTGCGGTAGCAACTAGTAATACTTACTATTCTATTATGTAATTATAATTATTTATTATATTATATTATAATTATAACAAGTAACCACAACACTACAACATAAAAAAACTATACACATATATACTAAAATTCGAAAAATAAATGGTAAATAATAATTATTAATTTTACACACACCACTGGCACTAGTAGTAAATTGTGTTTGTCGCCGAATATATGCCCCGGCCCGTCCACAATTCAGTCCCAGTATCTTTTATCTTCGTTTCTTCAACGCTAACCGCGCCGATCTCGCCTATCTCATTCTCGCAGGATTGGTTGTTGGGAATCCACCAGCTTGCGACGTTACTAATTGACATCTTGATAGAAACTGCAGACCTGTCGCGTCTTTTGCATGTTTTTAATGGACACAAATCGAAAAAACTCTTCAAACGGTAAAATCGCAAAAAGTGCTTGAGACGCAAAAAACGCAAAATGCTAAAAACGCTTTCTGTGTGGCCGTGGGCTTAAGCTGCTTCAGCCATCTTGTACCATTGCGATAAAAAAAAAAGTAGTACAAAAATTAGTCCTGATAGAAATCCTGAATTAGTCCAGATAGAAGTCCTAGGCTGGAACTCTGTAACTAAATAGCGATCGGTAGCGATGAAGAATACTGACCTTGGCCGTACAAACTAAACGGCAAGCGACAGTATTCTTCATCGCTACCGATCGCTATTTCGTTACAGAGTTCCACCCCTGGTCTATAAGGATATCGAGAAGTGGATATCGTCGTCACTACGAAAACAATACAATTATCCCACCTAACTTTTTAGGCGTTACCAGTTACCATGAATTTGGTAATAATTGGTAGGTATACGTGGCGAAATAAAAGTATAAAAAATTTTCCTACCTTTTAAAAATGAGCAATTTTTCAAGTTTTAAAAATATTTTATTATAGACCAGCAGATTAAATCATATTTTGTTGTACTACTTTTTTTATTGCAATGGTACACTTTACACTACAAGCTGTACTAAAAAGACCAATTTTCGACTAGAAGGTCTGCTAGTAAAAGATTTTAAGTTTAAAATATCACAACACAATTCACTTAACCTAAAAAACCCTCGTAATGCAAAATTAAACTATCAAAACAAATCAAAATATCAGTAAACAAATATGGCAACTTGGCAATTTCATTTGGTCAGCCTGGCGCTGAATATGTCCATAGTTGGCAACAATGAATTTAATTGCGCCCTCAATTACGTTACTAAAAGTTTATTTGGTATCGAATTGAAGTGATAAAAACGTATTAAATATTTTGATGACGTGTACCCCCAACTGTTATTGATTTCTTTATAGATATTAACTTACCGTGAATGGCAATGTCTGAAGGCTCCCTCATATAATCGCTGCAATCAAACCAGCGCAACAAATCCCCGTTTTCGTGGATGATAAACACCGTAGGACTGACGCTGTCCACGGCCACAATCTCCCCAGCTCCGGTAACGGCCAAACCGGCTACGATGTCGATGTAGCGGATGGCGATCTTCTTGAGAAAATGGCCGTTCTTGGTGAAGATCTGCATGCGCGAGCGCTCGTTGCCCCGGTCGCACACCACGTACTTGCCGGTGCTGCGCATGACGGCCACTTTGCGCGGGTACCACAGCTGGCCCTCGTCCTTGCCCGGAATGCCGAACTGGAATTTGAACGAGCCAGTCTTTTCGAAGATCTGAATTGAAACATATCGAATATTAGTCCTATAAGTTTTCTACAGGGCATTGAAAAATCGGTAACGCATTTTAGTAATAAAAAATTGAATTTCAAATTAAAAATCAAAGTCAGTAATAAAAATTGTTTGACAGCCTAACCAAATTTTAATTTTGAGATGATCGATATACGTCATTAAAATTACAAGTCCAAATGAAAATGGAATGACAACCTCAAATGACAATGACAAATACTAAAAGCTAATAAAAATACTAAAATTCTGACAGAGATTGTACGTCAATAAAACTATAAAGATTGATTTTCATGCGTCCGTTATCCGTTGATACGATGGTCCGACGGTGCTCTGATTGGTCATTGAATTTTCACGTCACTTTTCATCCGTAAAAAGAGAAAGATCGTACGATAATGGACGTTTTGACACTTTTTTGACAAATTTAATCTAACCTTAATAAAAAATATAATAGTACAAGAGCTAGCACCGTCAGGAAAACAAAAATTTTAAGAAAGCTGGTTCTTTAATAAATCTTTTGCTATGCTCTCCTGACCAAAGTGAGGGCCGTCTGGCTACCGGTAGACTACTGTGCATCACATCTGTATAGGGTGTCCCATTTTCGTGTTTTATGAGATTTCTCGTTTATGAGCAGAGGTACAATGATGCGATTTTCACATTACTTTGCTACTTTTTTATGAAACTAAATATGCTACACATAAGTTTATCCTAGCCTCCTTAGTTCCTGAAATACAGGGCGAATTCGTGAGGCGCAGTAGTCAACAGATGTTGAATACAGATATGATGCGCAGTAGTGTATCGAACGAAACGTCTACCAGCAGCCAGACGGTCCGCATTCTGTTCAGGTGAGCATAGCAAAAGATATATTAAAGAACCAGCTTTCTTAAAATTCTCTCTCGAAAACGTTGCTAGCTCTTAGACTATAAGTAAAACAGCGAAATCGTTATGAAAATGAAAATGCAATAAATTTAAAAACTGTAATTTATAATGTTAAAAACTGGTAATTTTCTAACCAATCAAAGTCTTTAAATTCAACCAATAAAATTAATCTTGTATCATCGTGTCGTCGGACAAAGGATGCATGAAAATCAAGCTTTACCCCAAATCAAATGACAATGACAATTAAAACATTAAAATGCATAAAGAACACAGTTTAATGGGAAATACATAAAAAACACAGTTTAATGTGAAATAATTGTATCTCACTCACCTGTATCCTGTGATTGTTGGTATCGGCGACTATGATATCTTCCTCCAGTCCCAGACAGAAACCGTGAGGGGAATTGAACTGGCCTTTGCTGGGGGTCCCAATTGGCCGAACTTGCACCGGATCTGCATCGGGCTCACCTTGTTAGTACGGTTGGGCACCGGGTTGGCGTTTGTTGATGCTGGAGGTAAAATGTTGGGCAAAGTGGAATCTAAATTAATACGATTTTGAAGACAACTTCTAAAGACTATTAAAAGTAATCTAAAATGTTTTTTTTGCGAAGCATACATTTTTGTGGATTTCGATAATCGAGTAAAACCGTGACCATCGAGAAAAAAAGGCCTGATAGAATACGCCTGACGTCAAGAAAGTGGTTGATGAACAGAGCTGTTTAATTTTTAATGAAGAAATAAGAAAAAAATACCGAATGTTTTTGCTCGAAGATTAACATTTTTAAATCATACTAAACATTCTTAAGATACTTATTTTAATACAATACTAACCTTGGGGTATAATATCTTCAGGCGTTGACAGTAAAGGAGAAGTGGAGTTTGATACTCCTCCAAAACCGTTGATCAAATTGTTGGTCAAATTCAACGAAGCTGTTGAAGTGGAACGCACCAACATGTTTGCGCCATTTGTAGGAATTGCTGGGTTGGTATCTGTAACCAATAATGTTTATTATATTCTATAACTTTGACAATGACTGTGTGACGCCGCGGCCGGTGCTGCCACCATCGGAGAATATCGTAAACAACCGGCATATACAAATACGCGGATATAAATAGTGAGCATACGAAAAATTTATTATACAGGGTGGTCCGGTATTCCGGAAACTTCAGCAGCACAATCTGCAGGCTAACGGTGCTTTGATTTTATTTCCATTGAATATACAGGGTGGTCCGAACTGTATTCCGGAAACTTCGGCAGCATATTGTGCAGATAAAAATAAGTAAAAAAGTTTGTATAAATGTATGTCCTAAAATGCTTAGTTTTTCGAAATTACAGGGTGTAGAAATAATAAAGGATAAGGCTCGTTTTGCTTGTCGAACTGTCAGTAAAAATCGAAAAAATTGTGATTTTGTGCATTATCTTGTTCTTTAGTGAAAATTAATTCTTCTTCTACAAATTCCTCAATAAGTAATTGATAACGACTTGGTAGCATATAAATATCGTGTTCAAATCATATAATATAGGGTAACATATAAATATCGGTAGCAATAAATATCGTGTTCAAAACATCAAAAATGCTGAGAAGCGACTCCAATATTTCCCTCGTATAATAATAATGACATATCCATAGAAAAAAAGGTTGACATAATTCAACAATAGGTTTGAAATTCACGTAACATTGACATTTTTCATCGTTTTATCCCTTCGAATAAAAAGATTATGGAAGGAGCATATCAAAAATCTTAGATCCATCGCGATAGGAATGAAATATGGTCGACTTAAATTCCGGTTTATCAATGCCGTTCGAATTTAATCTAAAAATTGTAAAACTATGATGTAGGGTAGACGTGGGGTAGACTTAATAATTTGTTGTTTTATTTTACGTTGTGAATAAATGTTGGTAGTTATTAAAATTGTTATAAAAATATACAATTCTAATAAAAATAGATAAGTTATCAACAACACATCCGATACGCTACTCAAGCAGGTAAGTCAAATTGACGTATCTAAATTCTTTGACATCTAATCTTTGACAAGTAGTAAATAAAAGCAAAAATGCTAGAAAAAATATATAATTAGTTAATTTAAGCGAATTTTATAAATGCTCGGTTTACTACACGTATTTATATTATATGTATAGGCACTTACTAGCGAAAAGTTCCATTATTTTACTCGATTTTTGACCGAGATCTACCGCACGCCACAACCACTATTTTACAGTCTTTTTCGATAAATCGCAATAGTGTCACTGTTAATTTAAGTTCTTCCACAATTTCCATCTAGATATACTACCTTTATACAACTATCAGTAGTAGAATAAATAAGAAATAACATAAAATAAGCTCAAGTAAAGACTGACAAATTCACAAAATTTCAAATCAAATTGAAATGTGTAAAATGAGTCATCAAACAGAGCTTCCAAGGATCCCCACCCTAGAGTCATTTTTCCGCCCACCATGCATGAATACATGGATAGCATTATACTCCTTTCTCAATCTTTTTATTCAAAGTTTTATCCACATTTGACTAATAGTAAACTATTAGATACCTGAGAAATTGCGATGCTGCCAATATGTGCTCAATGCGTATCTAGAAAACGATTCGCACGGCAACGAGAATACCAAAATCGACTGCTTGGCCTTCCGCTAATCGCATACTTTCGCTCACCGCCTTGAAAGCGTAACGTTTTTATGTCAAAGTTACAGAATTCGGACCCTGATTTTTTTCGATTGTTCGCGAACGAGAACATTCCCCCTATTACAACACTAAATGCGGGACCTTTATTTATTACTTATCAATCACATTAACATCATTATTACAAATAATTCAACTTACCGCTACCGTTGAGTCCAAGCTTCGCCAACGACGCCAGATTCTTGTAAGCCGTGTCGTTGGTCAGCAAATCGGCCAGATTAAACTGAGGCGTGGGTGACGTAGCTGCGCTATTGGTAGTCTCGGCCAGTGTGGCCAGCTGTGCCAAATTGAACTCGGCGATGCTCGAAAATCCCTGTAAGTTAGGCGTGGAGGACACGTGCGGCAACGGCGGACTAGATATTTGGGCGAACGTTTGCAGGTTGTTGGTGAGGTCGCCTTCAAAGTTGGATTGAATTGTGGTGGGCAAAGCGATGGACGTGCCGTTGGTGAGGGCCACCGTCTTGGAAATGACACCGTTGATGTTTAGGGGGGCCAGGTCGGGCAAGCGTTTCGTTGGAGTGGGAGGTGGGGTTGTTATGGTGGCTTCGGTGATAAAGGTACCGAAATGTTCCTTTATAACCTGTAAAAAAAATGTTATTCATAAGACAGAAACGAATTCAAAAATTGCTGAAAGTAAGATTACAAACTGAAAATTTTGGTTAAATCTTCATAGTCAGTCAAAATTTATATAAAACATTTAATAGTTAAATACATCTATACACGTTGAGCAGGCAATGGTGTGTGTATGAGTGTATGCTCACTGCAGCATAACATACATGGGCCACTGCAGGCTAAGATCACCCCTGCAGAGGATGGGACTGGTGGAAGACTCCGAATTCCGAATTTGTACAGAAAGTGACGAAACTATGAAGCACTTTATGTGTATACTCTGTTTTTTTCTCAGGTAAGATTTCGACAGACGATGACAGAAAAAAGCAGATGACGTTCAAACCAATCCATTTATTTAACTAAAAAAAGTTTCTAATATTTTTTAAGTTAACTATCGATGTATTATTGTTTTGAACCAGTTTTATTGGTTTATTTCAAAAACGACACATCATATTTCAATATTATTAGTATGACGGAACGATGAACGACAAACGGACGCCGATGCGTATAAATTCGACTTAAGGTTTTTGAGAGATGTCAAACTCTTGCCAAATTATAGGTTATAAATTAGGTTTATGTTACATTATGTCAAATAGAAATGATAAATATTTTGCATTTTGGACTGCGTTATTACGTGTTTCGTGTTTTTTTTTAAATTAAGTGGAGGAAAACTCGAAGGAAAATTAAGGGTTGAGCCAGACTATAGTTTACAGTAATATTCGGTGCCCAGAGATCGCCAGAGACAGTTTGCCAGAGAGTATGGCCAGAGAGTTGTATTAGATACAAATAAAATTTGTATACCATCTCGTATATGGTACCAAAAACTGAAGTATCTGTAAAATAGCAGCACACGATAGGTAAATAATAAATTTTAGTATTCCAGAGAGATAATGTCAAAAAATACTGGTTTACAAAAATTAAAATAAAGTTAATTAAGGTATAAAATGCAATAAGTGCTTTTATTAATAAAATATTTTGTATTATTTATATTGTGTTTTATTTATTCCTTTGCAACATTTTTTTTTATTTTTACATAAGTTATATTGATAAATATAAAAATAAATGCAGGAACTTGTTTGACCATGAACACGGCTTGAAAGCAGGAAATCTTTTTATATTTTTTTGCTTATTTTGTATTAACACATACTGTAATTGTTTTTAATAAAGTAATTCGATTAGATGTTTTTAATTTTATACAGTTTTTTTAACAATATTTTGAAGTAATCACTTGTCACTCAAATTTTAAATATATTAATTTTCTGCTATGCGTTTCAATTGTACCAACTTATTTTTTTGTAAAATAAAATAAACTACTTTGAAAATAAAATGACAGACACATCTATCTCTGTCAAGGATCTTGTCGTTGGACGGACTATACCTGCCCCGCTGGGACCAGTACCAGGTTTGAGTTGTTTGGCAAAACCATGCTAGTCTTGTCAGACTTCAATCTTAGAAAATAGAAACACCAATACACATTCCTGTATTTATTGATATTATATATTACATAAGAGACTCAAACAAAATTACATAACTTTATTAATTTTTACAAATATCCCAACTTTTTTTTATTGCCTTTTTTTTTAATGGCCATTTTTTATTAGATATATTTTTCTAGTAAAGATTTACTGAAAAACTTTAGATCATGGATCAGTGTTTTTTTTAATTAATATAATATCTAAATATTCCGATTTTTCTCAGAAATCAGGCAAAAAACAGTCTCAATGTTTATATTTCTCCAGAAAATAACCAATTTAACTTGAACAATTCAATGCCTAGCGGAGATCATATGAAAGTGATAAATGTTATCTACCATTTTAATTCAAAACTTTTTCTGTTAATTTTTGGACGTTATCTGTCCCGTCTAACTAGTCCACTCTTTCGCTGAACATACTTCACAAATATACTCCTTTATTAACATATTTATGTTACAACTAGGCAACGCTGGTACCTCTGTGGGCATAGATCTGAAAATCATGCACCAAGATTCCAAGTTCCTCATGTAAAGGCGCATTCTCACGACTCGTGTAATTGACAAACATTTGTAATTGGTATACGGGGTATACACGGTGCGTAGGGCATCTATACAGAATTTTTAAGTTATTTATTATAGGTACTACGCCGCACTCCCGCCAGACCCTGTAGGCCAATAAAAAATACTTGCCAAGTACACGAGTCGTGAGAAAGCGCCATAATTAAAATAAAATGATTTATATCGATGTAATTTCTATTAATATATTCTACACCTTCAATAAATTCAAAATAAATGCCATGTCAAATTATCTTTGCTTTAGAAAAATGTATAATATCTATTTCATGAAACATGAAAACTTAAATTTTTACATAATGTAAAAAATTTAAAATTAAATAATTTATAAGAAATAAGAAGATTAATATGAACTGATTCAAGAAATACCTTTGCAGCTATAGTCTGTCCAACGAGAAGATCCTTGACAGTGATAGATGTGTCTGTCATTTTAATTTCAAAGTAGTTTATTTTATTTTACAAAGAAATAAGTTGGTACAACTGGAACGCATAGCAGGAAATTAATATATGTATTTAAAATTTGTCTGACAAGTAACTTCAAAATATTGTGAAAAAAACTGTATAAAAGTGAAAAAATGTAATCGAGTTATTTTATTTAATAAAAAACGGTATATTTTAATACAAAACAAACAAAAACAAGACACCACATACCAAAAAATATAAAAAAGAACTATTTCTTACTTTCACGTTTTATGAAACTTCCCGCATTTATGATTATATTTATCAATATAACTTATGTACAAATACAAATTTGTAATATTCCGCAGGAATAAATAAAACAACATAAATAAAACAAACTATTTTATTAATAATAACACTTACCAAATTTTATACCTCACAGGTTGATTAATTAACTTTAATCTTATTTTTTTTTAAACCAGTACCTTTTGACATTATTTTTCTGCAGTACTAAAATCCATTATTTACCTATCGTGTGATGTCGATATTTTACAGCTACTTCAGTTTTTAGTATGTGTTTAGAGTATGGTCCTTCTACCATATTCGAGATGCACTTATCTACGACGAGATGGTATACGAACTTTATTGATAGTAACTTTATTGGTGTATCTGTATAAGACTTTCTGCCTGGGCAGCGAGTATTAACCATAAACTGTGCTCTACAGTTAATTTTCACTCGACTTTTCCTCCACTTGACTTCAAAAGACACAAAACACACGTAATAACACGAATCAAAATGCATCATCTTCCAAAACGCAGGGTATTTCACAAAAGTTGCCAAATTATAACCTATAATTTGGCAAGACTTTGACAAACGTCAAAAATCTAAAGGCGAATTCATACGCATCGGCGTCCGTTTGCGTTCATCGTTCCGTCAAACCAATAAAATTGAAATACGATCTGTCATTTTTGAAATAAACCAATAAAACTGGTTAAAAACAACAAGTGACGACGCATGACGAATTTATATTTAAACCCATCCATAGTTAACTTAAAAATTATTAGAAACTTTTTTTAGTAAAATAAATAGATTGGTATGGGACGTCATCTGCTTTTTTTCTGTCATCGTCTGTCGAAATCTTACCTGAGAAAAAAAACAGAGTATATATATCTAGAATGTCTGGTAGCCATATTACCTTATAGTACGAGAGCTAGCAACGTCGGAAAAACAAGTATTTTAAGACGTCTGGCTCTTTGATATATCTTTTACTATGCTCTCTAGAATAGCACGCGGCCCGTCTGGCTGTCGGTAAACGTTGCGTTCCCTACTGCGCATTGAAAGATCCTATATTTTTTTAGTCCTTTAAATTCTAGTATTGAATATAAACCGACCCATTCTCCATAGCTCAGCGCTATCAAGGTTCCGCCTATCAAGTGACGAGTCAGAGTTCGAATCCGGGTCAGGGCAAAAACTTTTTTTTTCGTTTATATTCTGATAGTAAAGTATTAAATATAATTGTGTTTTTTTGAATCATCAGAATTATTTAATACTTTAGGGCTCGAACTCACTGACGACCAGGTCGCAACGACCTGGCCGTCGGCTGGCCGGATGTATTGCGTTTTTAGCTGCGACCAGATGAACGACCAGTTTCAACAGAGTTGTCAAATCTAACGATTTTTTACGTTTTACCAATTAGAAAAAATATTGTTTCAGAAATGTTAAAATATCCGAGTTAACTAAAAAGCGAAGTTGCTATTCACAACAAACAAAAAGCATTGTGTACGCGTGACCGACAAAAAGGGAGATATTCTGTTTCTTTTTTCTACTGATATGGCGCCCTTATCGACTTTACAAGTAAACATATTAGGGCCATCGTAAATAAAGATCGTCAGACACTGGCTCTAAATATAAGCAGGTAGAAAGTTTAGCTTCCAGTTATTTCAATGTTTACAATATAACAAAGAATCTACAACAGTAATTACTTCTATTTTTATGAATGTTTAAGTTACTTTCTTATTTTTTTTTTCAAAATAATGTACCTAGTAGAAATATAGTATAATGAACTCTGTTTGAAAAACGTTAAATTAAATATCATATTTAAAATACAGTTGTCCTCCTTGTACATGACTACAATACAACTAAAAAAACTAATTTAATAAAAAAAACAAGTGGTTGTAGAAAAACTTTAAATATTATTTTTTTAATTTTTTAAACATCGAAACTCAAAGGTATAATAACAGGTATCATACCAACCATAAATAGAGCAGGTATGTCACATAAAAATGTTTTGAGTTTTTACTAGAATCGGCCCTTGATAAAAAAAAAGGGATTAGATTTAAGTTTACCTTTGATCCAGTCTGTATACTATTTCTTTGTGATAAACTACACTACTAAAACACTATATCTTATAGAAAATAAAATATTGTGCCTTGAATTTGAGGGATTTCATCTGAAAAATTATTAATTTGGAAGAAAACCGGCAACAAGCGGCAGAAAATAATAATATTTCCGTGCAGTCTTCTGGTCGCAACGACCAACAGACGGCCAGGACGTTAGTGTGCGCTATATCATTTGATTTAATGGTTTTAGAGGTAGGTGCGGCCTGGCCGGTGCGACCTGGTCGTCAGTATGTTTGAACCCTTACAATCAGAATATAAACGAAAATAAAAGTCTTTGCCCTGGCCCGGATCCGAACTGAATCCTCGTAGTCGGAAATTCTACGCACTGCGCTATGGAGACATGTTCGATTTATATTCAATACTAGAATTTATAGGACTAAATTAAAAAAATATAGGATCTTCTTCCGATGCGCAGTAGTGAACGCAAGGGGTATCGACAGCCAGATGGGCCGCATGCTGTTCCAGAGAGGATAGTACAAGATATATCAAAGAGCCAGCTTTCTTAAAATACTTTCTCGAAAACGTTGCTAGCTGTTAGACTATTAGAAAAATACGCAAAAAAGTAAAGAATTGAGAACATACCTTTTCGAAGTTGGCAAAGTCAGATTTAAACTCAATTGCAAAAGTCCCCTCGGTTTTCGAGATGTTGGAGTTGAGAGCCAGCAATCGGGAAGCGACCACTTTGCGCAGGTACATCATCTCAAGCACGGTACCCGTTTCCAATAGTTTCGACGTGTACTTGCAGGCGTCCTCAAAATTTTCTATGGTTTTGCCCAATTCATCCGACTGTTTCATTATTTTCAGTTCGCGGTCATGATAAAGTCGGTTTAACTCTTCTAAAGCTTCATCCTGTATAAAAAAATATTAAAAAAATATATATATATATAAAAAAAGTAAAAAACTGGATGGGCAAAGTTAGTTGCTTATATGGGATGTCTTTGCCCTCTTCCTTATTCTTATTGATAGACCAAAGCCACCCCATTTAAAAGCATAATTACGTAAAATATGCGTCATCACCGTCAATATTATAACGAACTTCTGCATAATACTTACCTCAATCTAGCGTGGTTAACTATTGCAGCCACGTAGAAGTTTGAAACGCAAAAAATAGGATTTAAAAACAGATTTGGCTTCACAGCACTGCAAATGCTACATCGCAACTGACGGCAAGCGTTTAGCGACGTTCCGCGACGTGGGGTGCTTCCACCCATAATTTACCGATAACACATAACGCGTTCTTTTCAAGTAGTGGTTAAGGCTACGTCTAACATATTTTCGGACGGAAGTCACCCCATTTCACGGTAGCCCTCTTAATTATGCCCATTCTAACAAAAAAATAAGATAGAAACACCAGGATACCATAATACCAGATGGATTAATATCTAATAATTAAGATATTAATAAGAGTGAACAAGAAACGATGCCTCAGTGAAGTCACGGTAGGCTTTGGAAAAGAGTTGCTTTTGACATAATAATATAAACGTCAAATTGTTATTAGATCAACATTTTGATAGCCTTAGCAGCGTTTTATCTGTAAAATTTATTTTTCAAAATGCCTTTATTATGTGAAGTAGTTGAAGTTTTGAAAAAGCAATCAAAAGATAAAAAACGCTGCTTTAATAATTTTGCTAATATCTTCAGTTTGAAAGAAGATATCAAGATGCGGTTTTTGCTGACTTTTTAAGATTTACTACTCTTTATTATCAGCTACTGAAATTACATATACTATCGTTATTCACATTAAAAAAAAAAAAGAAAAAAAAGGCGATATGCGCTCTGTCTGTTAAATTGTAAGAAAGCGCTCCCTAGCGTCTACGTCAAAACCTTATTATTATTTTTATGGTATAATATAGAGTAAGAAACGCTCTTTCAAACGAACCCTCGTTTGCTGGATTCTGATCATCCAATCCAGAGTTATTAACATTTAAATAAAGATAGATCTAACCTTCCCCCACCACTTTATTTTAGCAGATAGGGGAAAATGGTTCTAACAAAAAAAATCCAAAATTTACTGAAGATTATGATGCTATTATTTATAGTATCCATTATCTCGGCAAACTTCTGTAAAAATTCTATTTTCTTATTTTCCATAGCAGTTGCGCCCTCTAGCGGCCGTTTTAAAAACTTGAAAATATTTTCCAGCAATTTCTCATATCCCCTTTAGTAATAAATCTTTTTTTCCGTAGGCCCTATGGCTAATACTTTCCGAGATACAGCCGAGAGCTATTTTTAGTGGGACACCCTGTACAGTTCTTTGTATTAAACAATGACAGGTCATTGACAAAGAGCTCAAAGATATGGATGTGGGTTCAGGCTCCAAGTGGCTAGACTTTTGGAAATGGATAGGACCTATAATAATGTAACCTAGAGATCAGAAGAGGACGACAATAGCTCTGAAAATTGTTGCTAATAACCAATTTATTCATGTGCACAGCGAGACCCACTCACCTTACACTTCTCTAAAACAGCCTTGTAACTTTGGTAGGTTTCATTGATCAAGTCTTTGGCGGAGGAGCGCTGGTGCGCCAGCTCCTCCATATTGCCGTCCAGCCCGCTGGAGCACTTCATCAGACCCTCCACCTTCTCCTTGCTCTTGGCCAGCAGGTTCTCCATGTCCTGGCGCACGCGCAGCTCCGAGTCGGCGATGCCCTCGGTGGGATGGCCCTTGTGCTCGGCCTTTGCACATTGCCCGCAAATAAGGGAGTTGCACGCGGCGCAGTTGTAGATGATGTTCTCGCCCGAGTGCAGGTCGCACTCCAGGGGTTTGTGGATGGTGATCTTGATACCGTCCTGGAAAGGGAAATGATAGATGCCGCTATTTCGAAAATACATAGCTTAGAGACTAAAGTAATCGCAAAACAATTTCCGATGAACATGTTCAACTTTGAGTGACAAGCGATGGCGACAGCGCTGCCAGTTGTGATGAATTTATAAGATGAATCTTATTAGTTCCAACTTCCAATTCCAACTAAGTAACAAAATTAGTCTAAATCGAATTTTATTATCGCTATGTTGGTCACATTGCGCCGCGCCGTTTTCAGCAAGGTTGTCGTTTTTTATGTGACAATTAGCCTAATGTCAGTCATTATTTTGTATAATATCGTGTTGTTGGATCTTTGTGAGTAATTCTCGTTTCTTTGCCTATTTTCATAGTCTTTTTTTAAAAATTGTACTTTTAAGCACAAACAGTTCCTTGAATTGCATTTCTTGAAATTGTGTGTTACAAATATGCCGAAGCATTTAAACAGTAGAAACAAAGAGCTTGTAGCTTTCCTGATGAACTATTTTGAACAAGAACGTGACAATAAAGGACCTTTATTACCCTTGACTGCAGTCAGAGAATTAAGTTTTATTGATAAGCACATTACACCACTTTCAAAGTTATTTCTACGTTAGTTTTTATTAAATTCTGTGATTATTAATTTGTGCATTAATAGCACTCTCTTACTTGTTATTACCACTTATGGTGTTGTAAGATGTACATCAATAAATAAATAAATTAACCCATAATAGTTTTTGCCAATATGTAATAAGTAAGATAAGCTATAAAACAAATCAATTAATTCCTAAAACAATAGTTATTAAATTAAAAATAAAACGTAGAAATCTTTAAAGAATGATATAATAAATAATATATTGTTTGTCACTTTTAAATTAAGATTCATCTCATAAATCCATCACAATCCGGCAGCGCTGTCGCCATCGCTTGTCACTCAAAGTTGATCACGTGCCATAAATGCTATATGAACGGCCTATCCTTATCTACATAGAATACCCAACAAACTATTGTTGCGGACCCGTGTGGACTCGACCTAACCTAACTATATTATGTCCCGCCCCCATACGACCTTAATATCGCATTAAAGAATAGACACCGTAATGATTCATTCGAACGTTCGAGAACAATCGAATTCCACTGGAATGGAGTAGTACATACGAGAACATTCGAAACCTTCTCTATGCACCTAATGATCTATGGATTATTCGAGAACTCTTTAGCTGTGGGTATAAAAACGACGGCTGGAGCCTGAAGAGGACAGAAATAAATAGACGAATACAGTGAGGAAAATGCATGTTTTTAAATAATGGTTTTAAAAAATAGTTCATATAATTACAAATTTAACAAAAAAAATCGTTGATATCGGTTAAGAAATGCCTCTAATATAAAATAATTAAATATTGTTAATTTAAATGGCCGGGCAAACCCTCTCTACGGCGCCTTGCCGCTGTGACGTCACCTGCCGTTCTTCTGGTTGAGTGGAGCCAGACGCGTGTTTATTTTACACAGTTTGCTTTTAAACGCTGTTGAATCCGAGTCAAAATTTTAGTTATTTGGGTTAATTAATATATAATTAGTAATTAGTGATATATATAAATAGTAATGGATGAGCGAAAACAGAAAAAAAAATGGTCCAAGGCCATGAGAGAGATAACGTTAAATTATCCTATATTTTTTACGATTTATTGTTGTGAAGATCATTTTGATGTAAGTTCATATATTTATGTATATTGTCTTACATATTTATATGAAATTTGAATGTACAGGGTTATTCATTATATTTTGACACCCACATACAGCTTTAACTGCAAGTTTTAGAAGAAAACATTAAATAAAAAAGTTGCATGGTTTTTCATATACTCTCTTTTAAAATTAATTCTAGATATAAAGGGTGTCTCAAAAAAGGTGGTCCAGAAAATTGTAGGTATTTTTCGCTTTTCAACTGTCAATATTTCGTAAACATTTGAAGATAGGTATAGGATATTATACATGAAATATATCTAGAATATCTAGAAATTTCCGAAGAATCCAAAAATATATAGGGTGTTTCGCTTAAAAAAGTAACTTAATTTTGGCGTTTGCTTATGGGACACCTTGTATAATATTTTCATTACTGATAAACAATTTATTTCCTATAATTTCTTAAAAAAACAATCTTTAAAATAACAAAGGTAAGGGGGTGTCAATATATTAAAAAAAAACTTTCTTTTTCACGCTATGCTCTGGAGTTCCTTTTCCACGTACTAAACAAATATTTTTGTCTCTTTTCACTTCTACATAACCTACAGATCTCCATACGTCTCCCTACCTGATCTAAAAAATAAGTTTATAACATTAATATTTATAACTATATAAAAGTTCGTAACAGTATAGGTACCTAGTTATACTTAAATATGCCTCAGTACTACAAAGAATAAATGTTACATACCTCTCTGTTTTTTTCCTCGTAATTCAGCACCAATAAATTGGGAATTTGTATTTATAAAAGCAGCCAACATAAAAGCATCGACTTTTGGCAATCTGATTGTGCTTTTACAAACACGGAATCTGCCATTACTTAAAAAATTCTCAGAACACACAACACATACAAATAATAACTGCACAAAAAAGCATAAAAAGCTCCTTTAATCAACGCTAAAAGCAACAAAAATGTCTTAGTACGCCACCTAAATATCGTTTCAATTCGCGAGGAGTCGTTTGCGTTGTCCATAGTATTTTAATGGCCCGTTTTATAAAATTGTGGTACTGCTTTCAAGAAAAAAGTTTTTTTTTGCATTTACACATATTTATTCTAATAAATTGAACAGTTTCTGGCGAAAAATAAAATATATGCATCTTCCTCGTTGTCGCGCTAAAATTCAAAATACATTCTTTCTAGATAAATAGTTATAAATAGTTTGTATAAAGTTTTTTAAGTCTTTTAATCGTTATTGTTTGTTACTTAGTGTAAATAAATTGTGTTTAAATAAATTGTGACTTTCTATCCACACGGAACCGAGGAAAAACGTAACAATTGCTGTAAAATGTGGTATGTGTGATAGACTAGAAAAATAAAAAGACTGACAATGGCTCCGAAAAAATTCTTGAAAGACTTGAAAGTGTCCGAACTGAAATGTATACTGGAAGAGAGAGAGTGCGAGACAGATGAGAAGAAAAGCATTTTGCAAGCTAGACTGAGAGACGTTTTGGTGGTTAAATCGTTATTGTTTGTTACTTAGTGTAAATAAATTGTGTTTAAATAAATTGCGACTTTCTATCCACACGGAACCGAGGAAAAACGTAACACTGTTTTAAAACAAAAATATATGCTTACCTTCCTCATATCTTCCAATGCGACAACCTTGTGCGACTCGAAACACCTCATATAATGATGGGCCGAATCGCAATTGTTGCACAAAAGATTGTGGCAAGTGTTGCATCGGGATTTGGCAATCTCTTTCGCCGTGCAAGAGGTGCAGGTGGGATTCACAGAGTGCGACACGTCGGACACGTTGGTTTTCGTCACGTCCAGAGGAAGAGCAGCCACTTTTTTAAGTCCAACCTAAATCAAACACACAATTTGAACAATATTCAAAGCAAAGTATTTTAAGCTAATGTCGTGGTCCTCGGCCATATCATTGTCAAAGGTCCACTCCGCCTTTTTAGCATTTTCTTATTGAATTTGGTAATTATTTTTCTGATACTATATGTACTTGATATGTGCTATACGTCGATACTAGTTTTGTACCTTTTGTTAACATTTAATACGTTTTTTACATAATTAATTAGTATGATACCACCGCCTACATCATAGGTGTAGTCAAAACATTTATCAAAAATATAAATATCCCTTCACGCAGCTAAGTTAAGAAAAATATATGGCCACGGCACTGTTTGGAGCCATGGTAACAATTTGGTCTGGGGTGTTATATATGTCCTTGTATTATTTAGTCATTGCTTGGTGAGTGTCTAAATCGACTCTTATTCACGAGATATCTCATCCGGCCTCAAACCGGCATGAATGAGCAGTGTTGTCACCCGTCCATCCTCTCGCATCCTCTAACGTCGCTTAACTTCGGTGATCTATCAGGAACCGGTGTTTCGACGTAGCTGGACCGTATACAGGGTGTTTCAAAAACATGTGCCATCTCTCATGATCTCAATACAGGGTGTTAGTGTCTTAATATTTTTCGATTTATTATAATTTTCTTCCAAGTACTTTTAGCGTTTCAAATGAAATTTTGAGGGTAAAAGTTTGAGGGTAAATGCAACATATTTTAAAGATAAAAAAGTGTCGATATATTCACCAGGGACGTGCATATGGGTTATCACTGGAGTCTTTTTTTAAAAAAAGCATATACGCCACTCACTTTTTTTCTCTTGTTGGCGAAATAGTGTAAGCAGTCTAATGCCTATTAAAAGTTGTCTTTTAATATTTTGGTCGATTTCGGCCTCCTTGATCAGATAAACGCTATTTTATTAATTTGCCTTGATCCAAGTCTAATAGCAACCTTTAAAAAAATTTAATATTAACTTGCGAAAGTTTTAAATACATACTCATTAATTCCTCATTAAAAAATATGAAAAAAAGTTCCTATAAACATGGGTATGGAAATGCATGGTTTCAGAGTTACAGGATGTTAAATCTTTTTAAAATTAAGTTTTTTTGTAATTATCTTAAATACCATTATTTTTTTATTTGAAATTGCTAGATTGGATTAATAGTAATACTAACTAATAGTAATAATATTTAATAATAAATAATAAGGCAAAATACATATATAATTTATTAATTTCATTTTTATTTTAATTTTATTAATTATTATTGTGATTAATAAAATTGCGTTTATCTCATCAAGGAGGTCGAATTCGACAAAATATTAAGTGATAACTTTTAATTGACATTAAACGGCCTACACAATTTTAATATCAAAAGAAAAGTCAGTGGCGCACATGATTTTTTTTGAAAAATATTCCAGTGATAACTCATATGCGCGTCCCTGATGAATTTATCGACACTTTTCTAGCATTAAAATATGTAGCACTTATAGTAATTTTTACCCTCAAAATTTCATTCAAATCACTAAAAGTACTTGGAAGAAAATTACAATAAATCGAAAAATTATTGAGACTTTAACACCCTGTAGCTTCGAAACAAAGCAAAATCTGACCTATGTTGATATGAAAAATAAATCTTATTTTTACATGAGGAATCTACCCACGAGAAATGGCACATGTTTTTTTGAAACACCCTGTATAATCAATAGTTTTTATACCTTTGTGGAGTGTTCATTGGTTTGTTTCATTTCACATTAACATAGTGTTGTTAGAATCGAATACAAACCAATGAATTTTAAATGTTAACGCGTCTCTATGTCTACTTATTTCCCTGTATTTATAAAAAGATTAAAGATACTGTAATATATTTATATTATTTTTTGTAAATTAAGTGATATATATTTCAGTGTAGGCAAAACGAGAATCATAAGATCATTAACGTTATGTGTAAACTGAGCCTTAAGATATGCTGTTAAAATTGAATACAAATCAATGAAATGATACATATGTTAAGGTGTCTCTATTTTAGCTCTCTATTTTAGCCATGTTTCATGGCTAATCTTACTGTAGGTTTGACCAATTATTTCATTCTTCTTTTTTGTTATAATTGAATACAAATCAATGAAATGATATGTTAAGGTGTCTCTATGTTTACTTATTTCTTTGATGTATACTGTATATATACAGGCTAAAATACGACTTTTCATGGCTAATCTTACTGTAGGTTTGCCCAATAATTTCTTATTCTTCTTTTTTATTATAGTCCCCACGATAACATCTTTCATTTATATTTATAACCATAGCAAAACTACCAAGAAAATATCCTCAGTAAAAACACATAAAGTGTAGTTCTTGTGACTCAACCTTGATAAGTCATAGGTTTGTGTTTTATTGTGTAACTTTATGCAATATTACGTATAATGCATAATGCAGTCAAGTTATTGTGCCTAATTACTGTATTATTGAAAAAAAAGGCGTCACGTTAACTCGGAAATGACGATTGATGACATTCCCCAAATATAGCATAACCCAGGAGAAAAACTTGATAAGCGCCAATTTCTTAATTTTAAGATTTTACAATATTATAGTAGGTCTAACTGGTCCCTACAAAATGTACAAACTCTGCAGGGCAATAAGTTGTTAAATTCTATGATATATGCCTAGTAAAAATATAGAATACACGGAAAAAAACTTGATAATAACCAGCCGTCCAGCGCTCTCGTCAAATTAGTAATTGCCATTTGCAAGACAACTCTGAAGCATTCTTAATTGTAAGGTATTCCTATTAACCGACATATAACTAAGTAACTCTAACATAAATAACAGAATTGGCTAAAGTAGGATCACAATGGCATATTTATGTAGCGTTGCCAACCGTCCTCTATTCCAGAGAATAGTTCTCTTTTTGAGTGTACTGTTTTTTCCCATGTAGTATTGAAAAAGTCCTCTTTTTTACACACCAAAGTTAAAATCTAAAAAATAATCATCTATCGCCATAACGCTTAATAAAATTGTTAATCTGGCAACAATGTGTCCCCCTACTCCCACTTGTTTGTACAGAAAAGAAATATTTACGTACAAGAAATGAATGCAATATATGTGAATGCAATATACATGTTCAGTTTTTTTATGTTTACTTACTGTTAGTGAAATAAAACGTTTTGTAGGAAATTGTTTGTTTTATTTTACCAAGTTTTGGGTACATTTTTAAGAAAAGAAAGGACATAATGTTTACATAACTTTTGGGTAAATGCTCGACATTTGGGCGAGGATTCAAGAAGCGTTTCGCCTGTAACGCTTTTTTACCCCCTTGTCATTTTTTTATTTTATAAGATGGCAACCCTATCATATTTATATGCTAAAAGTATAATTAAAGTAATAATATGAAATAAAACTACTTAGGTATACCAGATACTATCTAATAACTCAAATATTGAAAATGGTATTTTACCATATAAACCTCTTCTATTTCAAAAAATAATAATTCAATAATTTAAAATGTAAACAATAAAAAAACATGCCTTGGTTAAAAAATATTTAATTTCGACAAATTCTTTGAATAACATATGGTTTAAGGTACCAAATTCCATACAAAAATAAACCTAGGATAATGCCATCTATTTATTCAAATACTTTTCTTAAAAATGTCCAATTCTCAGTAATATTATCTAATCAAAATGTATCAATTATCATAATTACTTCATAACATAGAAACAAATACAAAAATAAATTTGAATGAAACAAATCTTATGTCAACTTGTTTGTTTACTAAGTAATCAATAAACTAGACACTTTTATTTCGCCTAATCTAAGACAAATATAAAAAGTACCTTTCGAATTTAATGGTACCCAACTGACAGAATTTGTATTGACAACAAAATTGTTCTAATTCCAGTTTTTAAATATTGTTTTAGGATATTAAATATTTAATATGTAAATAAAATATAATGGTGTAATAGTTGAGAAAATTGTGTAATACATTAAGCATTTGATGACGACTAGGGATACAATTAACAGCCAGAACTTTCTATTAAACTGTTTTGTATAAACAGTCAAAAAATAATGACAATGCATGACCTACAGATAGCATTTTACTATATACATACTGTCTTAAAGATATTCTTGTTGTTAAATATTCACAATAAAATTACCTTAGTCTCAAAATCACAAGTCGGGCATACAATTGCAGTATTTGGACTCCCTGCATCACCCCCTTCGCCCATAAGTTTCTTTTCCAAACAACTTTCGCAGAAAACATGCAAGCAGTGTAACATTCGAGGCATAATTAATGTGTCACTATAAAAACAAGATAATTTACATAAATATACTCAATATTTTGAAAGAGGAAAAGGTTTTTAACCATAATAATATAGAAGAAAACTTACCCACAAATACCACAGTTATCTGGATCAGCCAAAAGAGCATCATCCAACTGCTCTTTACATATGTTTCCGTTCATTTCTATAGCGCTGTCATTTAGTGAGAACTCTTCGGACTTTATGGCATACTGGTCTTCCGATATATAGTCTTCCTTAATGTTTGTACCCATTGTTACATTTATTTTGTTTATTGTTTTTGCCACAGTAAAATTTGACCCTTAATATTTAAAACCAGTAGGTATAGGTTCCCTTGTAGGCCTGTAGTTCTCCAAAAAACCCTATTCGCATGAATAAACGTTTATCTAGAACAACAGATCGGAATATTCATCTAGAATAATTGTGTACCCTCGAAAGAATCACTAGTGCTTCGTTTTCATGCGTGAAAAACAGTAGAAATGGGAAATATTTACCGCGGAAAATATGGTGAAATAGTAAGGTTATGATAATACTTATTGCAAATTTGGATTTTGGAACTATATGAACTGCATTTCGTAAATAGAACATGAATAAAATAGGTCTTTAAATGCCTTTAAATCGGCTAAAAACTTACCAATGCCATGACGAGCAAATGTTTAGCAAATGGCGCGTCTGCGTCTAAAAACACAAGGACAAAATGGTTATTGAGTTGGTGAGTTTTAGCACTGTCCACGTTAAATCATCAACCGATCGACATGCGTCGATTAAATTGTGCTTTGGAATCCGCTGAGTGCCGCAGAAGAGGTATTTTGTTCTCGATTTACGTTATCGTTTTGAAGAAATGCGATAAATGCGAAAATTAGATGTCTGGAGGAACGTCAAAATATCTGCAGCCCCGGAAAAGCACGTTATGCAATTTTCGACTTTATTTCGAAAGTTGCCAAGTGTTATTTTTGAGTATTTTTGGAAATAGATCTACCAAACCGCATAAAATAAGTTTTTATATATTGGAAAAGATAATGGTAAAAAATACAATTTATTCAAAGGAAAATAACCGGTTGTCTATTAAGATTATTTTTCAACAATACAAAAACTAAAAATAATACATTACCAATGACAACAGCATTGACAAGTTAAACAGATTCGGCGTACAATTATTACCATTACTACGTTCATTGCGTCGCAAATAATTATTTCAACCTATGTATATTATTAAATTGCATTGTTTAAATAATTATGTATCATCACAAAATGTAAAAAAGAACAAACTTACCAGGAAAAAATAGAAAAAATATCAAAGAGAAGCTGTCGCTAAACAAAACTTGTACAAAATGGAGTTTGTTATTCAATTGTTTTTCAACGATATCTTAGAAAGACTAGATAGGTATGTTATTAAACATATTTAAGACAAATATACTCGGTTTACCAAACGATTTTAAAAGTTTCTATTCGTCTAGTGCATAGTACATAATCGCATTTTATATGAATTTTAGTATCTCTTATAATTTAAGCTTAGTTTTTAAATGCCATTGATAATTCTAAATTTGAATTGAAATTTTGTGTTTGGCGGTTGTCTTTATATGACATGACGTTTATCCCTTTTAAGTATGTTCCGAAATTTGCTTCCAAGGAATCCAATACAAAATCATAAAAACAAATATTACAATGGATTATATTATTATTATATAATTAATTTATCACAAATGTGTAAAATAAGATTATTACAGATATGCCGTGCTACCCTAATAACCACTTTCATTGAAAATTTAATTTAATTAGTTCTGAAGATTTTGTCGAACGCACTCAAAATAACATGCTCGATTTTTAGGTTAGAAAACGTTTGACACTGACAGCAAACGTGCCGAAATTTTTCAATTTTTCACAGTTTTTAACATATTTTTCATTTTATTTAATTTAATTAATATAAAATTTCAACATACTCTCTGGTACAGGGATAGTTTTAACCGAGACTAATAATGGTAAATTTGAGTTAGCATTTATAAGTTTAAATATTTATTTACATACTGTGAGTGATGTAATGTTGACTTCTTTTAGGTCACTGTTGAGAGAAAAGGTACCTTTAAGGTAGAATATCTTCAAAAAATTGAATCGGAGGCTCAAGAACGCTGGAAGAATGAGAAAATATTCGAAATAGACGCTCCAGCAAATCCAAAAAAGTCGGATGATGATAAATTTTTATGTACGTTTCCTTATCCATATATGAATGGACAATTACATCTAGGGCACACATTTTCTTTATCAAAATGTGAATTTGCCGCGAGGTAATTTTTTAAGAGCTTTCTTTACAGAGTCAGAACTAATTATATATTACTTTTTACTTAGATATAATCGCTTGAAAGGTAAGAAAGTTCTGTTTCCTTTTGGGTTTCATTGTACAGGCATGCCGATAAAAGCATGTGCTGATAAGTTAAAAAGAGAAATAGAGGTATTTGGCTTTCCTCCTCAGTTTCCTGTAGATGAAGAAGTAATTGAAACAAAGGAAGAGAATGATGGAATACCAAAAGATAAAAGTAAAGGGAAAAAGGTAATCATAGTACAAAAACAAGAAGCAATAGTTTTAGAATTTATTTTTCAGAGTAAAGCAACTGCTAAAGCAGGCTCAGCTAAATACCAATGGCAAATCATGGAAAGTCTGGGTTTAGGGAACGAAGAAATAAAAAAGTTTGCTGACACAGATTATTGGCTGGAATATTTTCCACCTCTTGCTGTCGAGGATTTAACTGCTCTAGGCCTCCATGTCAGTTAATTTTGGTTATTTATTTTATTGATTTTACTAACAATTTATTACTATTACTGTAGGTCGATTGGCGAAGAACTTTTATTACAACTGATGTAAATCCTTTTTATGATTCGTTTGTAAGGTGGCAGTTTTTAAGATTAAAGGAAAGAAATAAAATTAAGTTTGGAAAGAGATATACGGTTTATTCTGCGAAAGACGGGCAGCCTTGTATGGACCATGACAGGTCATCTGGTGAAGGAGTGGGACCGCAGGAATATACTTTGATCAAAATGAAATTGTTGGATCCCTTACCTGAGAAGCTTAAGTAATTTTAAGGACAGGCGGATATATACAGGGTGATTTTTTAAATAGGTTGATGTATTTTAAAGGGTAGTATATCTGTATAGGGTGGTGTTTCTTAAAGGGTAGTATATCTGTATAGGGTGGTGTTTCTTATGTGACATAATCTATCCAGGGAAAATGATAATTTATGTTTGAACAAATTTTTTGGAGTATACTTCAATGGTACTCCCGCTTAATTTTTTTCTTAGAATCTGAAAATCAAATACTATATAGGGTGTTTCATTAAAAAAAATACTTTTAAATATACAGGGTGGTCTGAACTGTATTCCAGAAACTTTAGCAGCACATTGTGCAGATAAAAATAAGTAAAAAAGTTTGTATAACTATATGTCCTAAAATGCTTAGTTTTGGAGATACAGGGTGTAGAAGTTTTATTTTTATTTCAATTTTTCTCAAATAATTTCTGAAATAACGTCGATATTTGGATGAAAATTGTTGAAAGTTTTTTGACATAAGAAATTTGATTTTGATGTCAATATCACTCCTATTTGTAGAGGACGCCACCTACATGTGTTTTAACTGGTTTGAAGAGTAATAACTGTTCGTCCTTACCTGTATAAAACTGTTGAGCAAAAAAAATATACATTTACTAAGTTTTTTACATAAAAAATATATATATAATATTATATTCTCGAGATATTTGGAATCGAAATTATCAATACCTGTCATGGACATAAACTAAATGTGTTGACTAAATAGTTATTAGACTGAAATCATAAATTTGAAATGATTTTGTATTAAAAGTTCAACAGAAACTGGTTTATTATCATTTTTTCGAAGAAAAATTTATTATAATTAAAAAAATAAATAGTTCCCAAATTTATAATTTCAGTCAAATAACTATCTATTTAACATATTAATTTTTTGTCAATAATGACATGTAGTGACTACTTCCATTTTAAATATCTTGAGAACGGTTGCTTGTAGCGATTTTTACCATGAGACATTTTTTACGTAAAAAATCACGGAAATGCATATTTTTTCACTCAATAGTTTTATACAGGTACGAACCTGTGTACGAACTATAAAAATGTTTACTCTTCAAAACAGTTAAAACACATGTAGGTGGCGCCTCCTACATATAGGAGTCATATTGACATCAAAATCAAATTTCTCATGTCAAAAACTCCCAGTCACCAATTTTCATCCAGATATTGACGTTACTTCAGAAATTATTTAGAAAAAATCGAAATAAAAATGAAATTTTACACCCCGTATCTCCGAAACTAAGCAAATTAGGACATACATTTATACAAACTTTTTTACTTATTTTTATCTGCAGAATATGCTGCCCAAGTTTCCAGAATACAGTTCAGACCATCCTGTATATATTTTTTTGAGTTACCCTGTAGAATTCTACATATACACTGTACAAAATAAAGACATTTTTTCTATTTACCATTTTTAAAACAGGTTGAAAGTAGCTAAGTTATTTAACTTTTAAACATTAAAAAATACTTGCATTTTGGGAACTGCAGGCATCAGCCAGTTCTCAGCTTATCCCACGTACAATGTTGTCATGTTGACAATAAAGTATTTATTTAGCTTAATAGCAACTTACAAGATTGTATGTAATCCATGGGGTTTTAATAATAATTAAATTAGAATTACTGTAGACTTATAAACATGTAAATATGCATAAGGTGGCAACATTGCAGAGCCACGATACACCGCCATTTTCAGAGAATGAACCTGCAGCATTAAAAAAAATTTTTAAACAAAAAGGTAGTGTTTCTGGGGTCTAAGAGCTTGAATACACTGACGACCTGGTCGCACCGGTCAGGTTGCTGCTACCTCTAAAACCATTAAATCAAATGATACAGCGCACACTAACGTCCTGGCCGTTGGTTGGTCATTGCGACCAGTAGACTGCACTAAAATATTATTTTTTGTCGCTTGTTGCCGGTTTTCTTCCAAATTAATAATTTTTCAGATGAAATCCCTCAAATTCAATGCAAAATATTTTATTTTCTATAGTGTTTTAGTGTAGTATTTGCACCACGTGCAGAAAATTAAACAAAAATAGTATACAGACTGGATCAAAGGGAAACTTAAATCTAGTCCCTTTTTTTATCAAGGGTCGATTCTAGTAAAAATTCAAAACATTTTTAAATGACATACTCTATTTTGGTATCATACCTGTTATTATACCTTTGAGTTTCGATGTTAAAAAATTAAAAAAACATATTTAAAGTTTTTCTACAACCACTTCTTTTTTTTATTAAATTAGTTTTTTTAGTTGTATTGTAGTCATGTACAAGGGGGACAATTGTATTTTAAATATTATATTTAATTTAACGTTTTTCAAACAGGGCATTAGACTTTATTTTTACTAGGTAGATTATTTTTCAAAAAAAAATAAGAGTCAAAGTAACTTAAACATTCATAAAAATAGAAGTATTTACTGTTGTAGATTCTCAGTAACAATAAAAAAGAGGAATTTATATTGTAAACATTGAAATAACTGGAAGCTAAACTTTTTACCTGATTATATTTAGAAAGCCAGTGTATGACGACCTTTTTTTACGATGGTCTTAATATGTTTACTTCTAAAGTCGATAAGGGCCACCAGTAGAAGTCCATATCAGTAGAAAAAAGAAACAGAATATCTCCCTTTTTGTCGGTCGCGCGTACACAATGCTTATTGTTCGGCCTATTTGTTCTGCTTGTTCGTGCGCGCTCGGTTCGTTCGGGCTAAAATGCTCAAGTCTGGACGCACCTTTAGGAATTATACTGTTTTTGTCCTTCATGATATAATGCTGAAAATCTCACGAGTTACATGAAGGTTATATGTCTCACTCTACAAATATTAAATTACATAGACGTAGGATGTAGAATATTCTGTTATGAAACGACTGATGGAATAGCAGGCATCGCGGATTTGAAAAACATGGAAATAACGACGTTACCGTGTAGTCGGGGTTGTAGGTTTTACTTACTCTTACCACACCAGTATTTATTAACGAAAAATCCAAGAATATTTTAAATGCATTATTTAATATTAGAACATTTAATAAGCCCATGAATAGCAACTTCGCTTTTTAGTTAACTCGGATATTTTAACATTTCTGAAACTTAATTCTTTCTGAAACAATATTTTCTAATTGGTAAAACGTAAAAAATCGTTAGATCTGACAACTCTGTTGAAACTGGTCGTTCATCTAGTCGTTGCGACCTGGTCGTTAGTGATTTCGAGCTCTAACTAGTTAAAATACTCCTACTTATTTAAAAAACACTCTGTATTTTTAACTAAACCAACTAACAACTTATCGTTTTTCAGAAAGTTTTCTAGTAAACCAATTTATCTAGTTGCCGCAACTTTACGACCTGAAACAATGTACGGTCAAACCAATTGTTGGATAAGACCCGACTTGAAATACATAGCGTTTGAAACAAAATCGGGAGAAATATTTGTCTCTACTGATAGAGCAGCCAAAAACATGTGTTTTCAGGGATTCACAAAAGTCGAGGGCAAATTTGATGTGGTTGCCGAACTTTTGGGAGAGGTTAGAATTTGAAAAAATATCTGTTTTTGGTTTAAAAATATAATGGTTTGTAAAGGATCTTTTAGGCCGTGCTTTGAAAGCACCCATGACTTGTTACGACAAAATATATTGCTTACCGATGCTTACGATTAAGGAAAATAAAGGAACAGGTGTAGTTACTAGCGTACCTTCAGATTCACCTGACGACTATGCCGCTTTAGTTGACTTAAAGAAGAAACAGGTATATTTTTTGTTATTACCATCACAAAACATCGCTCTTTAGAATTTTGACTTAAATGTCATGAAATGAAAGTAAAAGCAGCGCCCTCTTGAGTTTGTTTGCGTACTAAATTCATGAAATATCGATCCCTATATTTAATTTTTTTTTGATTACAGAAACACTTTTAATTGTAATTTATATATGTTACAGTAAAAGTTGTAAATCAGTGATTGTTAACAATTACTAGTAAAAGCTCACATTCACTGATTTGTTAAGACTACGTCAGTAAAAGTTCAACAGCTATTTTGGAAATCAACTTTTACTAGTGAATGCTAGCATTCCCTGGACGATAGCAGTGAGCTTGAAAGATTTAGTTAGCGCGGTTGCCACATGTTGTAAAATATAAAGATAAATAAGGATAAGTTGAATAATAAGCAATATAAGGATAACATTAAATTAGGCTAAACGTTGGCAATGTTGACAGACATCTGATGTAAATTCGCTTTGTTTTTGTGGTTATGTATAATTGTTTTGTTATCGTTGTAAAAAGTGCTGTGCGGTATTTTCCGAAGAAAAGCGTGGAGGATTATTGGTTCAACTTTTCTTGGCCGTAACTTTTCAAGGATACGTTGACCGGTGAACGTTACTTACGTTTTTTAGAGAACGGTTTTCAAGACATGTTAGAAAAGTTAAATTTATATACTCGCGCATTAATAGAGTGGTTCCAGCATTACTTTCATTAGGGACAATTTTTAAAATAGCCAAAATTTGTTTTTTTCAAAATATCTACCAAGCCATGAACTTTTTCAAAGATCTGGAACACGCATATTTATGACCCCGCAAAACTGCAATTCTTTGCCCATTTAACCGCCTCTCTATCTCCAATAGTTTCCGAGATGCCTATAGAGAACATCATATAAACTCACCTTGTATATTAATGGTGGACCCTGAAATTCACATAAGCATAGTCCCAAACTGCAGCAAAAGTCGCCTATTCCTATATAAAATTCACTACAAATTAAGTTACTGCAGCAAAATTCGTCTTATCCGCATATATTTGCTTTTTATTGTCATTATTGTTGCAAATCCCGCTATTCATAGGCTTTTTACACAAATATAATATTACTACTGACGGTCTTATCCATTTCAAATCCTTAACTAATCCTAATTTTAATAAAATAGCATATCTAATAAATCAAGTTAGGATGCAAATATCTTGGTGTAGCAATATCCTTATCCCAATTATTTTTGTGTTTTTTCTCTTTAAAAATTAAATACTAATTTTTATTTCTAGAAAAACGAGATACAAAACAATGATTTCACTCAATGGACACGTTTTTTGTAAAACAACGCTTCAAACATTTGCTAAAACCAGTTTTTGCATATTATCAAAACAACGTTTTTAGGACAAGACGGATTTTGCAACTTGACCACAGATTAGGTATCCTATAAGTATACCAAAGAAGTATATAGATAAAAATCTTGTCCCTAATTGGTGGTACGAAAATTGTTTTTTATAACGATCAGCAAACGAGTAAAATTTCCTGTGCGCAAAAATAAACTCGCGTTTAAACAGCGTAATAAGTGGGCCGGTCAGGCGCTGTGCACAATTTTAGAGGCCATAAGTGGGCGTGCTATGTGCGCAAACTAGTAACCTAACTAGTGCGCGACTCCGAAAATTGGAACCACGAAAAACAATGCTTTTAACGATCAGTTTATAGTCTTTATAATCTGTGATTTGACGCCTCGTATGTAGGCGAAAAAAACGGACGTTTTGCTTGATCTACTCCTTCCTTATTCTTTTTATACTTTGTTTATTATATAATACTGTCAATAATAGACTTTTAAATTCTAGCCGTTCAGAGAAAAGTATGGTATTAAAGATGAAATGGTATTGCCATTTGAGCCGGTACCTATACTGGAAATACCTGGGTTTGGAAATTTGTCAGCTGTCACTATATACGAGAAACTAAAAATTCAAAGTCAAAATGATAAAGATAAGCTGGCTGAAGCTAAGGAAATTTTGTACCTTAAAGGTTTCTACGATGGGGTAAGATATTTACCTTTTTTTTACTATACCGTGTCGGCACGAAACAGTTTTGGGTCTGTATTCACATATTTACGACGCTTGGGAAAACACTTGCTTGAATATATACAGAGAAGACCAGGCTACTAGTAACATAACAAGTTGCCAGACGAATTTACGTTTACCCAATTTGCGTTCGTACTCGAGATTCACTGCCGGCTAGTCGGCTAGTCAGGCAGTACGAAGTTGCAGTTATGCTTGGACGGGTTGGTCGTGACAGACTAGGAATACGACGCGAGGAGTGCCGAGTATTTATTATTTTCATGTTAAGTGTTTACCTTCACTTAAGGTAACATTTAAAATAAAAATACTTAAATCTTTATTATTTGAGTGTTTTACCAGCCAAAACTAAAAATAAATAAATTCTCTAAACACAAAAAGAACTAAAATATTACTCTAAATAAAAAAAAAAGTTATAACAAGTGTTGAAAAAGACCACCTTCATGTGCTAGATAGAAGCCTAGGCGGTCGTAAAATCCCCGTCTGACATTGGCTAACATATTAGGGATTAGTTTGGAAAGCCTCTCGTATTTTTACTTGAAGCTCATCCAGTTATTAGTCCTATTATGACCATAACTTTAGGTTTTACATAACCCCACAAAAAGAAATCATTGGGAGAAAGATCTGGTGATCTATCGGATCACAAAATAGTTCCATATCCACTAATTAAACGATTAAACACTTGCTTTAACTCCTGTTCTTCATTAATCAACACATCAACATTGTGTTTTTGTGGGGACACGCACCCATGTGTTTCAAAATTATTAATAACTCTTGATATAGTAGGTAAAGATAGAATTGGCCTGTTTACAAAAGTTTGTGGAAAAATTGTTTGTATATCCCAATAAGACCTATTTTGGAAATACCATTTTACAATTTGAATTTTCTCACGAACTTCGTAAACATCCATTATTTTACTTAAAAAATAAATTTTACACGAGAACTGTCGCGAGAATCTATGTATTCGTTTTGGCTATTAAAACACGAATAAATACAAATTATGAAACATTCTTATCACATATCTACCTATTTTTATTTTATGGCATTTTTTCGGCTGCTTTTTATCCGGCGGACGGGTATACGCTAATTCGTCCGGTTCTGCCTATCTTACTACTAAGGTGGTCCGGTCTGTATAACAGTTTAGTACATATATATATCTTATTAACTGAGCGTTTTGACTGTACTCTTTGTACACGCGAAAATCGGCACCCAAAGCGAGCCTTTGCCGACCTTGTATACATTTATGTACTACTTAAGGTAATAACAAAACAATTTCCTATGCACGTGATCAACTTTGAGTGATCAGCGATGGCGGCAGCACCGCCAGATTGTGATGGATTTATGAGATGAATATTAATGTAAAATTGGGAAACAATATATTTGTTATATCATTTTTTAAAGATTTTTACGTTTTATTTTTAATTTAAATTAGTATTTTAGTAATAAATTTATTTATTAACAGTAGTCAGTATCACTCACAGTAGCAATATTTAAAGTTCAGGCAGCAGCTACTCGCTACAAATCGAAATAAGTAAAAATAACTTTCAAAGTGATATGTGCTTACCAATCAAACTTACTTTTTTAACTGCTGTCAAGGACCTTTATTGTCACGTTCCAGTTCAACATAGCTTATCAGGAAAGCTACAAGCTTTTTGCTTTGACTGTTTAAATGCTTCGACATATTTTCGACACACAATTTCAATAAATGCAATACAAAAACTCGAAAATTTAGTTTTTAAAAGAACTGTTTGTGCTTAAAAGTACAATTTTAAAAAAATACTATGAAAATCGACAAAAAACAATAATTACTCCCAAAGATTCAACAACAAGATATTATACAAAATATTGACTGACATCGATAATTATCATAATGTCAGATAATTACAGTTAAATAATAAACGACAACGTTGCTGATCCCGGCGCAATGTGACCAACATGGCGATAATAAAAATCGCTTTAAACTAGTAGTGGGAACTATCGAATGAATACTATCGAAACATTCGATAGTTGCAATTCATTCGAATAATTCGATAGCTAGTAAAAAAACATTCGTTGAAAACTATTCGAATAAAAATTATCGAATAGATGCGTCATCTGCCTTGAAATATTGTATTCTAGTAATTCGGTAGCAAAAACCATTCATTTATAAAATTCATTCATTTATCAAATTCATTTATTCGTCAGGATCCGATAATAAAATATTATCGAATAGATGCGTCATCTGCCTTGAAATATTGTATTCTAGTGAGGTAAATTTAAAACCATTCATTTATAAAATTCATTCATTTATCAAATTCATTTATTCGTCAGGATCGATTATAATAAAATATTAACTGGATTTTAGTAGTCGCCCGGCGACGTAGGTTTCTTTCGAGAAACCCGACAGCGGTCGGTGGCAATGCTATGAAAGAAGCCGGCATCTTTGATTTTTTGCGGAGTCATATAAAGATAAGGACACATTATTTTTTTTTTATTGAGGTGCTAGTATTTACACAGAAAATACATTATGAAGGGCGCTGTTGCCATATATTGGTATTAATTGATATTAGCAAAGAATATTATTGTTTGGCTTTAGTTAGTTAGCGATAGTATGTATAAATATTTTGCATTTTTTTATTAATATTCTGTTGTTAGGTTAGGTTAGGTTAGATAATAAAATATTTTGGATGTAGGAAAATGATTTTTAATGTTTTTAAGCAAAGACTGGTTTAATAAAAATAATAATAACAGTAATAATTTGTTATACCTATAACAACAAAATTTAAAATAATTTAATATAAACATTTTTTTTTACGTAGTAGCAAAATATAAACAACAAATTAGATGTCAAAATTATTTATATTAGATCCTATTTAAAAATAATATAGTCTTTAAATTTCTTGTGGCAACGTTGGTTTATTAAATAATAATAATTACAGAACTAATTTGTTATATTAACAACAAACTTTAAAATCATGAAATATAAACATTTATTAATTTTCTAAGCATGCAGTGTAATGGAAGGAAAATATAAATAAAAAATTAGAAATCAAAATTATTTATATTAGGTACTTTATATTACTATTTAAAAATAATATTTACTTTTACTGGCATTTACTTTAAAAAATAAATGAAATATTTCTTCGCAAAAAACTACATGTAAGAGAATTAGCATAAACAAAAAACTAACATTGTTAACTTTTTTTTTAAATTGGCACGTGTAAAACTTTCAATTTAATTTTCTCACCCCATAGTTTGAGTTCGAGAACCATTTACTTAACCACATTACTTAAATATGATTATTAAGTTCAACTAATTCGTATTATTAAAACATCTAAAATACAAATATGTATTTTTAAAATTAATTCTAAGTTCATCTCATCTCTCTTAAAAATTGCTACTTCTCAAAATTTCCCATTCAAAAATAGACCATATATACCATATAAAATAAAATAATTGAAAGATCGGGCTACGGAAAATCACACAAATTTTCGCAAAAATTTTGACACCTGCACACGCACACAATCGTCAATTAAAAAAACTACTATTTTAGTATTTTAAATATTTTAATAAACGCAAAAACAGCACAGTATTTATAAGGTGAAGTTATAAAAATTTGGAAGAACTAATAATGCCACTGACGCACGCAAAAATCAAACGAATACTAAATTTCATTTATCAAAAGCATTCGATAGTCGTGGCTCAACGATAACTATTTAGTCGCACGGCGAGGTTGTCACATATGCTTTAGTATACAAATGAATGAATGATTTTATTCGAATAAAACCATTCGATAGTTGAAATCATTCATTCAGTAACCATTCGATAGTCTAATTCATTCGATAGTTCCCATCGCTACTTTAAACCATTTAAATCAATTTTTGCTGATTTAATCTAAATAAGATATCTATTACAATCATTTGCTTTATGAAGTAAAATGAAGAGCTGCTCGGTATCTTGAATTATACAACAAATTTAAACATTTTTGCCAAAATTTCATTTTGTCAGGTTTATAGGCTTTAGTGTCAATTTTCATATGATTGATGACGTGCATCGGAAAATGGTTTGCGATTACCGTATTTATTAATTTTCTGTATATTTAAGTATTGAATTACTATACAGGTGGTTAATTTGTTTATTACTCGCGGCAAGAGCTTTATGGTTGAAATATGGCAACCTCGGCCCGCTCGTCGAGAGACGACACAACGGGACGAGTAGAGGTGTGTAGTTCGTGAACGAACTAGTTCCAATGAACTATTCCGACCCCGGAATGAAAGAAACTAGTTTCTGGTTTCTCAAAGAACTAGTTCCTCAGGACCTATTCCGAGATCGAGACTGTGACCGATATAGAATAATATGCGACGGCGACGGGTCGGCTAGCGCGCGTAGCCCTATTGTAGGCAGGAGTGGGGAGTGCCAGCCGTCCGCTCTCGGATCCGGACCTAGAGGAACTAAACTAAATAAAAGACTAGTTTACGTATGGATCAGCCAGCGCGATTGATGCTAGGCAGGCGTGGAGAGTGCCAGCCGTATGTTATCGGATCCGGACATAGAGGAACTAATTAAAAGACTAGTTTACGGGAATCTATTCAGTCGGCAGATCCGAGATGTAATACAAGGCGACGACGATGTATTCGGCCTTGTCTATTGCCACAGCCGGCGCGGCGTAATTACCACAGAAATTTGTCGTGGATACTGTTTTTGATTTTTAGTTTGTTTTTTAAATATTTTATGGGAGTGTTTCACTTTAGGTCCCTAAAGTTAAGAAATATCTTCTACGAAGTAGATATTCTGAACTTTTAGACAAAAATAAAATGCTTGAACTGAGGAAAAATGCAATTTTTCGTTAAATTTTTGTAATATTTGCTCCAATTTATTTGTGAAATAGTTTTTTAAATTCTGATTTGAGTTTTTTTTATTTTTTTTTTATCTGCAATAAAACTTACCTATATGTTTTTAACATACACAATTACACGTCTCGTTATATCTCCGTACATTATAAAAATTATACAGATCCTACTGTGAATAGTTCTTGCTGACAACGAAACGCATTAGCAAGCAAGGGATGTCAATGTTAGTCGGGAATTATTGTGAACTAAAGACCTAGTTCAAGGAACTATTCCGCTGGAGGAACTAGAACTAAGGAAGGAATGGGAGGAATTCCCACTTCTAGGGACGAGTCGGCAGCTTAGCTTAGTACTCATTTGGAATGTAAGCAGTGTTGCCATTCTGTTCCCCAATAAGTAATCGTCGAGTTAACAATCTGTATACTGTAAAATATTTTAGTGCCTGAAAATGACACTGTCACTATGTGTCAAAACAATTGCTAAATACTTTTTAGTGATTTTCTTACAAACTTATGCAGTATTTCATAATATTTTACAATGATATTTCTCGTAGGTGATGTTGGTTGGTGATTACAAAGGTAAAAAAATCCAGGATGTGAAAAAATCACTTCAAAAGCACCTCGCTGATAAAAATGAAGCTGTCATTTATTATGAACCTGAAAAAACGGTTATGTCTCGATCTGGAGATGAATGTGTGGTAGCTCTGTGTGACCAATGGTATTTGGATTATGGTGAGACGGAATGGAAAAAGCAAGTAAGTGAAGAAAATAGTTATAATACGAAAGTTGCAATTTTTTATGGTAAAATTATATCAATATAATTTTACATGGGGATTCTAAATAATATTTTCTCTTAAATAATAACTGTTTATGTATTTATAATTAATTTATTTTTGTTTTCTGAAATATTCTGATTAAAAGAAAATAGGTAAAAGTGAGCAACACTGTACCGGTCAAGCTTAATCACGTGACTAAACTTTAATTTTTATGATCTATATATAAAGGGTGAGTCTTAATTAAGTGCAAATGTTTTTAAGGGTATTATATCTATTGGAAATTTTTTTAGTTAAAAAACATCATTTCTTGATAATCTGGCTACTTAGGTAGTATATATTTCAAAAGCGGTAAAAAAAAACATGTTTCTTTTATCGAGATCTACCAGCCCTGAAAATATTTGCACTTAAAGACTCACCCTGTATTATAGAGACAAGGCAAGCTGTATTAAATAAAAAAAAACTAAGCGAATGCATAACTATTCTCATTGCTTATTTTATTATCAAATTTTGCAGGCTCATAAATCTTTAGAGAAGATAAACACGTTTCACGAAGAGGTTAGAAAAAATTTCTTAGGTTGTCTGGACTGGTTGCACGAGTATGCCTGTTCTAGGACTTACGGTCTAGGAACCAAGTTACCATGGGATCCTAAATGGCTAATTGAATCCCTTTCAGATTCAACTATTTACAATGCTTATTACACAGTTGCTCATCTCTTACAAGTAAGTGATTAGACATTTTACTCAATACCAGCGTGTACCCGCGACTTCGTTCGCGTCGAATTAATCATTTGTAATGGTAATAATAAAGCAAAGCAAGAATTTCCATTAACATACAAACTGGATAAAATTTTCTCACATTTATGTCAGCATGAGAAAAAACAATATGGCGATATTATTATATAACTTTGTAATATTTGAGGGATAGTTTCATCTCGTTGGAACTTGACTTTCGAAAAGTCCGTTTGCCAAAATTAAGCTTTTTACGTCAAGCAGTTTAAGTAGAATCATGGTTCACCCCCTTGGCACTGGAATTCCGAAAAATCCTTTCTTATCGAACCTCTACACCCTAGAAACAACCTCTCTGCCAAAATTGTGCTTCTTACGTTAAATAGTTTGAGCAGGATCGTGATTAATCAGTGAGTCAGTCACTTAAGGATTTTATAAACAGGGTGGCCCATCGAAAACGTTCCGCAAGGCATAACGGCCAGGGTATTTTTTTTTTTCAAAAAATCCAAAAACACGTCAATTTTGTTTGTGAGTGGGACAACTTTTGCCCCAAAAATGATTGCAAAATCTGCAACCCTCTAAGCGGGGGTGTCATCCCCCAACTTTTTTCAAATGGGAAGGGGGGTCAAGTGGCGCCGCAATGAAAAGAGCTTTCTGTTCTCTATATTTCCCCGCCTCGTTTTCGAAAATCGATCGAGTCATTGAGAAAATATGGCCATAAGGATTGAAATTTGAAAAGTTTATTTAAACATTTATCAGAATAAATGATAAGGATAAATTCCTTTGACCAATTTGAGGTTTTTTCTTATTATTTCTAGATGTTTACGTATTTTCTCACTTACCACAAGGTTGAACGATCAGGTGCGGTAGTTGCTAGATAGTTGTTCTGTGACTTGTACGTTGAAGTTCTTCTCAAAATCTTGTTTTTACTACACGATTAACTACACCGTTCAAAAAGTACACTCATCCGAAAAACAAATATTAAATAGGAAATTATTATCATTCGCCACTCGTTCACTCATAGTTTCACAAACTTGCAAGCGACGATCAAAATCGTTTTCGTTGAGTACTTGTACCAACTGAATTTTGTACGGGTGGAACTTGTGTTTTTTTAATATCCTTTGGACACTTGTACGATTCACGCCGCACTATGGGGTATTTTACCTCAAAACCTGGCCAATAATATTTTTATTTTCTTTTGCATTCTTCCGCGTTTTAAAACGTGAGAAAATAAAGAAATTGCTTCAAATTTTAATACATACCTAGCGTTTTTTTATTGACAAGATTAAGCCTAGACTCCCTCGAGTATTGACAATAACATGTCAATACTCGAGGGAGTGATTCCTCAGGTCATTTTATGGAGAAAAGTTCCCATAAACATAGGTCCAGAAATGCATTGTTTCTAAGATACAGGGTGTTGAAAGTGAAAAACACTACATTTTTATTCGATTAAAAAAAATTGTAACTGCCAAACTCGCAAAAATTAGCAAAATTTCTTATCAAGGTCTTCTAAAGGAATACTTCAGCTACAAAACCAGTCAGATCGATATACTTGATAAGGTTCGATTACATACTGAAAGTTTACATAAACATTCTGTTATAAATGAAATAATATGTCTATTATTGAACTAGCAGATTAATATTGTTCTAACTACAAAATAACAGTTATACTAAAGAGTAATACTCCATATTATACTCCAAACTAATATAAGATCAATAAAAGATCGCGATTAGTAACAAAAACTAAGATAATTATTGTTAAGTAAATTTTGTAAAAGCACAGCGATACACAGCCCGTCAATTCGAAGAACAATTTCTGATTGGCGCGGATTGTAGCACGGGGGGACATTGACCCCTACCACCCACCCTCGAATACATTCACGTTTATACAAATAATTCCTGGTATCGGTTGGTTGATATCTTGAATTTATATTTTTGAATATTGGCCAACTTTTTGGGTTAAATACCCCTTAGTGGCCCAATACGAATACCTCCATAGCTTCATTTACTACAGGATTTTCCTTCTGCCTCTTTTTATTCATAACGGAACCAGTTTCGCGAAATTTTGCTACTAACTCGCGAACAATTTTGACATAAAGGTGTTTGTCAGGATCATTGCCTGGAAACTTATATGGTGAAATTTTGATAAAACAATTTAGTACTCACTAAAAACACAGTACGTCGCTAGTGGTAGGAAAAATAATTTTTAGAGGTTACTAGTTTATTTGGTTGCCTATGATATGCATATACAGGGTGTTTCCTAATTAATCTAAAAAATAGAAAATCGTTAGAAAACGGCTTAAGGCGGGCTCTTAATAAGTATATTTATTTTTTTCTCGGCAACCGTTTGATGAACAAGAAAAACTCAAAAGATCAATTTTGTTGAAAAAGGATGGCCAGTCAAGAAAAAAATATATGTTTTTTAAAAAAGCAGTAGTGTACCATTTATGTTAAGCAAAATATCGATTTTTTTTAAAATTTTTAACACCATGTAGATCAGAAAGGAAGTACTTTAGACCCAATGGTTATATAAAAATTGTTTTAAGAAGACATGAGGAATCACACCACAATTTTTTAGACTAATTAGAAAAAACCCTGTATATTGTCAACTTGACAATGATTGTTGATAAATCAAAAAATACCTTTTCTGTGAAAAAAACCCGATTTTCGCAGGAAAAATTTTGGTTTTTATTGAATTTCGGCCTACGTCTGCATATACCGGTATGTTTTTTAATATTCTTATCTATCTAAATTTTAAATATCATAGTCAGAAATAGTTTTATTATTTATTAACTGTAAAAATGGTATACTTATAAGTTTTGCCAAATATTGTGATTTACTTTTTACCTTGTAGTCAAAATTTATATTTAATAAACTGTAAAATATATATATTCTTATGTTTTATTAAAGTTACTCTGATATACTAATATATCAGTGTAACTTTAAAACTAAATCCTTTGAAATCAAATATAAACATAAAAAATATTTCCAGCAGAAAAGGCGAAGGCGCTGGGTTAAACGTAGTCTCTACTAAGAACACGGAGGGGCGCTTTGACCCAAAATTTTACTATTAAGTTTCATATCTATCTTAATAGAAGATTATTTTCTTTTATCTATGGTCAGGATGGCGTTCATTGAATATCTGCGCAATCCTATTGCCACACTCATTATTTTTAAAATAAAGTTCGATTATTTCCACTTTTTCTGCAAGTGAGTATACCATAATTGTTAAAAAGTTTAACGATATTGAAAAGAATTTCAACGCATAAGCCACAGAACAGCTATCTAGCAACTACCGCACCTGACCGTTCAACCTTGTGGCATGTGAAAAAATGCGTAAACATCTAGAAATAATAAGAAAAAACAGCAAATTGGTCGAAGGAATTTATCCATATCATTTACTCTGATAAATGTTTAAATAAACTTTTCAAATTTCAATCCGTCATATTTTCTCAATGACTCGACCGATTTTCAAAAACGAAGCGGGAAAGTATACCACTTGACGCCCCTTCCCAGTTGAAAAAAATTGGGGGATGACTCCCCCGCTTAGAGGGTTGAAGATTTTGCAATCATTTTTAGGGCAAAAGTTGTCCCCCTCACAAACAAAATTGAGGTGTTTTTGAATTTTCTGAAAAAAAAAATTACCCTGGCCGTTATGCCTTGCGGAACGTTTTCGATGGGCCACCCTGTATTAGTATAGATTATTTTATAATATAGTATAATGTTTATATTTTGGTTTGGTTATGTGTAGGGTAATTCATTCAAAGGCGATAAACCGAATGCTTTAGGAATTAAAGCTGAACAATTAACACCAGAAGTGTGGGACTATGTGTTTTTTATAAACGCCAAATACCCAGCCAAATGCGGTATTAAAAAAGAATCGTTGGATATAATGCGTCGAGAATTTCAGTTTTGGTAATAATTTTATCACACAAAATTTTTGGCACCTTTTTGTATTATTTTTAACTCCTTCTAGGTATCCAGTAAACGTGCGTTGTTCTGGCAAAGATTTGATCCAAAACCACTTAACTTACTACATCTACAACCATTGCGCCATTTGGTCTGATGATGAATCTAAGTGGCCGACAGGCATAAGAGCCAACGGCCATTTGTTGTTAAATTCCGCCAAAATGAGTAAGAGTGATGGTAATTTCCTGACTCTCAGAACTGCTGTTGAGAAATTCAGCGCCGATGGAATGAGGTAAGAATAAATAATGAATGTAAATATTAGTGATGGGAAAAACCGATTAATTTCAATAATCGAGTACTCGAGTATCAAGCGATTGCAATAACCGAGTGATCACTCGAGCGAAATATCGCTCGTATTTAAAAATAGGGTTTTTTGTCCGCCGCATGTTGTAAGTACTCGTTAACGCCAAGCAGTAAGCTGCGTGCGCAGGGCACATATTCTTTCGGTAAGTGTGCGAACACAGTGCAAGCAGGTTTGCCGCTTACTGGTAGTCAGCGCCAATCTGGGTACCTATTCTTGACATCGTTTGCAACTTTGCGTATACGCATCATGTGTATTGTTATAAACAGGGTATCCCAGAAATAAGTGCAAGTATTTTAAAGGGTGGTAGATCTCGATAAAAGAAACATATTTTCTCTTTATCGTTTTTCAAATAAGTCCAAAATAACGGAGTTATTTTACTTTGAAAATTTCCAAAAAAAATTATTTCTTGCTAAAATTTTGAGAACCTTCTTCTTCATGTGCCTTCTCCTCATCGGAAGTTGGCGACCATCAATTGGAATTCCTCCCTGTCTTGAGCCAAACGGATAATTGCACTGGCCTCTCCTATATTAAACCACTGGCGCAAATTCCGCAACCAGGAAAACCGTTTACGCCCGATGCCTCGTCGTCCTTCAATCTTTCCCTCAACGATCAGCTGTAGGAAACTATATTTGTTATTTCGAAAAATGTGACCAAAATATAACTCCGTCGTTTTATTGTAGTCAATAGTTCTTGGTCCTTACACATTCTTTCCAATACTTCGAGATTTGTTTGAGAACCACTGGATCTTTTGTGGATTTTCTTTCTTGTAAATTTAATCTACTACCTATGTTAGGTAGTAGATTAAATTTACAAGAAAGTTTTTAGTAAAAACTAAAAAAAATTGCAAAAAAATTCCAAAAATATTTTCAAAAAATTCCGAATTTTCCAAAAAAAATTATTTAGAAAAAAACCTCATAGGCGTGTTTCTGGGGCTGAACTATACTACCAGCTAAGTTAAAATACTTGCACGTATTTCTGGGACATCCTGTATATGGGTACATAGTAGCGCCGCGCCGCCTCGCGCTTATAACCTTGAAAAATTAAAGCGTGTTATCAAATCGGCTAGTTCACAGTGAAAGCAGGTAGGCGCCGTCAACCAGCGTTCATCGGCGTTCGCGCTTTTACCGGCACGAAAATTGCTTTATTTCTGCTTTTGCACGCGCCGACGGCGCACAGAGGGTATTAAGAACTGAAAGTTGGCCAAAATTATGTTTTATGATTTTTTTTGCTTTTTTGCTAGTGATATTAATTATTAGAGGAGAGGGTGCTAATATGGAACCCCATTTTGTTTTTCCTACACAATATTTTTTCCTCTACTCTGAAACCCTTTCCACCGATCAAATAGGGCCATTCTGTGCAAAACCAAGCAATTGGATGAGGATGCTAGAACAAGAAAGTAATTTGTATATTATAGACGATATTTGAGCGAGGATGGGTGTTAATAGGGTAAAGACTATTTCCTTTAAGAATCTATTTAAATCAATGTTTTTTGTGGCAGTGGCAAATATTGGCAAGATTTTTGTACATATTCTACAGCTGGAGACTTTAAGCATTGAACGGATACTAATTTCTATGCGGAATATTGCCGAATAGTCTTACACCTTATAAAAATGCCTCTGATTTTTAAAATATAAAACATAAAGATATAGAATAGAAGGAAACGTTTCAAAATAAAAATATGGCATAAAACAGGACTTGCCAGCTGGCTCTGTATCCATCATGACAGTTATTATAAACAATTTGCAAAAAAGCACTACAAACAATTCCACTATTTTATAATCTTAGAAATATTCAAAATACACTCAAGATAATTCATACTTATAACGGAAATATATTATTTATTTGATAGTCAACTTACGACTTAAAAAAGCTAATAAACGTGCTTACATTTAGTATTTATAGATTTGTATTCAGTTAAGATAAAAAATGAAAATAAAAAAATATCACTTTTGGCCAGGTTTGTAGACCAAATACCCCTATGTGCGGCGCCGGCGCGGTGTTTGAATATGGTTAGGTTAGGTTATGTTAGTTAATCAGGTAAATTTTCTCTTAATTAACTACTTCCGAACCCTGCTCGCATCTCCGAAAAAGCCATTTAACTATACACGTGATGCATATACGCAAAGTTACGCTTCACGTGTATTGTTATATGGCTTTTTCGGAGATGCGAGATGTGAGCGATATTTGAAGATGCGAGTGATCAAGAATAGGTACCCAGAGACGGCACTGGCTGCCGGAAAGCAGAAACCTGCCTCCACTATGTTCGTACCCTAATGAACGGCATGTAGTAAGCGGCGAGCGATTCGCTTGATCGCCTGATTTAGTTTATTTCGAAGCATTGTCGATGTTAGTTTGTACTATTTTGTTAGTATTTTGTAGCTGTATCAACCAGTATTTATAATTTCTCTATATTTGCTTTACTTATTGCTCTGAAAACTGTCTCTTTTATAAAAAGAAATTGATACTAGGTTTTGCTTGGCGGATGCAGGAGATTCTGTTGAAGATGCCAATTTTGTAGAAGCCACAGCTGATGCAGGAATTTTAAGATTATACACTTTCATCGAATGGGTAAAGGAAATATTAAAATCCACAGACTCTTTAAGGTAATGCCGTATTTAATTTAATTTTTGCTTTAGTATCTATTTTTTCAATTTTTTACAGGTCTACCAAAGCAAGAACTTTCAATGACAGTGTGTTTGAGAGTGAAATAAACTTAAAAATAAAAGAATCTGACGATTTCTATAATAAAATGCTGTTTAAGGAAGCGCTAAGAACTGGATTTTTCGAGCTTCAAGCTGCTAGGGATAAATATAGGGAACTGTCGCTTTTAGATGGGATGCATGTGGATTTGATAATGAGGTATGCTGAATTTACTGTTCTGTATCATTATAAGGGCGTTTTCAAATATACAGGGTGTTCCGAACTGTATTCCGGAAACTTCGGCAGCATATTCTGCAGATAAAAATAAGTGAAAAAGTTCGTGTAAATGTATGTCCTAAAATGCTTGGTTTCGGAGATACAGGGTGTAGAAGTTTCATTTTTATTTTCATTTTTTTTTCAAAACTACGACTATATGCACCTAATGTAACTTATTCTAAAGTGTGTCCAATGACAGTGGGATAGTAACATTCCAGTCCAATTTTATTACAAGAATTTCGCCAACTAGATATTAGACTATAGTAAACGCCACGAATGTTTGGGAGTGATTCATCGCTTGATGAAGTTAGAATCGACACGCGCGCTATCATTTTTACATTAAAAACGTAATTTTTTACCGCAGACGTAGGTTTTTAAGGTCCGGTCTAATCATCTGCCTGCGCTCCTCCTACTTATTCTAAAATGTTAGCGTTCTTTGATTGATTTGTTTTTGTGCGTCAGTCCATTGGTGTGCTTGCAGTGCGACCAATGGGGCATTCCAGTTTATATTTATAACCAAATATGTATATGTTTTGACAAGACTTTGACAGTTAAAACAACAAATTACAACAGATTATATATTGATTATTATATGATTTGAAACACCACGGCACTGGAATTAAGTTTTATGTGACCTTGAACAGATTAGTTCACATGGTAGCGACCGATAAATCACTCCCAAACATTCGTGGCGTTTACCAGGTGGATGACACTTCTTATGGGAGAACTGGCAATGGTTGAAAACTTGACTACAAGCGATTTTCTAGGAATCTTCCTTACCGATAAATTATTGACAAGAGTGACAGATAAAACGTTGACGTTCTTTCAGTATCCCAGTTCATCTCTTTTTCTTTCTAAAGTGTGCGTTGAAAGGAGACAAAAACAATTTTTGGTGACCGATAATTTGTTATTCGAACACCACTTTTCTCCTTGTCGGGTCGTTGACGTTGACTTGTCGCCATTTTATATCTTGTTTACACGCTGCATTTTGCTTTGCAAATTTAATACATAAATTATTTAGGCAAATATAGGTTTTTAATAAAACTCCTCGGACTAACGTGTAGGTAAGTGTTGATATTTTTTTTTTTCATCTTAACATGCTCATTGTCGTTCTCCTGATTTTAGGTGACAGAAAAGGATCATCAAATCAAATTGAATTTTATATTTTCCTTCCTATTTATCCTTCCTAAATATCAACGAGATGAGCCATCGGAAGAAAGGGACCATAGTACAAAACAGAAAGGTGATCTTTTTTCTTTCCACTTCGGATATTGAAATTATTATATACTGTAGTCGTGTTCGGCATTATGCTCTGAGAAATATAGATAAACAAAGAACAACAGATATAAAGCATCCCAGAGGAAAAGAGAGGCAATACCTGTATGTACTCTCTCTGATATTTGTGAAAGTTACAGCAAAGTATTGTTGTAAATGTCATCTTTTTGATCGACCTGAAAACTTCGAGCAAAAAGATGACACTTTCAACAATACCCTGACAGATATCAGAGACGATACAGGTTTTTCCTCTCTTTTCCCCTGGAATACTTTTAATTTATTATTCTTTGTTTATCTAGATTTCTCAGAGCACTATGAACGAACTCAGCTTGTATGTTTGAAATAATCGTCCAGTTGGCTTAAAAATGATGATCGAAGACATTTCCCATATAATTTTACTTTCAAAATTATGATATATCTTTTATTTCTAAGCCATCTATGACGCCATTTTTTTCAGTTTTGTTATAATTAATTTTGTCTCTTGATCTACTTGTAACATTATTCTTTTAATTTTATTAATTTATTGTGGTGAAATTAATTTCTGTTGTATATTTGATATTGATATTAAACATATTTTTAAAAAATGGTGTATTTTTTGTGTATGTCATAATTAAAAATAAATGAAGAAATAAAATTGTTTATTTTTTTAAACTTCCCGCCATGCGTGACAATTTAGTCCGTAGTTCCTACAAGCGAAATTGGGGGCGCTAGTAGCAGTAGACTTGTCAACAGTGTCAAATTTAAACGTCAATTTCACTTTCCAATATTTAGCAAGGCGCTCGCACTTCTTCTTGTGTATGTGTTTTGTGGCGTTTACTAGCTTCTACGGCCCACTAGTCAACTCGCATCCCAACAATGTTGCCGTTTGTTGTCCCTTAATTTCATGATTTTCAATTGTCGGCTAAACTATAATAGAGACGTTTATTTTTACGGTTTATTTCAAAGTTTGATTGCTATTTGGTTTATTTTGTTAGAACGTTCTTAATAGTAATCAGAATACTAGATAAAGTAAGAATAAGTGAAACGAATACCAAGTTTTGTGCGTTTTAGTATAGGTTGTTTATTCTGTTATAATTTAATATTTACTAAATATTTAAAATTTGTTCAAAAATTAAATTCAAACATTTTTATTTATGAGAATATATGATACTTTAATAAAAAAAAACTTTTGATAAGCTACTAGATCTCAATTTTCACATCTTATTCAGAGTGACTGTTACTCAAATCATCTAGAAATTTTTTTATCTACTATCTACTATTCTTTGTTAAACTGAATCAGTCACTGTTTGATCGAGCTCGAAACAGCAATGTAGAAATTAGTTTAGTAAATTAAAAAAAAAATTGTTTTGTGTTTAATGAAAAGTAATGTCATTGAATATGTATTTTAATATTTTATAAAGGAAATGTCCTTGTATTCCAATGTCATATGATGCTAGTTTTAAGGCCTTTTTGTGCAGAGGATGCTTTTTTTTGCCAATTGACTCAGTCAAACTCTCCTGATGATGGGAATAAAATTCTCGAAAGCTTGACAAATTTGAAAAAGTAGTTTTATTAGCCTGTGTGGTGATTATTAACCGCATCCTCACTTAAATTTTGAGTTTTTTTTTTATAATAAATATACATATAATAATAAAGTTTTTTTCAAAAATATGTGAACTCTACAAATAATAGTTTTTGGTAAAATATTGTGTTACTAGGTTAAAATAATTATTTTATTTTAATAGAGGTAGTCTCATTCGCCGGAGACAAACAAGGTTTGGAACAAGATATCGAAACTGCATTTACTAATACACCTAAAATTTGATATTTTATTTAATAAAATAAAGTAAAAAAACACTTATTGATTTTTTTAATCTTTCAACTTATTTTTTTTACAATGCGACAAATATGTCAGTTTTATTAGTTTTCCCTAATTTATTAAACAATTATTTTAATTTCCTAAAATACTGTCGGCACGATCGGCACACCACTTCAAACGTCTAATCTTTGTACACACCTACATTGTTGCCATTGCGCAGATGCCCCTATTTCCTTCTCTATCCATTCTCTCTCGCACTCGTTAATTTTCGCAACCAATGTGTGATGAAGTTTTAGAGCATTTTATGAATGGATCATTGTATCTCCCGAGTTTAAATATCTTTGACAAGAAATATTTTTTGTAAGTCGGCTTCGAAAAAAAAACATTTTTTCTCCAAAATAATGCAGTGAGGTTTTTTGCAAGAGAGAAAAAATGTACTAAATACGGACTAGAAAATACGAGTGTCATGCAATTATTTTTTAATATTTTTGTTAAGATTATAATATAAGATTGATTATACATGATGTAATTTATATTAAAAATATATTTCTTTAGATTTATAGAAGTTCAAGCTCTACTCTTATCACCTATCTGTCCTCATGTCGCTGAAAAAGTATGGGAATTACTAGGAAATGTATGTTTACATATATAATTCTATTCTTTAACTAATTCAATTTTCTAACTTTTTAGAAAACCAGTATAGTGAAAGCTTCATGGCCCAAACTCGGTAACATTAACGAAGTTGAAATAAAAGCTTCAGAATACTTGATGGAAACAGCTCATTCGTTTAGAGTGCATCTCAAAAATTATTTACAAGGTACAACATTTAATTTAAATTTATTTAAAGTATTTTGTATTTAATTTTTTTAAATATTTTTTAGGTATAAAAACTAAACAGAATCCAAATCCTCCACCAGTTGAAAAACCAAACATTGTAACAATATGGGTGGCTAAGTCTTTTCCTTCGTGGCAAAGTTGTATTTTGACAGTATTAAAGGATCATTTCCTGGTAAGACATGTCTAATAATTGAGGTTATGTGTGTTCAGTTTTTTTCTAGCTACAGTTATATTCCTACACCAAAAATAATGTATATTCGATACCAGTTAAACTTTTAGTTAATCGAGGGCGCGAATTTTAAATTCATTGTTGCCTACCATGGACATATTCGGCGCCGGGATGACTAACTGGAGTTTAAATTTCCCGCTGGGGATTAAGGTGGTAGCTCTGCTGTAAAAAATGTCAAGTTGCCCACATTTATTTGTTACAACCTGACATTGCCTTTCGTTTTGACATTTTAGTTTTGTATTACGGGTTTTTGGTTTAATTGAATTATGTTGTGATACTTTAAGCTTAAACATTTTTACTAGCAGACCTTGCAGTCGAACATTGTTCTTTTTAGAACCTCTTTTAATGCGAAGTGTACAAGATAGCTGTAAAATACTCATATAATAATACGTCCCCTAAGTGCTGTTAACAATGTGAGTTTTGTTGATGTAAATAATAACTGTTAATATATTTATAATTAATTTATTTTTGTTTCTTAAAATATTTTGATTAAATGAAAATTTCTAAAAGTGGGCAAAGCTGTGCTGGTCAAGCTTAATCACAACTATATGACATCATAAGCCCCCATTTTTGACAGTTTTGTTTGACGTTTCAATTGAGCCATTACCACACTGGAATTCACAATTTACCGTAAACTGCAATTAGATAAATAGATAGATATTTATTTCGTATCAAAAAATCACAGATAATTTTACATAATGTCAGAATTTATAAAAATAGTACAAATAATTAAAAATTACACTAAAATCTTGTAACTATAGAAAATTATACTATATTTAATTAAAATGTATTAAAGATTAAAACCTAAACTAAACTATTATTTAAGATTTAACAGACTGTGACTGAGATTTGAAGATCTGTGACTGTTACCCAACTGTTACCTCTCCCAAGTCTAAATCGAGATTCGTCTGCACTATACATAGATGGCGCTTTGTAGCAAGTAGTAGTGGGAACTATCGAATGAATACTATCGAAACATTCGATAGTTGCAATTCATTCGAATAATTCGATAGCTAGTAAGAAAACATTCGTCGAAAACTATTCGAATAAAAATATCGAATAGAGGCGTCATCTGCCTTGAAATATATTAATTCGGCAGCAAAAACCATTCATTTATAAAATTCATTCATTTGTAAAATTCATTTATTCGTCAGGATCGATTATAATAAAATATAAACTGGATTTTAGTTGTCGCCCGGCGACGTAGGTTTCTTTCCTAGAAGCCCGACAGCGGTCGGCGGTCGGTGGCAATGGTATGAAATAAGCCGGCATCTTTGATTTTGAGTCAGATAAAGATAAGGACACATTATTTTTTGATTGAGATCGAGGGGCTAGTATTTACACAGAAAATACATTATGAACGGCGCTGTTGCCGTATATTCGTATTAGTTGGTATTAGCAAAGAATATTATTCTTTGGTATTATAGTTAGTTAGGGATAGTATGACTATATATTTTGCATTTTTTTTTATTAATATTCTGTTGTTACACTTCAATAATACTTTTTATTTTGAATCTAGGAAAATGATTTTTAATGTTTTTAAGCAAAACTGGTTTAATAAATAATAATAACAGTAATAATTTGGGTATTTGTTATACCTAGTAACACCAAAATTTAAAATCATTTAATATAAACATTTTTTTAAGTAGTAGCAAAATATAAACAACAAATTAGAAGTCAAAATTATTTATATTAGATCCTATTTAAAAATAATATAGTCTCTAAATTTTTTGTGGCAACGTTGGTTTATTAAATAATAATAATTACAGAACTAATTTGTTATATTAACAACAAATTTTAAAATCATGAAATATAAACATATTTATTAATTTTCTAAGCATGCAGTGTAATAGAAGAAAAATATAAATAAAAAATTAGAAATCAAAATTATATATGTGTATTACATTTTATTACTTTGTATTAGTATTTAAAAATAATATTTGCTTTTACTGGCATTTACTTTAAAAAATAAATGAAATACTTCTTCGCAAAAATCTACATGTAAGAGAATTAGCATAAACAAAATACAAATATCGTTAACTTTTTTTTAAATTGGCACGTGTAAAACTTTAATTTAATTTTCTCATCCCAAAATTTGACTTCGATAACCATTTACTTTTTTTTTACTTTGATAACCACATTACCACATTACTTAAATATGATTATTAAGTTCAACTAATTCATATTACTAAAACATCTAAAATACAAATACATATGTATTTTTAAAATTAATTGTAAGTTCACCTCATCTCTCTGAAAAATTGTTACTACTCAAAATTTTTCATTAAAAAAATAGACCATATACCGCATAAAATTAAATAATTGAAAGATCGGAAAATCACACAAATTTTCGGAAAAATTTTGACCACCTGCACACGCACACAATCGTCAATTTAAAAAAAACACTACTGCTTTAGTACTTTAAATATTTTAATAAACGCAAAAATAGCCCAGTATTTAGAAGGCAAGTTATAAAAATTTGGAAGAACTAATTATGCACTGACGCACACAAAAATCAAACGAATACTAAATTTCATTTATCAAAAGCATTCGATAGTCGTGGCTTAACGATAACCATTTAGTCGCACGGCGAGGTTGTCACATATGCTTTAGTATACAAATGAATGAATGATTTTATTCGAATGAAACCATTCGATAGTTGAAATCATTCATTCAGTAATCATTCGATAGTCTAACTCATTCGTTAGTTCCCATCGCTAGTAGCCAGATATTTTTAGGGATGAGTGGTGGTCGTATTGAAATGCGGCGCGTGTTCTGACAACATTTTATTTAACATTTAATATAAATTGGACTGAAATTTAACGGAAACGAAGGAGCACATCTGACCATAAAATAATAAATACAAGAAGAAGTGTCAAGTCAATGTTAAATTATGGAAACAGCGTGGCTGCCTGGGTAACTAATTTTCAGATATGGCGGCTGGGACATTTGACATGACATAGACATGACAATTTCAATTTTATGAAATTTGTTTCCGTTTCCGGTTTTTAATGGCGGGCTGTTCAGGAGGTTTAAATGACGGTTAATATACTTTTTACTCTTTCTAGTAGTAAATAATACAACAAAATTACTCAAAAATATTTATTTGAAATTTAGAACAATGTAAATATGCAAATCAACACAATTAAAGAGCTATAATCCAATAAACTACTGTATCAATATCAAATATTTAAATAATATCAGAGATGCTGTGTTAAAGTGAATTAGTAAAGTAACAGAGAGTGCATTGACTTACAGAAACTTGAAGATAAATAAATGTTTTAACAGCTTCACGGGCATAAAACTAAATAACTGGAAGCAGGAAAAAGGCAACCGGAACCCACACAAAACCTGGAATCAAAAAAAATATGTAAAAAACATAAATATAGGTACATAAGACTTTTGTGAATTAAATCAAACAGGACTTGAATGCAAATAAAATGAATAAAAAATATAATACATATACATCTAATACCACATTTGTATTTTAAAAATAATCTACATACATAGATTTATAGCATTATTGCTATGAAAATACATAATAGGTACCTATGTGATATGTAATTACGTATTTCTGTTCATCTTGTAGAAAATTAATGTAGGCTAATAATAGTTCAATAATCATAATTTACCTTGTATAACTTGCTTTCAATTGCTCAAAATCACCGATCAGTCTTTAAAGTAGAGATACGGAAAAATCCTTGGCAAAGAATATCCCAAGATCCTTGGGTTTAAAGCTAAAAAAATATAAAAACAGTTAATATATTACATATTTTTACATATAATATGGCCCATACCTACTACACGCAGAAACGTCGATTTCATCATTTTCTTCATGTAATTAATATCATATATACTTTATTAAAGTGTTAACAAGGTACTTTATATCAAAAAACGTCTTTGTACTTATAAATTTCAGCCGAAATATCAGAAACAAACTTCCAATCAAATCTAAACGGCAAAAATTAAAATGGCGCCCGACCTTGCCAGAGGCCTCGGGAGCTGACGCTGACACACAGACAAAAGACAAAAGAACAGGACGCCGACGTGCATAAAAATGTTCCGTAGCAGAAATTGACAGAAATCATATAGAAATATTCAGATTTTTGTCTAGGACAGTCTAGAAGGCCATGCTTCCTGCCTGGGTAGAACCGCGCCACAACTGTTTCCAATTTTCCGGTTTACTGTCACCCCCTGCATCTGACTAGCTGGCGGTCATCTTGCTGACTGACTGAGACCATAGATAAATACTATTTGGCGCTATTCTTGCAACGGTCGCGACCCAAAACTTTTGAAAATTTTGGAGCGGTTCGGCTTTTTCCGGAATTATATCGCCAAATATTGTTTATTCAAATTTCTTATTATTTTCGTTTAATTTTATAAATAAAATACTGTGTGTTGCATACAAGAAACTTTATTTCATATAAGGACGCACGTATGAAATACCTATGAAACATTGGAAACCGACGTTATGCCACGATCCACGATGGTTTTTGCAATTCACAGTTCACAGCACAGCTTTTTAAGTTTTTAATGCCACTTTTTCACAATTATCACCGGTTGTAGGTTGGAGTAAATAAAACTTGAATTAAACTCACAAGATAGCAATAATTACTTTGAAAATGGACGCTATAAACACTTTTCGGAATTTCTTTAATGAGAGCGGTTTAGATTTTGAAATATTATTATGATTTTTGAAGATTCTGACTTTGACAAGAGAAAATTATTTCTGTTTTTGTTTGCCGTTGCTCTTAGTGACCGCTATAGCAGCGCCAGATCGCGTATAACGGTCGCGACCCAAAATAGTTTCGCGACCTAAAATTTTTACGGGCTTTCCAATCTAAACTTGACTGAGACTGACTTCGTTGACGGATGACGGATGACAGCGCGGACTTTCACTCGATTCTTCTTTTCTCTGTGGACTTGGCCTTCATGACTGGCAAGAGAAAACTTCTCTCGAGGCTGGAGTAGCTGTTTGCGCCGTCGAACCTCCGGGCCTGATACCGTTGGAGGTGGCAATGGCGTAGGCACCACATATTTTTTATAATTATGTTGAATTTTGAATACATTCCTCGATAATATCTTGAGACAGGGTACCGATTAAACAGGGTCCGGCAATAGTGCGTCGCGTCGGGCATCTGTAGCTCCTAAAATAAAAAAACTTGGGATTTTGTTTAAGTGCAAACCTAAAGTATGTACGAGGATGTATTTCAGGAAAATATGTTAACTTCTATAGGGTGGCTCAAAAAAGTGTGAGTGGATCGGGATGATTTTTTTTAATGGAGCACCCTGTATATTATTGCCTTTTTGACTTCCTTTCAGTTCACTTTATATTGTCCTAAGATATGAGTAAATGTATTTCGATAATTTCAGAGATATTAATAAATAAATAAAAAAAATATATTTTTCAGCCGTTCTTAAAAAAAATTATTAAAAATACAAGAACTGTCCTGAAATTATAACTATATTAGGTATTTACTTTAGATGATCCGCACTGACTTTGCAATAATTATGGTAATCGTAAATCATACAGGGTGTTCCATTTAAAATAACGAAGAAAAATTATTTTATATTTTAGAAAGTTTGGCATAGAACTTCGAACATCCTGTATGATTTACTATTACCATATTTATAGCAAAGTAAGTGCAGACCATCTAAAGTAAATACCTAATATAGTTTTGATTTCAGGACAGTTCTTGTATTTTTTTTACCCTGTATAACTTTATCGCTATATTGATCCTCCATCGCGTTCCAACTGAGTTTTTTTATATATCCCTTCCTTAATCTGTTTATTCAAAGATTTCAAGAACTCAGTTTACAGTATATGCGTTATTAAAATTACCTCTATTTAAATTTTAGAAAGATGGCTACTTACCTGATAACAAAGTATTATCAGCCGAGTTTGCTAAAAAAGAGGAACTGAAAAAATATATGAAGAGAGTGATGCCTTTCGTCCAAGCTACCAGAGAAAAAGTTAATCAACTTGGTCTAAAAGCTTTAGCTTTGACTTTGGAGTTCGACGAAGCCGAAATTTTAAGAAACAACAGCACGTATTTGGCTAACACTCTTGATGTGAGCGCCCACAATCTCGAAAAATAAATTGGGAAAATAATAATAAATAGAAAATGTTTTTTAGGTTGAAGAAGTTGTCATTAAATTTACAGACGATCCAGAGGCGACGGAAAAAATGAAGGAATGTTGTCCGGGTGGTCCGTTTGTTGTTTTTTCGAACAAACCAGGAGTTAAATTGGAGTTTGTTAACCCTACGCAAGGGAATGGTTTATTTTCAAAGTATATTATCATTAATAATAATGATAGTTATAAAAAGGTTGTTGAAAAGCTGGCTAAACATTTTAAGCAAATTAAAAGTAAGTTTTTTGTTTAAGATTTGGGTAATTATTGGGAAAACTGGAAATCGTCCGATTTTCACCAAAATTGGTATACACACTATTTTGAGGTCGTAGATTACGAATCTGAACTTTTTTCTTGGCGATCTCTTACCGTTTTTTAGAAAAACGGAAAATTATTTCAACATTGAATTTTTCTTTATTTCGGCCCTATAAAGTAATGATTTCACTATATTTTCATTATATTATAGTTTATCTAAAAGCTACACTTGATTGGGGATAGAAAAATGTCCAAAATTTTACTGAAAACACTTTTTTCTCACAAAATAACAAAGAAAATTGAGACCAGATGGAAGTTTGACATTTCATATATCCTTCTTTCTCTCTCCTATGTAATGAGAGAGACAAAATATATTCTAAACCTAATCTAGAAAATTGAATATTTACAACGTTGCTATATCTTCTATTTTTTCTGGTGATTAAGGATTTTAAATTACCTATTATGAGATCGACAATAATTAAATATACCTACAAGTTACAAAGTTACGCGGAAGAGTTTTGATTGCATTGGTTTCAACTTCTATGCGGAGGGTGTTAATCTTTTGTTGTTATATTATATCAAAAAAAGATTAACACCCTCCGCAAAGAAGTTAAAACTAATGCAATCAAAACTCTTTCATGCAACTTCGAGGTTATAAATAATCTTTATTATATAACTCCTTTGCGGAGGGGGTTAATCTTTTTTTGATATAATATAACAACAAAAGATTAACACCCCCCGCATGGAAGTTGTAATCAATGCAATCAAAACTCTTTTGTGCAACTTCGTGGTTATAAATAGTCAGATCTCGTTGGTAAAATAGCAATTATGGGAAGGAGCCGTTCTTCTGGCGACCGCCTTTCGTAATCCCAGAATGAGCGAAAAAAACACGCTAAATTTAGGTTTAGCATTGGCAACGTTGCTTTAAATGCCAGAAACACATAACCCAACATTTTCAGATTGTTTACAAATTTATTTTAGCAAATTTTCCTCTATTGTGCATAGAATTGGTTAAAAAAGTAACAGAAAATAGCAATAACATCATTGTTTATTGAATACCTAACAAAATATGTGCTAGAAAACCTTAAAAATATGAGAAATTAAGAAAAATTCGATGTTGAAATAATTTTCCGTTTTTCTGAAAAACGGTAAGAGACCGCTAAGAAAAAAGTTCAGATTCGTAATCTACGACCTCAAAATAGAGTGTATACCAATTTTGGTGAAAATCTGACGATTTCCAGTTTTCCCAATAATTACCAAGATTTGTTACCAGGCTTGTTTTTCAAACGAATTGTTTAAAAACAAGAATTTTAAACGTGTTTAAAGGTGCGTCCACATTGCTCGTGATCCTGCTCGCGCTCTTGCTTCTGATTGCGTTTGCGTTGCTTGCGCTTCCTGTTTGTCGTGTTTCTCAAGATCTTTCGGCTTGCAAGCAACGGCGTCCACATTGAAATGTGGTGCTTGCTTTCGGACATGGATGATACTGAAGTTTTTTAATAGCGGCTGCTAGTGCGATCATTATTGCAAAACGAAGGAGACAAAGAGAATAAAACCGGTGTTGGATGTCTATTAATTTCAAAAGTAAATCGCAGCACAATGAAAGGAAACTTATACGCGATTTACAAACAGACAGAATGTTTTTTAATAATTTTTATCGCATGTCCGCTACTGATTTGAAAGACCTATTAATTTAGTTGGCCCCCGTATAGAAAGAAAAAATACAACTTAAGGAAGTGCATTCCGGTTAAAGGAAGAGTTAAAGAAATATTGTTCATAACATTAAGTTTCCTTGCAGCTGGAGATTCGCATACCAGTTTGGGTTATTTATTCAAAGTTTTCAAGCAAAACATTTCAAAATATTACCAGGCGTATGCCAAAATATATATAAAGTTCTCAAAGAAGAAATTAAGATAAGTAGGCAATATAAAAAATATAGAGTTATATTTTATTAAAGGTATATTTAATATTATTAATCCACGAACTAAACACTAGTGATGTATCGGTATTTGAGTAACGCGATTTTGGAGCGGTATTTTTTGTAACGTCGTGTCGCGCTCCACAACGAATCAGGAACCTGTTACTGAACAACGACGATCATAATGACGACAAAATTATAAATTATTTATAATTTGCAAATAAATTATTTATAATCGCACTTGAAGTTATCGTCCGTTGAGCCGCGCGATCTCGATCGGGACGTGTTCGCTCAAGCCGCCGCGCTCCTAGAGTTGTAGTGCCCTGTCGCGAACAGAAGTAACTGCTGTGTCTGATGGGCATCGATGCTCGACCTCTGCGGCGACCTAATTCGCTCCAGCCGTCGCGCTCCGAGGGTTTTAGTTTCCTGTCGCGAACAGAAGTAACTGCTGTAACTGATTATCGACGCTCGACCTCGGCGGCGACGTACTTCGTTCCAGCAGCAGTCGCTGGAGCGCTTCTAGGGTTCCATTTTCGCCTGTCGCGGTTTCATTGGCGTTGGTGCTGCCATCGCTACGTTACTTTCGAAATAGCGATTTTTGGTATGTACTATAGGCATGGTATAAAATAGCGTTGTTAGAATGATGAAACGTAAAAGCAAATAAAATAAAATAAAAATGTTATTTGCTTTTATACATTTATATAAGTTTTATTGTTTATATCTATTTTTAAGGTCTAATGATGGCTGGAATTGCTGAAACCGGTCACCAATAAAGAATTTTTTTGACAGTGTTTTAGACTTTCTTCTTGATTTTAACATTAAATATATTATGTTGCAATACACATAAATATGAACCGTTAAAGACAATACGCCATTCCTTGATATTTTTTTAAAAACCTGTAATGTAATTATCTTACAAATGTGTTTTTTTTTTTCTTTAAATTGCAGCGGTTATAACGTGGATCAGAAGAATATAAATCTAAATTATTATCGGAAAAAATAAAAATTGTTGATGAATAAAAAGTATTGAATACCAATAAATGCATGTACAGGGTGGGTCAAATTCGACGCTTTTAAATGGAAACACCCTTTTCTATAGGAGATAGATAAAAACTATTATCGGTGTCTGGAGCTCAATTTTTGTCAAAAACATGATGGTGAAAACCGCACATCGATATCTGTTACCGTTTTGGAGTTACGGGGTGTTTTTCAAAAATATGCATTTTTAACAAATCGCTGTAACTTTTTTGCTATGGAAAATTTTGTATTTTTATGAAAACATTTCCAAAGCACCTTTTTACGTAGAATTTAATGGTTTAAGTATGATTTTTTTAAAATTAATAATTTAAGAATAATCAACAGAAAATTTGATTTTTTATATGGGACACCCTATATATTTTTAATTTATTGAAAATAATTTAAAATTACCTTTCCAAAAATATAACACACTTGATATTTTGCTCGATTCCTCTTTGAGATATAGGGTATATAAAAATTCGCCCGCTTTAAATAAGTAGGCTTTGAACGGCACCGGCTACGGTAATGCAAAAAAATTCTAGCTGTGAGCATCAGTTAAAACGAAAATAATATTTGCTATAAGAGATGCAGAATTTTATAACAATTTAAAATAGATTTAACCAACATCAACACAGTTAAACTATATCTAATAACATTAAAAATAAATAGCAAACCAAGACATGCGATTTTGCTAGAGCCGTTCGACATATCGACCGTCTTCTGTTATGGAGTGACGGGGTAGTTTTTGAACATTTCTCGCGGAATTCATTAACTCAATGGGGGTGAAAGATACCCTCTCATAACTGCTAAGTATTTCTAATTCTTGTCTAGATTATACGGAAGAATAAGGAACATTTATTCTTCCGCAAATATATCCATAGGATTAGATCCGTGGGCACTAAGTCAGGCGGCCTCGACGGCCAACGGCTGGGATCTTGGTTAGCTATTCAATTATTCTTGAAATTGGCTACAAAAATGTGCTGATAACTTCAGCGTTCAGAGGCGGTGCGTCGTCTTGCTGGAAAATTATGTTTTCCAGTTCCATTAAAGGCATATCATCAATAAGGGGCCCAAAGCCTCCTAGTTAAAAGTGGCAAACTTTTAAAAATTCTGTATTTCGAAGGGGATTATAACAAAATATCAAGTGTGCTATATTTTTGGAAAGGTAATTTTAAATTCTTTTCAGTTAATTAAAAATATGGAGGGTGTCCCAAATAAAAATCAATTTTCCTGTTGATAACCCTTAAATTATTAATTTTAAAAAAATTTCACTTAAATCATTAAATTCTACGTAAAAAGGTGCTTTGGAAATGTTTTCATAGAAATACAAAATTTTCCATAGCAAAAAAGTTACAGCGATTTGTTAAAAATGCACATTTTTGAAAAACACCCCGTAACTCCGAAACGGTAACAGATATTGATGTGAGGTTTTCATCATCATGTTTTTGAAGAAAATTGAGCTCCAGACACCGATATTAGTTTTCGTCTATCTCCTATAGAAAAGGGTGTTTCCATTTAAAAGCGTCGAATTTGACCCACTCTGTACATATTTTAAGTCAATTTATTGCTTAAATAATAAAAACAACGTCAGTTTAGGGAATAGGTCATATTTTTTATTTTATTTAAAAGTTTAATTTCTAAAATTGAAACCTAAAATATTGCCATTGTGATAAATTATTTTAGTCATCCTGTATTGTTTACAAATTTGTCTATGAAATTGTTTATGAACTTACACGGGCACAGAGATAATGGCAAGGTTGGGAGTAGTTGCAGTTTGTGAAAAAAAGTGGTGGAAAAGTCATACTATTTTTTTTTGTTGTTTCAGAGCCTGAATTGGTTGATTTGTATCGTTTTGATGACCCTGTCTTAGGATTAGTTACAATGCCATCATTTGATGAACCTCTCAAAGGGAAAAGCCTCATTCCACAAAACGCTACATTTGACGTGAACGTTGAAAATTCCTTAATAAATGTAGTCTACGATAAGAAAGTTATTGATATTGGGAAACAAGTGACTTATTTGCTAAGAGAAAGTTGATTAGAAAATATATTTATTTAATTTATTATTGGGTTACACTTTAAATAAAACTGTTTTCTAATGTAGGTAAATGCTTTTATTTTCTAATTTCTTAATATCTATATAGTCAGTTTAACGAGAGGATCCCTTACAGGAACAATTGTTTCAGTCATTTTTCAAAGGTAATTTGTATTTTCTGTTATTTTTTGGATGTACTCTGTCGAAATCTTTTCACTTTCATTGGACAAACTATAGGTATTCAATGTTGAATATCTTTTTCATTATTCAGTTTATTAAGTTTATTCATACAGTCCATACATTGTTTAAAAGTAACAATATAGAGCATTGATTTTCGAAAAAAAATCTTCCATCTCGTTGGTCTAATACTCATTAATTTCCAAGTCGAATATGTTTTGACTTTTGTTTAAAATCTAAAGAGATTTTGAACTTTAAACAATTGCACGAACGCACGTTAAAAATTAAATAATAATTGTTTGACTTTGTGTTGTGAGAGACCAAGGTTGCTTGTAGACCGACGATTTGCTAGAATGAAATTATTTTTGGCAGCTTTTGCATTGAATTGATACCAGAGACATTGATACGAAAGATTTTTAGTTATCTGTATGTTATCTGTGCGAAAGTTTGATACGTATTTTAGAAAAACAAACTTAAAATTCAAATAGAGCTATATCTAGGCACAGTGGCAAGGTGGTCATGCGTAGTATCTATGAGCAAGTGCAGCAAATAGACGCCTCAAGGCTCAGCCATTAATATTAGTATCGATATCGATATTTCTCATCAACCCCGACCGTTCCCATTCCTAATAGAGTCATAACCTAACTTTCCATACTTCAAAAAAAGTAATAATTTTAAAAATATTTTTAAGGATGTCTCTAAAAACGCTTGACGCTGGCCTACAACTGAGCAAGAAATTATACCAACCCCTTTTTATTCAAGCACTGGCAAGCTTTCATAGTACGTCGCATTTAAATGTGTGGCAAGCGAAAAATACACGCGATGGTCCTGGTAAATGGCTAGAATATAATAATAAGGTGTATCCACCCCAAGGACCCGATGAAGAGCCCAGACCAGCCGTATGTTATCAACATTAGTTTTGAGCTTCCTTATTTATTTAAAATTTCATTATTTTAGTTTGTATGTCATCAACGAACAAACATTAAGTATAGTCCGTTTAAGATGTGGTATATAGCTTCATTAGTTAGAGGAATGGCAGTAGATGAAGCTGTGAGACAGCTTAAATTCGTAACTAAAAAGGGTGCTAAGGATGTTAGAGAAGTTATAGAAGAAGCAAAAGAGTTGGCGGTTAAGGACCATAATGTTGAGTATGCCAGTAATATGTGGGTTGGTAAGTATCATGTCTGTAATAAAGAGAGTTTATTTATATTGTATTATTCAGTTGATTATGCTAGAAATAATAGTATTCTTTTTTTATTCTAGCTGAATCTTTTGTTGGCAAAGGAAAAGTTATTAAAGGAATGCGCCGGCACGGTAGAGGAAGATACGGAATTATTGAATACGTACATTGCCATTACTTTGTCAGGCTTGAAGAAGGTAAAACTATTTTTTCAACATTAATTAACAACAAAATTACAAATAAAAATGTATTTTTAGGATTACCCCCTGAAAATTATTACCTTCACACCCCAAAACAACCCCAAGAGCAATTAGAAGATTGGCTGAAACAAATGCGAAGTAGGAAAATAATCGGCTCTTTATAATTTCTAGGTTTAACACTTTTATTTAATGTATAAACAAAATAAATATAGAAAATAATATGCTTTCTAAAAGTTTGAACTTATTAGCTATAAGTATAATAAATAATACTTTTCTTTAACAGGAATTTAGTAGGTTAAAAGCTACTAAGGTTTAAGTACTGCTAAAAAGGTAAGTAAGCAATTCTGGTTTTGTCATTTCTCTTTTGTATTTCTGCACGATTTCTTGAATTTTCAGTCTTCTGCGAACATGTGGCGGTTGGTAACTAAAAATAAACGTCAATAATAACTAGTGTTATAACTGAGAGAACGTTCCCATTTATCACGAGGGAACCTCGGGAATGCTCCCTTTTAAGAGCATGTATGAGCACAAACGAGCATGTATAAGCATAAACAGGGTTGTCAGATGTCCCTCCTAGGAGACAGTTATACTTTGATTAGTCAGTCCCACTTTTTTAAAATTAATTCTGACAAGTAAATTGTACCACATTTCCTTCTTTCTTTTCACTAACTATCCATTAAAAGTATTTTTTTAAACTATCCATAATTTTACTATATGTAACACAGAGAAGTTTTATTGTCAGTCAACAGGTGCAATATGGCTATCCCGCTTTTTCATTTGAGGATCTGGCAATCCTGAACACAAAAAGAAAGTTTCCTATAAACGTTTTTTTTAAATTTGTTATTAAATAACCTAAGCTTTCTACAAAAATAGTATTTTCTCTATAGTATTTATAATACACCATATTATACAGGGTGTCCCAGAAATAAGTGCAAGTATTTTAAGGGGTGGTAGATCTCGATAAAAGAAACATATTTTCTCTTTATCGTTTTTCAAATAAGTCCAAAATAACCGAGTTATTTTACTTTGAAATTTTCCAAAAAAATGATTTTTTGCTGGATCTTTTCTGGATTTTCTTTCTTGTATCTTTAATCTGCTACCTATGTTGTCATATTATCAAGAAATTATTTTTTTTAAATAAAAACTAAAAAAATTTCCAAAGAAATTTTCCAAAAATTCCGAATTTTCAAAATTTTTTTTTCGCGAAAAAAACCTCATTGGCGTGTTTCTGGAGTTGAATTATACTACCAGTTAAAATACTTGCACTTATTTCTGGGACACCCTCTATAGAAAGTAGGAGTTTGGGTATTCCTCAGTAGGTATACTAGCCAATCCCTATTATATACAGTATGTTCCCAGATAGTTTTTACAAGAGGAAAAATGCATTCTTCATAAAAATTTTTGATTGTTCTAAAATGGTTAATCCCGTTTATAATTTTCCAAATTTCCATACTGTTTTAGAGAAAATTAAAGAACACGATTTTTTTTTTATTTTATATTGAAAAAAATATAAACGGGATTAATAACCATTTTAGAACAAGCAAAAATTGTTATGAAGAATTCATTTTTCTCATAATGTCAATAATAAAAGTTTTTCCTCTTGTAAAGACAATCCGGGGACATACTGTATAGATTTAACTACTTTTTGCTATTTTTTATTTTTATTATTTAATTTACAAATTTCAGTATGCAGTGTTGATAGTTACTCTGCAATATTTTTGCACACCAAACCAGAAAGAAAGATAATGTTTTCTGAATACACCTATTGATCCTCAATTTTTTTTCTTCTTTTTGTTCTAAATGTTCTCAAAATTCTCAGTTTTCTCCAGAACATTCGAGAAACTTCCAAGTAAAACTTAAAAATGTAACTTAATGATTTTCCAAATCTTTTCGACTGTATTAATTCTAAATTCTCAACATTTGCTCGTTTATTCTCATTTATTCTCGGGGAACATTCTCCAAAAATAAATTCTCCAACATTTAACAGCACTAATAATAACTGAAAATAATTAGTTAAGTCAGCATACTTGTCAGAATCCAGTCGTTTTCTTCTAGCCATGTTCATTGCTGTCTGTCTTACTAAAGAACCTAAACTTCGCCTACTAACAATCATACCATCCACCAAAGGAGAGGCAAGACTCACTCTACCTGTTGGTCCCTAAAAATTGATAAATTTTAATATAATATTTAATCAAAAAGATCACTGATCCAGCGTAAAGTGACATGTCCGTCCCCAAGATCTGTATTCGCCCCACATACACCCGAAGATTTGGTCTGTGGATAATAACTTTGTGCTTGTGTGGCGGGCCAAGCCTGTCACAGGCCATATCCGCAGACTTGATCTGTCAGATTATATTGGTCTAAAAAAACGTGGCAATTTTTATCCCGATAAACATTTACCGATATAAAAACTTCTATAAAATGTCGAATTTTAACTTTATAAACAAGAATATTTTAATTATAATTTTATAAACAAGAATAGTTAATCGGTCAAAGATCTAGTCGACAGGCAAAGTCGGCAGACCAAAATACTAGAGTTTTGAGTCGTGACAGGCCAAGTCCGCTGGCCAAATCTTCTGGTGCATGGGTGGCTATTGGTTGAATTCACATCTGGTCACTTATATGTTTTTTGCTTACTTGTAGATGGACCCTTAATAACCCTGTTGTAAGGAAATGTAAATATATAACTAAAACATCAGTTGGTTTAGTAGAAACTCCCTTCTCTAAACCAGTATTCATACATTCTAAGAGGTCTCCTAAAAAGATATAACAGAAGTATAATTCATTTTGCATATATTTTGATCATAATCAAACCTATAGGTAGATTTAGGTGATCTTCAAAACTTTCCAGCCAAACGATCATGATTTTCGTGTTGACGTTAGGATGAATGTTTGGTTTGTTGCCTCTTTTCGGTGGTATTGGTTGTTTGTCTAGTTCTAGACTTTGAGTACGTTTACTTCTGTCTTCGGATGACCAGGAATTATCGCTCCAAGCTGGAAAAAGGAAAAAAAATCTTGAATATCAATAATTACATATTTGTTGTGATAATTAAGTGTGAATAAATTCAGAAAGTAGTTGATGTTTACGAATTCCCTCAAAGATATGTCTTTATATACCGGGTGTATATATTTTTTCAGTTAAAACAGCGTTATTTGATATGTTAGTATATGACATAAATTGGGATTGATTGACGTATTCAAATGTTTTCGGTCACTTCCGGTTTCACCGGAAATGACTACAACTTTTGATTTTTAAATGGCACCCTCGGTATTTTTTTACTTTATTCGATAGAAAATGATACTCTGAATCGAATGACATATCATATGTTAACTTTTGACATTTTGGCATATGGTTTATTTGAAATTGTAACCTGCGGTTCATAACGACAATTTGACTCGAAATACCAAGTGTGTGGTATCAAATTATTCGTAAAAAAATGCTTTTTCCAAATATGCTGATGAGCCACACTCGTTCCATTTGAAAAAATTGAGATATGATTAAAAATACGATTTGGGCATCTTTTAACCGGCCAGGACAAGACACTAAAAACATTAGACGATGAAACCTATTTTTCCAAGGCTCCTTGATTAAAAATTAGTGTTTTTAACACAGCCATGGCACTCTAGATTGAAATTTAAAATAGAATTTGTTTTTGAGTGACTATGTAAAAAATTGACATATGATATGTCATTCGATTCAGAGTGTCATTTCTATCGAATAAAGTAAAAAAATACCGAGGGTGCCATTTAAAAATCAAAAGTTATAGTCATTTCCGGTGAAACCGGAAGTGACCGAAAACAATTGAATACGTCAGTCAATCCCAATTTATGTCATATACTAACATACCAAATTTTGTTGTTTTATCTGAAAAAAATAAAAAAGTTATAGGGATGAGCCACTTTTGAGACGCACCCGGTAGAGTATCTCTTACAACAAATTAGGTTTATACCAGAGGTTTATATTGTCTAACTAATAATAAAGTATAGAGACAAATTATGTGAAACTTGTTTGTCCACGTTTTAAGCACTCTTTAACAACTACACGGAAAGACTAATTACTCAGGGGATTAAATAGAAGAACTTTTAATATCATCAACCATCAATCATGTCTATTAGTTGATTTCTATTCTTGTGTCTATCTAAGCGTTAATCTTCAATTTGTTAAAAAGAGCAACCACTCAGACTGTCTCATCCCCATACCCCACCGCAAGCGACAGGTTGAACGATCATCGGCGACCATTGACCAACTCAATACAGAGTCGGTCAAAGTCATATCTCACGCTCAGGAGATGAAACTGTGTCTCATCCTCATGGTTGCGACAACTCTATTTTTGAGTAGAGAGATTGCGAAGATATACTACAGAAATGATCCTGTGAAGTATGATCTTGCCGGATGGAACGCTATTTTGAACGTTTCAATCGGGATTGCAAAGTATGTTTGGCGAGATGTACGTAGTGGCGACATCTAGGTTGAAACATTCATAATAGGTGTTTTGTGCTTTAGGCGCCATCTAGGTACCACTTTCTCAACGCCAGTACCGAGAAAGAGTTCTATTTAGGTACTTAACCTTGAGATATCTGTTTAGTACTACCGAGTGTATCGCTGGTTGTATACCCAAACTGTATAAAAGAGGTTAGATAAGACAAAAGAGACATTTGATTTACATTTTCGCATATGGTTTATTTGAAAACGTAACAAGCAGTTCATAACGACAATTTGACTCGAAATACCAAGTGTGTGGTATTAAATTATTCGTAAAAAATGCCTTTTCCAAATACACTAATGAGCCACACTTGTTCCATTTGAAAAAATTGAGATATGATTAAAAATACGATTTGAGCATTTTTTAATCGGCCAGGACAAGACACAAAAAACATTAGACAATCAAAACTATTTTTCCAAGGCACCTTGATTAAAGATTAGTGTTTTTAACACAGCCATGGCACTCTAGATTGAAATTTAAAATACAATTTTTTTTAAGCGAAAATGTCAAAAGTTGGCATATGATATGTCATTCTATTCAGAGAGTTATTTTCTATTAAATAAAGTAGAAATATACCGACGGTGCCAGTTAAAAATCAAAAGTTGTAGTCATTTCCGGTGAAACAGGAAGTGACCAAAAACAATTGAATACGTCAATGAATCCTAATTTATGTCATATACAAACATATCAAATCTCGTTTTTTTAATCTGAAGAAAATAAAAAGTTATAGGGTTGAGCCACTTTCGAGACGCACCCGGTATATTTTTTTAATTTCTGAAGAATTCTCAATAAATATTAAAAAAAAACTAAATAAATAAATTTTGCAACACATGGATACATAACTTTAAAGATTTAATTTAATAATAGATTTTTAAAAATTTCCAAAGTGATATTGAAATTTTTAGGAAGTAAATTAAATACTTTATATTAAATAAAAATAACTTTCTATTAAATACAAATATTTTAGGTTAAAACATGGCATGTAAAGTTTGTGCAGCGAGTCAAGACAGATTTCGATATTCGATATCCAAAAAATGACAGAAAATACAATTTAATTGGGAATTAAAATGACAAACAACTCTCACTGTCATGCATTATCTCTATGAAAAATAAATTTATCGATTACACTAATTAACTGAGTGAATATTGAATAATTGAGCTCGGGTAAATCTTGAGAATACAGAAAATACAAACAAATAACAAAAACAATAAAGATTAATTTTAAAATTGGTTAAAAGAGCAACCACTCAGACTGTCTCATCCCCATACCCCACCGCAAGCGACAGGTTGAACGATCATCGGCGACCATTGACCAACTCAATACAGAGTCGGTCAAAGTCATATCTCACGCTCAGGAGATGAAACTGTGTCTCATCCTCATGGTTGCGACAACTCTACTTTTGAGTAGAGAGATTGCGAAGATATACTACAGAAATGATCCTGTGAAGTATGATCTTGCCTGTTGGAACGCTATTTTGAACGTTTCAAATCGGGGTTCAAATTATGTTCGGCGAGATGTAGACAGTCTCGACATCTAGCATGAAACATTCATTATAATATCGGTTTGTGCTTTTGGCGTCATCTAAGTACCACTTTCTCGAGGACAGTACTGAGATAGAAAGATTTCTGTTTCGGTACTGAGCCATCAGCGACATCTATGACAGCTGTTTAGAACTACTTCGGTTGTGAGATGTATTGCTGGTTGCCTACTCAAATTGTATGAATATGAATGACATTTGACGTTAGATACAAGACATATGACATAATGTTAGACACATTGTTAGATTCTTAATAGGTTAGATTAAAAATTAGAAATAATAAAGCCTTTTTAATGTTTTAGGCTGTGATCTATAATAGTATTCAAATTATACAATAAAAAATAGACTCATATTTTGATGTCAAAATATATCATTCAATAACTTCGTATTTTTAAAGGAGCGCATTATCGTGATATAACATTTTAACAAAGTTACAAATCCTATGCATTATCGTTTATATAAATAGGGATTCTTAAACTTATTTTTTTATACTTACAAGATAGGTTACTGGTGTTAAATTTAATTTGAGCATCTGTTTGTTTCAAGCTCGAGGGAACAACAAAAGCTATTTCTGAACAAGCATCAGCCCAATAGAGTATGTGACTACTTCCATCGTAATTCTTTTGCTTAGGACTCTGACTTGAATTCTCTTTATCCGGACTTAGTTTCCAAGAAGTTGAAATATGTCCTGTCCACCCTAAAAATTATACATTAGTTGTCATGAGATTTTTCTTTGTAAATCGTATATTTGTCATTTTCGAACACTATTGAGTTTTATTTGTCAAATTTGAAATTAAATCTGCGTTTTGTTTAGTTAAAACTACGATTTTCATTGCAATAAAATGCCAAAACCACTAAATAGGAAAGAGATAATGGCGAGAAATTCCTGCGTTAGAGAGCTAAAAGTTGATATGTTGCTTACGTTTTGCAGATTCATTTAAAATGCATAGTTCTTTCAGTGAATTTCAGCTGCCACTGTGAGTAGAACTTCACAAAAAGTGAATACAAACGTTCACCAATTAAAACTTTATATTTTTCAACTTCTGTTTGTGTAATAGTCATAGACAAAGTAATATTGTGTCTAAAATTGTAAAAATCAGTGACAAAATTACGAATTTTATTTGACACTTATCAGAAGTCAATGTAAAAACAGTAGCCGTGGCAACATTGCGAATTGAGTGCATTCGCCAAATATTTTGATGACGTGCATGCCAACTTTTATTGCTTTTCCTATAGGTCTATCCACAAAAGAAGACAATTGCGTCATAAAATATATAAAGATCCAAAATTGTAGATGTATAGTTTATTTTTTATACCTATCTTACCTGGATGATCTTGGACTTTAACTGACCAACCCAGTGTATGTATGAATTCGAAGAAATACGGAGATATAACACTAGGGTTGAGAATATTGCTGACGATGTCGTGAGCTTCGGTTTGCTGTGATCTGACGTAGAATATGTGGGCTGTATCGCAAGTACGCGGACTAAGCTGATCGAGAATTTGTAGATCTTTACAAAACTCTGCTAGACTACTATCCAACGCTACTAAGTTCGAATTTGTATCATTGGTATCCTAAAAAATATTTTTAAGATTATAATCATGTTTTATTTAAAATTTGTTACACTTAAATGGCTTATTATTTACAAAATCTATTTGACTGCGAAAGATGTTATTATTTTAACAGGGTTGAAAAAAAATTAATTGAAGATTGAGGTAGTTACTTTGTTTATTATTTCTTTTGTCTTGAGTTGTTTTTTTTATTAAGTAAGAGTTGAAAGCAAGTCTTTTTTCTTTTTTATTTATTAAAACAAAACACCTACCACCTAAAATTTGTTAAAGAGAGTTTTAAACACGTTTAAAACACTATTACCTTGGTCCTAAGAAACCATTAAGAAATAAGTTGTGTGAAAGTCTATTATCTATTCAATACAGTAATATGACACTTTTTCAAAATTAATCATAAACATTTATCATTGCTACCAACTAAAACTCTGGTTTAAATAAGCTTCATTCAGAACCTCCAAACTAGTGGAATAAATTAGGGGTTTCAATTAGCATAGAAGTTTGTTTCTCTAATTACATCGTAAGCATTGAGAACGTCAAAATTAGTGGCAGTATTTTTCAATTAGTAGAAAAAGTTAACAAACTTTTAACTTAACGCCACTGAGACCAGCTAATTAAGGCTGTAAAAACACACAAAATTCTATATGATTTATTCGATCCAAGTGACAAAAATAATAGAATTAAAAATAAAAAGTTTGAAACAAAATTGGAGTTGCAATTGGGTTGGATAGTACATACATGGATTTTTATTGTTTAAGTTTAAATATTGTAGGTAAATATTAAGGAATGTTTTTTTTCGGTACACATAATTCACATTTTTAATTTGTACCTATGTATACCTACAGGATCGCGCACTACATATAGGTACGGCGGTGAACGTGAACGCGTTGGGGTGTGCTAGAATGATCGCTCATGTTATCGCTGCCCTGATTGTGATCGTGATCGCGACCGTGATCGCTCCAGTGTGTGTGTAGCTTTATAGTTAAAAAAGCATATATTTTAAATTTTGAATATTAGGACATAAGGAGGAAGAATAATATTCTTACGTGTTCATTTAAGGCTAAAAGTCCAAAATGACTCAAAAATAGTCTAGCTGTTTGAAATTCGTGACATACAGGGGGAGGAGTGCATTCCTCAGGTGTGTTAGGCTGTAATTTATAAAGATTAGCTTCGACTGTATCCTGTCTACTGATCAGTTGACTGATTAATTCAGTTTCTTCCTTAAAAGAGAGATTGTTTTCTAGAAGGGATTCCAAAGTCGGTATAGATTGATCACTAAAAAAATAATAAAATTAAAAATGTCTGCTACTTCAGAGTAATAGGGTAAACAACTGTTCTGAAAAATCTTCACATGAAATTCCCTCTTTCATATACCATACGTTCAAAAAAAAAACGGTGTCAAAGATGGTTGGGGAATGAAAATCGATGATGATTTTGGCGAGGTCAAGCCTTAGACGTCATTTACTTAGCCTGGCTTGGACTGGGCGTATTCTTCTTTATTTTCTAATGGGTACATACTGTCAGTTGGCCTTAAGAAGGTTGTAATTTATTTATGTATATATATATATTAATCGGTTTAAAACGTTCTACGTCTTCCGATGCCATCTCTCCATGCCTGTCTGTCTCTCAATGCACCGTCTCCGAGAGATCTTTCCTCCATAAACGTGTCATTCCCTTCCTGCCAACTTCTTCTCGGTCTACCCGGTTTTCTTCTTCCTGCAGGTTTCCAGTTTATAATTTGCTTTGGGATTCTTATTTCTGCCATTCTTTGGACATGCCCGTATACTGTTCTTTATGTCGTCCACTATCGTATGTTTAACTTCCATAATCTCTCTTATGCGTTCATTAGTTATTCGCTCGAGTCTTGATTTGCCTGCCGATCTTCTCCAAAAATCCCTCTCTGTAGCTTCCAGCATTCGTTTTGTTGTTTCCTTAATTGGCCAGACTTCACAGCTGTACGTGGTTATACTCTTTATGATGGTATTGTGTATTAGAGTTTTGTTCTTGTTGTTTATGCTTCTGTCCCACAGTATCCCCATTCAATACCGTGATAGCATTCCTTCCAAGTTGGTTTCGTTCTTTAATTGCTGTATCCAACAGTGCATCATTTGTGATTTGCATACCCAAATATTTGTATTTTGTGCAGCACTTAATTTTCTTCCCTTCTTCTGGCATTAGATCTTGTTCTCTTCCGAAACACATATATTCTGTTTTGTTAGTATTGATCTCGAGTCCCCATTTCTGATATTCTTCTATAAGCTTACGTGTCATATAATTTATGTCATCGTAATCTTGTGCTATGATCACCTGATCGTCCGCGAAGCAAAGTGTGTAGAGCATGTTATCCCTTATGGGTACTCCCATATTTCTACATTTTTGTTTCCAAGCTTTGAGAACTTGTTCGAGATATATCTTGAACAGTGTTGGTGAAATTGTTGGTGAAATTAAATCCTGTTGTTAACTTTATGCCGACTTTTATTCTATTTTTTGTTTGTTTATATAATGATTTTACTGCTTTTATTAGCTCTACATTTATATTGGTTTTTTCCATAGCTTCCCAAAGTTTCACAAGGGGAACGCTGTCGTATGCCTTCTGCAGGTCCACGAACACAAGATGTAGCTCTTGGTTTATATTGCTCTTTTTACTTATTACTTGAGTGACTGTAAATAAGTGGTCCACCGTTGATCTTCCGACTCTAAATCCTGTTTGTTCTTCAGCTTCTATTTCTTGGTATTCGTTTTCGATCCTATTTCTCAAAATTTTTCCATATATTCTACTCATGGTAGCTGTTTATTGTGGCTATTTTTTTTTAGTACGATCTCCCTTTTTGTATAGAGTTGAGAGGTAAGGCTCATTCCATTCTTGTGGTACATCCGTTCCGTTTATGCAGTCCTGGAATATTTTCCATAAGTGTTCGTACAGTTTTTTCGGTCCTGATTTAATTAACTATCGATATTCTAATCGGGGATCCCATTGTTCTTATATTTGTCGTCACGTCAGGGCAGTCCATAAATTCGACTCTATTTTCCGTCATAAGATTTTCCATGTATTCTTACCATTTTTGTGGTGTAATCGGGGAGATGATTTCTTTGCCTTTTCCCTTTCTGACATTTTTTATAATATATTTTTATATTGAGTAAAAATTATTTTTAAATGGTGTAGTTTAAAATTTGAGAAAATATAATTTTTGGAAATAGATATTTTCCCCACAATAAACCTGATACAGAACTTTTCCAGAACAGTTGGCCACCATGTAATTTTTAAATATACTAAGGGCTGGCAAAGGTTAGTCTTGGGTCGAGATTTCCGTATGTAAGAAGAGTACAATGCGTTTATAATGTACTGAACAAAGAGAGGACAGTAAACACGTTGCCAAACGTATGAAATAAACCGAGAAACTGTGTACATCGCTAAGAGACGTGGAAGCACGTGGAAGGGGATAAAGCAGATTTGTCGCAGTTGACCGGTCGACCCAATCAATACCTCTGTCAGTACTTAAAGTTCTAGGGAAAGGTGTACGTCATGCGTTCAGCTTCACGATTTAATTACGTCTCGTGATACTTTATTTGTTTATTTATTAACAAGTCGTTGTAATTTTCCCTCTAGCTTGAATTTTTAAGTGCAAGCTAGAAACACTTCTACATTTTGGTAAAAATAAGTGGAATTGAGTGGGTGTTCGATAGTGGTCGCGCTATTAGACCTCTGAATTCAAAAATCGATATCTCGAAATCTATTAGAAATAATAGATTGTAGTTTTTTCAAGAACTTTGTTAATATTTCTGCTGTATTTTCTTTGTAGACAGTAAAAAAATTACACGATTGCTGAAAATTGCTATGCTCTAAAAGTAAATGGATGGATTGTTTACAATTTTTGAATGGAAAAAACAACCTTATCGAATTTTTCTTATGTAAACATATTGTAAAATATCCGATCTTGAAAATAAAAAAAAGTTTCAATATCTAAAGTGGTTCTTGAGTTATGGCCTGTTATGTGTTAAAAAGTTGAGTTTTTAAATTATCGCGATACTGACGTTTTCTCGTTATAAAAAAAATGACACCCTAACGATATCCTTATAATTCCATTTCAGATGCGCAGAAACATGTCTAATGATTTTATCTAGTTATCTCTTCAAAAAAAATTATTTTAATAATAAGCGGTTTGCGATCGCGATTTTACTTTACTTGATAGGGAAAGACGTATCGGCAACGCCGCAACAGCACACCGTCGCGAGTCGCGTCGGTCGGTCGCATTTCTCTCACTCCGACTTAATAAGATCCCTATGCGATTTACTTCCACACATGTAAATGCCGACCCAAAAGTAACAGTTGCCAGCACGGTATAATCTTACACTTGGCATTGTTGCACTCTGTCTACACCATCAGGAAAATATTTCTGTTTCACTTGAGGTCTGACAGGATTATCCTGCATAGCAACAGGACGACAAGCATTGGAAGAATGCGACTTTACACCTGACTTATGTCGTGGTAAGTGCCTTAATTGCATTGTCCATGTGTGACGACCAAACGGACCTCGAATAAGAAGTGTCACGGTAGGCTGAGGATCCTGAAAAAAAAAATAAATGTAATAATTATCAAAATGTATCTAAATAATTATAATACCTGATCATTTCCCAGAGGTTCTTCTAAAAGAGCTAACATAACTGACCCTTCTGTTACAAAGTATCTAAATTTCTCCACGGCGTTTGACAGATCGTTGTAGTTGGCATTTGATGAGCTACATTGCCTAAAATACAAAGTATAGTGCTGTATGATAGAAAAAAAAACGGCGTTCAGTTGGCTGGGAAATGACGATCGCTGACATTTCCCATATAAATTTACATTTAAAATGAGAGCGATCTTCATTTCAAAGCCATCTCTTTGACGCCGGTTTTTTTTTCTACCATACGGTATATCAACCAATTGGCTCTCCTATTTCATTATTTATAGTTTCTCAGGATGTAAAATTATCAAGTGTTAAAAAATGAAAGTTAGGACTGATGAAAAATAAAGATGATTTTTTGGATAAAATTTGGTGGAAAAAGATCATAACACTATAGACTTTTTCAGAAACAGTTCACAACAAAACAAATGAAATTGAGTGTGTGGATGTTACTAATCAAATCGCCTTTCTACATTGAATAAAAACACTAAAGAAGAAGTCTAACACTGTTTTTTAACAACCACATACACATACTCTCGAATTTCTGCAAATTTGTTGAGTTTTTCAGATGTTTTTGTGTTATTTCTGGTTTATTTTATAGTTGGGTTTAAGCAAAGTATCTTGAAGTATCTAATATGTCAGGACTTGTGTAAGAGTGAGATTATGGCGAATCTTAGAGAAAGAGATACTTCAAAAATAGTTATTTGTGCAGCATGTGATCAAGTAAAAGCATAAAAAATCATGTGAAACATTATATGTTAGATAGATAAATTATACTAAGGATTTAAGCTTCATTGAGAACCTCGCAATCCGGTGTTTAACCATAGTAAATTTTTGTTATTTTTAATATAAAATTCAATTGAAGTTATTAAAAAGCACTCCCTCAATACAAAAAGAAATGCAACGAAGTTACAATTAAGAAATAAATAATCAATCAAATTCAATATAAATTTAACTGGTTTGAAATGAAGCGTAGAAAATTGTGACGTCACCTATTAGTATTTGACTGAATAGCTGACAGAGGGCGCGAGCCTCTGAAGAATAATATTATGGCGTGTCTAGTTCTACGCTAACGTATTTACACAATATTTCTTAAAATCACGTTAGATTTTTTATGTGGGATTATTCTTTATTACCCCAATATTAAATTTGCTTTTATATCTTTTACTGCTACAAATTAAAACTTAAATTTTTATAATTAACAGGTTACTGCCATTTTTATCCAAGCACTAAACACTACCTAAGTTGTTCGGATATTCGAAGCGTTCGAGGTTAGATTCGTATTTTGTGTTTGGCTTTAAATACTTTGAGTTTTCGATTTTGTTTTATTGTTCCCTCTTTATTATATTTGTAATGAAAGGTGTTAAAGTTTGTTTTGTGAAGGGCTGTCTAAATAACTCTGAAGGCTCTCCAGAAAAAGTTTTTATAACTGTTCCTTTGGATGAAAGCCGTCGAAGAGCCTGGTTTGAAGCGGCAAGACAATATGTCAGTAAAAGTACGAGATTTTGCTGTGAAGATCATTTCAATGTAAGTTCCTAAAGTTTTATTTTACAATTAATTTTATATCTACTTTAAAATATATTTAGAAAAATGGTTTTTATTTACCTTTGTACCTGGTGGCAAACCGTGACACTTTTAATAGGTGACGTCAGAGATTGCAAAAGTGTAAATTTGAAATTCTGAATATTGATTAATTTTTTAAAAAAAATGGGATGAAATTGAAGTAAAATAAAAAATACGGGTGTCATAAAAACTCCGGATAATAATTTATTAAATAATAATTTATTCCACTAAAATTAGTCGTTTCAATTACACTTTATACTTTTTAGTTTATGATCATTCACAATGATCAAAAAACACAATTAAAATTATTAGAATATCCTAGCAACATCTTGCGGTAGTCAGTTGTATCCATAGAGAAAGCCTAATATTTAGCTTATAAAACAATCAACTTTTGATTTATAACCATAATTTCTCTTGACGGAAGATAATCAAAGGCCGAAATAACATTTCTCGCAAATTTTGAAGCATATTAGAGCAAAAGTTAAAAGTTTGATAACTTTTTCCACTAATGGAAAATGTCTACCACTAATTTTGACGTTCTGAATGCTTACATTGAAATTAAAGGAACAAACTTCTACGCTAATTGAAACCACTAATTTATTCCACTAATTGCGAACGTTCCACAGAATAATGAGTAATATTTATCACAAAAATGTTTAATAAAACACTAAACAAGAGACTATAAATTACCTTAATAAAGAGATTTCATTAAGTAGTGAACTTATGGATTCCGGACCACACTGGTTAGGAAAATAGGCCACCTGTTCCAGAATACAAGTGAGAAGATTTTCTGCTGCATCTCTAACGCGCATAGAGGCCGGTTTTAATTCTTTCTCTTCCTTCATTTTGATTGGTTCGCCTGGTTTTCCCACGGATTTACTTCCCGACACTCCCAGCTCGCAAACTTCAAGAACCTGTTGGAAAAAATGAAATAAAGTCTGCCAAAACGCCCCACAAAGGAAATAAATTTAGATTGGAAAAATATATAATTGTTTTGGGTCGCGACCGTTGCACGCGATCTGGCGCTGCTATAGCGGTTGCTAAGAACAACCGCAAAACAATAAAAGAAATAATTTTCTCTTGTCAAAATCAGAATCTTCAAAAGCTATAAAATCTTTCAAAATTTAAACTGCCTTCATTGAAAAAATACCGAAAAATATTTAAAGCGTCCATTCTCAAAGTAATTATTGCTATCTTGTGAGTTTAATTTAAATTTTACTTACTCAAACCCGTGATAATTGTGAAAAAGTGGCATTAAAAACTAAAAAACTGTGTTGTGAACTGTGAACTGTAAAATCCATCGTGGATCGTGGCATAAAGTCGGTTTCCAATGTTTTATAGGTATTTCACCATACATGTCCTTATATAAAATAAAATTTCTTGTATGCAACACACTGTATTTTATTTATAAAATTAAAAGACAATAATAATAAATTTGAATAAATAATATTTGGCGACATTCCGGAAAAAGCCAAACCGATCCGAAATTATCAAAAGCTTTGGGTCGCGACCGTTGTAAGAATAGCGCACTTTCCAATCTAAACTTGTTTCATTTATCTATGGTTCTATGACAGTTATTGGGTATCATTTTAATTCATGGGTAAATTGTATATTCTGTCATTTTTTGGATGTTGTCTGATTTGTTGGAAAGACTTTATCTTGATTTCTAAGCTTTCATATAGCTGAATATTGTATATTTATTTCAGTAATACAATACCCATATTACACCCTGTAAATTTTGTGATAATCCTACTTACTGTTTGTAGACAGTCCTTGTCTTTCAACAAATAGGGATGTTCACAGAGCCACACTGAACAACACTGAAAAGCCGCCACAATCGTAGAATGCAGATCTTTTGAATGGGAAGGTGGTGGTCTTGAACACTGGTAAATAATGTAATCACACAACCATCTTACAGCCCTTTTGCATTCCATTGCATCTAAAAATTTTTTACATTTTAAAATTATTTAAACAAACAAAAAAGTAGCGTTTGATACAAAACTACCTGTAAGTTTTTTAGCTGCATGAAAAATAAAACGAATAAAGAAATAAATAATATCGTAATAAATTAGATGAATTGTAAAAATTTTAAGATAAGGAAATTAAAAAATGAATATTATATTATTGTTACGAATTATTCAATTTGTCAAAACCAATTTTAACAATGTATAGTTAAACCAAGTTTAGTAGGATATCAGTTATAAAAAAAAACATATAAAAATATACCTGATTCTTTTATGTGGATTCTAGCAAGTCCAGCAAGCAATTCTAACGCTGCTAGAGATACGTTGAGATCTGTTTTCCAGGAAGATATTAGTCTGTGACATACCAAGTAGGTAGCTCTGACAAATAGAGCATGTGCGGAATCTATAAAACAGTTCTGAAATCAGTTTTGGAAAACAAAAACTGATTTCGAGTTTTGAAGAACTTGCATTGGTAAAGATAAAGTTCATACAGTGCATGGTATGTTATGTTTTATTTTTTATATTTATCTCAGTACTCTGATAATCTACTTTCACAGTAATCAAAATAAAAATAGTTAATGACAGACTAAACCAAGTAAATTGTGTAGAAGCTTGGTAAGATCCTCTAAATTGCTTTTTTATTTCAAATGAGTAAAGTACAATTTTTTTGATGATTAATAGCTTACATCGGGGTTATCTTATTACCGATTCTGAACAGTTCTAGAACTGTGATACGCATGCGCGGAAGAACATATGCGGATTTCTTTATCTGCGCATGCACTGTAGAGTTTTAGGACGGTTCTGAATTTTTAACAACATGACCCGAACTAAGCTATACCAGAGTAAGCAGATCGCCGAGTAGAGACAGAAACCGTCGGCTCTTTTGATATGGTGGGACCAAATTTTCTTTCTCTCTTTTGACGTGTTTGACAGATAGACTACGTATTTAACTGCTCAACTTATGAAGTGGTCCTATAAATATGGTATACATTGCTCATAATTTGAAGTGGAATTAATTATAATAAGTTTTATACATATTTTTTTGTTATGTTTTATCCTTATTTCTAAATTTGAATGTATAAAATAGCTTACAGCTAATAAATAATTAAAAAAACGATTCGTTGCCTCAGGTATACTTGAAATAAAGTATATAGAGATATTTGATAAATGGCAACAGTGGCAACTTCTTCATATGACAGATAACCTACTTATTTCGCGCAGCTGCAAAGAAAATTGAAAACGGGACTGTCGTTACTCGTCGGTTTACTTACTCTGGCTATACGTTTAAGACAGCGATGGAGACAGCTTAATGGAAAATCAAAGGTATTAAAAAGAGAAAAAAATTGAGTCGATATACAGAGTGGGTCTTAAATAAATCCAAATATTTTTAAGGGTGGTATATTTTGACCCCAGAAACACAGAATTTCTTCATAATATGGCAACATATGTAGTAGATTAAATTTACAAGAAAAAAAGTCCAGAAAAGATCCAGTGGTTTTCAAAATTTACGAAAAACATATTTTTTTTTGGAAAGTAAAGTTTTCAACCCTGCCTATACACGTAAGAACCGGCAACACTGTATGCCGCTTTTTGTTTTGCCTCTCTTCCTGTCAACTGGGTATATATATTTATCTCTGTCCTACGCATTACAATACAGACCACGGAAATAAAGTGACCAGTACGGTATATGAAAAAAAATTGTATTTTCAAAATGTGTGTGTAATAAAAGTTGAATAGTGAACATACCTATTTGTGCAAATGAGTCAATATCGGATGTTGAGCGTTGATCTGGTGTAACTGAACGATCACAACTGCTAGCCATGCTTACGGTACTTGCTGTGTCAGAAGCTACAAGCCACATGACGAAGAAATACAAATTTAACAAAGCAAAAAACAAAAACAACAATACAAAATAATGAACGTAGAGTAATAACAACACAAACCAAATAAAGTAAATTAATACTGGAAATATGCTTATGTATGATATTAAAAAAAAACAGAGATTTATATTATTAGTTTTTCGTTTGTTATTTTAGCCTACTTCAATTTTTACTATTTCAGTAAATGTGTGGTATAAAAAATTCCACTTAAATTTTTGCTAAACCCTGTTTTGAAAATTATAACATAAAGAACAAAACAAAAATAATATTAAAATTATTAATAATAATTATTAAAGTAAATAATTGAAAACAAAAATAGTATAATATTGGTACCTCATAGCAAAAATTATCTTAACAACCTTAAAACAATCGGATTCAGTATGAATGTGACAAATGTTACAAAGAAGAATATTTCTACTAAAACCAAACAGGAATTATAAAATACTTGAATACTTGTAAAAATACCTCCATAATCTACTAAAATGAAAAAAAAAATGAGATAAATACCGCTGCTCAGAAGATATGATGTGCTTTCGTTGACAGGCTGAGTTATATGTTCCGCTATTTCATACAGCGCAGAATCTTGTACACAGAGAATCAGTCCTCCTAACAGCATGTGAGTATTTTGAGGATCGTATTCTATTTGCAGTGCGTTCATCAGTAGATTCATTAGTTTTGGTTTTAGGACTGCGAATGACACAGCCTTGTCACTTGATCCTAAAAAACAAAACAGAAATGAATAATTGCATTAAAATTATTTTTTTTTCCATAGCAACTGTTAAAATTGCCTTATATCTATCAAAAATAGTAGATAAAATAGTACTTTAACCGCAAGGATAGATTAAATGATACTTTAACAGCGAGGATAGGTTAAAAACTTTATTTCTTCTCGCACGTTTTTTAATTGCTTCCATTTTTGAAAATGTTTGTATTCCTTTTCATAAGTTATTCGGGATTTAAATGGAAGTAATTTGGATATGGCGTTTGTCGCCTCAGCCTGAATATCTGTTGGTAATTTACTTATTTCGTTTTGAGCCATTGCTGGTACCAATTCAATCAACAATCGACATGAAAGAGAATTAAAAAATATTGACTCGAAACTGACATCTAAAGAGACAGCATCAGGGGGATGACAGTGAAATAGGAAAATTGGAAACAGTCATTAGTGTCATTCCTGTCATTCTCCTCACGACAAGTATGGTCGCCTAGACAAGGACAGCATTGTTTTTGTCTAACTATTGTCTAACTTCACAGTTTAGAATTGACAGATTTCAGTGTCAGAGACAACTTCAGATTTGTTCTAGAGCAAATTAGAAAATATTCGACGCCATTTTAATTCATTCCGTTTAGTTTCGTTTTGTAAGTTCAATTTAATATTTCGGCTGAAATTTATAAATATAAAAGGTAATAAAGTAAATAAAATATATATTACATGAAGAATCCTGGAGAAAATGACGTTTCTGCAGTAGTAGGTATGTCCCATGTATATGAAAAATAGGTAGTAAATAAACACTGTTTTTACATTTTTTAGATGCAAGAAAATGGTGTTTAATCTCTTTGATCGGCGATTTTTTTGAAAATGGAAACAATTTACAGCAAGGTAAGATCATTTTTAACTATAGCCAATATTAGTTATCTCCAGTATGTGCGATTTATTGTCAGTAATGCAATAATTCGGACTGATAATCTGATGATGTTATCCGACTAAAAGTCTCTTTTTGTTTCTTTTTGATTTATAAGCCAGGTCTCTTTGGGAATAATGGACGCTTTTTTTAAACAGTATATTTATATTTTATACCTATTGATATTTTTATATTGTTAGTTTTAGTATAAAAAAATTGTTTTTCTGTTTTCAGGTTTTGTATAAGGCTCCCGTTTTCATGTTCCTGCCCCAGTTTTCTGTCCCTGATGGCTGTGAATACGTATATTTATTTACAAATTACTGTAAGTCATGCTTATACCTTACTAATTTACGTTAAAATTCCATATAATTATGTAATCGCTGTAGAAATCATTCAATTCTTTATTTTTTATATTTATTTAGTCACGTTGTCTCATATTTCAAATAAATATGTTTGAATAAAATTTTGGTTTGTTTTATTTATGATAAGAAAGAGTACAAAATACATTTAAACTAAAAGAGGGCCCGCCATTGAATAACCGGAAACGGAAATAAAAATGAAACCATCATGTCAACCTGTCAAATGGAAAATTAGTTCTCCAGACAACAACGAAGGCTTTCGGTGGCGTATCGTGTTTTCACGATTTAACACAGAGTTGACAGTTCTTTCTAGTTAATTTTTTTATGGTTTCACCCCCTTAGAATTCGAGTTTCAAAAAATCCCTTCTTATCGAACCTCTACACCGTAAAGTCAATCTGTTTTCCAAAAATCAGCTTTTTACGTCAAGCGCTTTAAGCAGGATCGTGATTAATCAATGACCAGATTTTTCGAAACACCCTGTATACATTTTTAAAAAATCTTAAATATGTAAAAAAACAAAATAAAATATACGTGTTTAAGCGTTTTTTTCGGAAACTTGACCGTTTTTTAAATAAAAAATATTGTAATATTTGAGGGGTGGTTTCACCCTCTTGGAACTGGAATTTCGAAAAAAATCCCTTCTTATCGAACCTCTACACCCTAGAATCAACCTGTATGCCAAAATTGAGCTTCTTACGTTGAGTCGTTTAAGCAGGATCGTGATTAATCAGTATGTCAGTCACTTAAGGATTTTATATATTAGTATAGATTTTCTTTGTTACCTGTGTTTACTAGTTCCTTAATAGGGCAATTTTGAAAGTGCAACGGTAAAACTAATATCGACAGCAAGAGATGAATAGCAGCTCTACGCAGTTCAACTTTGTTGACGTTTCCACTTATTTTCAAATCCTTGTCAGGCAAAACGATTTCAAGAGCCGATATATAGGCAGGTATTAAAGTCCTAAAAAGGTAATAAATTCGTTTGAGATAAAATTTGTAGTTTTTATTAATTAAATATGATTAATTCTTGAAAAAAGTATTAACTCTGCCCTACACAGAGATCTAAACATACTCACCTTACTCCATCTAAATCCAAGCTAAATATATCTGTAGAATTCATTAAAATGGCAACCATGCATTCTCCACATTCTTTAGAATTCGTCGCACTTTTCAAACCTTGAAAAACAGCCATGTAGAACCTAAAAGTATGTTAGATTTTTTTGAACTTTTTCTTCAAAAAAAAACCTTTTCACAAAGTAAAGTCTGTACAGTCATAGATCAACGTTATTTCATATATTGTCATACTCTAAAATTATAAATCAAAACACAACTAAAATGAATAAAGTTCTAGCATAGCTATTTAAAATTTATAAACTCGGAACGCGCTTAATAAGTAATTTTGGAACGTACTTGAAATTTTTTAAACAATATGAACTGATCTCAGACATACCTTAAAACGGATATTAGGTAAACTAATGCTGACGTAACGTTGAGCGATTTTTGTACAGACTATACTACGAATTATTTTTTTACAATTATCATATCATTCTATCTAGTCAATAACAACCCTTATTTTCCTATGAGACAAAGGTAGACCTCCTCTAGGAATTAATTAAAGTACTACAGAAGTACCTAGATTTTTGTATAAATTACAATGAACACAATAGAAGTTTCAGAGCAATACCTTGCTAAATAAACTGGTAATATTTCCTCTCCAGTCTTCTTAGCGCAGAATATCCTGCACAAAGCACCCAAAGCTTCCGCTTTACCGCTTTCGTACTTATCTATTGTCAATCCGGGAGGCATCTCAGTGTCTGACAGAGAGCTGGGCTGTGAGTAACTCAGGGAACTCTTTGTACTGTCCAGAACCATAGAGTTGGGTCTTTTAAATGAGCCACTCGATTGACCTAGAAAAAGTGAATAAAAATAAGTTATTAGAGATGTGTATGGACAATCAAAACATAGTGACATCGAAAATTGACATAAAAAATAATGTTTCATTGAATTAAATGTACAGGCTGTCCCATTTTGTGTGTTTTTCGGGTTTCTCATTTATGAGTAGGGATACAAAGATGCTTTTTTAGGAAATTAAAATTGCTACATACAGAAGATTCCTAGCTCTCTTGGTTTCTGAAATACAGGGCGAATTTTTCAACCCCATTCGCATCTTGGTTATCTTATACCTTATCAAAGAGGTAAAAACTGAGTCCCATAGAGTTTTTACGTAGAACCCAGTGGCGTACCTATTTTTTTTAAATATATACAGGGTGAGTCTTAAATAAGTGCAAATATTTTCAGGGCTAGTAGATCTTGATAAAAGATACATATTTTCCCTTTACCATTTTTTCAGATAAGTCCAAAATAACCGAGTTATTTAAGTTTGAAAATTTAAAAAAAAAATGATTTTGAAAAAAAAATTGAGAGCCACTGGATTTTTTCTGTATTTGCATCCCTTTTAGTGCCGTAATCATGGAGTAAAGCTGTAACTACGGTAATATTAAAGTTTAAGAAATTATACCGTAGGAAAATTTACGGTGAACAGGCAGTTCTAAAAAGTTTTCCAAAAATATACAGGGAAATTTAAAAGAAAATGCACGATTTTCAACATCTTTTTTTGCGAAAAAAACTCATAGACGTGTTCCTGGGTCGAAATATACCACCCCTGAAAATATTTGCACTTATGTATTTAAGACTCACCCTGTATATATATTTTAAATGGGGCATGCTGTATATTATATTTTTAATTAGGTTGCCTTGTTATGAACTTTCAATACTCTATACTTATTATCATAAATGAAGTAAAAAAATGCATTATTTAATTTTTTAACATAAATCAACTTAGTTTAAAAGAGTATTATTATTTTATTTAAATTAATTTAATTAGACAATTCTACTTTCCATCGTATTATCTTAAGAAAATACACTGAAAATGAACTTGTGCAGCATTTAGATATCAGGCTGTCAATCAGAGTTGACAATTGATATTATTGATACAATATGCAATAATTTCACACAAAGAAACTAGCGTAGCAAATAACCAAAATTTAACGTCGAATAAATTATTTGGTTGTTTTTACTACCTAATTTAAACCTATGTTGTCAAATAATGTATTTTTTACCTTATATTTTTAGAAAGCTCATAACAAGGCAAATAAAGTTGGTAAAAAAGCAATAAAAAACACACATAATAATCAAATACTCACGACTATGCTGGGTATTTAAGTCACACCCTATAAATGCAGCCTCAAAAAGCCACTCCCCAAACAAATGTAATATAGTATTACATTTTGGTCGCCCTGGAGCCAGAACTACCTTGGAATCTGTACCAAATGACGTCAAAGCTGTAATAATACCGTAAATTATACTAAAAAAGTACCATAATGTATTTCCTGTAAATTTATTAATAATAATAATTGATTAATAGTCATACAACTAATAACTAGGTATGCTTTTATATATTGAAAAATAACTATAAAATCTACTATTATTTAATGTTAATAAGGTTCATTTTTATTTCTGATGGTTTAAACCAAGTTTAAACTACGAGAAAAAAGATGTACAGAGAGTTTTACTAACATGAAACACTGCTTGTTGAAGAGGGACCACTATTTGGTGTTGTAACGGGTACTACAGAGGTTCTACTTGTCGTCAGACCTATTAGGGACGATTTTGGGATACCTAAGTGTTGAATAGAGAATATTAATAAAATAATCATTAGGATACAGCCTATAAATGCGCAACAACAAATTTGTGAAAGCACATAATAAATATAAAAAGTTTTTTATGATGTAAAAAACGAAAATATGTGGATTAGTTACATCTACAAATAAAAAATATCGATTTAAATATTTATAATATGGTATAAATACAGAACTATTGCTTATTATAAAATATTTCAATTAAGCAAAAAGTGTGAATGTGTATAATCTACAAGTGAATAAAAATAGAAAATAAGTGTTCTTCAAGTGCAAAAAGTGTGAAAAATATAGGTGTAAATTTTTTCCAATCAAAATGTGCAAATTATATTAATATAAAAAAAAAATATCTACTAGCGGAAATATCATATAATTCATAAAAATAAACAATATAAAAATTATTAATAGAATTGTTGCTATTAAAATTGTGCGAATAGAATCAAAATAGAGTATTTTCCTTATCTGCTCACATTTTCTGTACAGTTATCTACAATTATACACATAGGAAAGTATATTCTTATTTCTATATACAGGGTTGTTCACCACATACGACACGAAGTATTGTAGCTAAACGACTAGATTTTTACAAATTGTAAGTTTTGGATTCGTTGAAGGACTATTAGAGCTACAATTTAAAAATATTTTTACAAAATACAGAGTGTCCCAAATAAATAAAAAATATTAAAGTTGTATTTTTTAAATGGAACACCCTATATATTATTACATTTTTAGTTTCTACGCTTAAAATAAAGGTAAATTTGATTAAGGTTTATTACACTTAAACCTTACCGTTTTTGAAATATTTTCAATTTTGTGAAATTGCAGTATAAATTTTAAGGCTTCATTTCTCCGAGGATGTCAAAGTTTTTATTACTAAATATTTACTGAAGTTTATTTATTGATCAGTTATTGTGTTGCAATAATAAAAACTTTACTACCTTATACAGAGTGTCTAAAAATTAATTTTAAATAATTACTAGCTTTAAACGGCAATAATTTGTTTAATTTAAATGGAACACCCTGTATATTTTATGAGAATCAGATGCACAATTTAATTGTCTATCAAATTGTATTATACCATTTTTTACCTATCTCTTCAAGTTTCCGTAGAAAATGCATTTTCTTGTAATTTAGAACTCATTTATCAATATACCTACCCATGGAATACTGACATTTTAGATTAATTTTAAAGATGTACCAAATTTTTAAAGAGTATAGATACTAATATTGTCGATATAGTTCGTTTATTTCATTAAAAAAACTGTTTAAATATTTGTTAAAAAGGACCAATTAATATGATTCCAGTATTCAAACTACATTAATTGACCGTTTGCGTTGATTAATAATAATTGCTCCAAATACTAAAAAGCTGAATTATGTATGTGTATTAGACAGTGTGGTAAAAAGTAACACCTTAAAAATTATATTTCATTTTTCGACAAATGCCTATTTATAACAACAGAGATGTTCATTTTTATAACTTATTATTATATTGATTTTTGATTCAAATCCACATTTATTTAGAATAATTTATTAACGAACACAATTAAGTATGTAGTTAATTAGTATTTGGGCGGAAATACTGGTGGTATATTTAATTAATGGTATACTCTTTTATAAAAATTTAAATAGTTTTCTTTTTGAATACAAATGGGCTAGTAATATTATTGTTTTACTAAAAACGATAATATTACTAGCCTGTACATTTTGTACATTTGTTGTTTTAAAAACAACCTAAAATGTCAATATTCCATGGGTATATTGATAGATGAGGTCTAAATTATAAGAAAATGCATTTTCTACGAAAACTTGAAGGAATAGGTAAGAAGTGGTATAATACAATTTGATAGAAAATTAAATTGTGCATCTGATTCTCATAAAATATACAGGGTGTTCTATTTAATGTAAATAAGTTATTGCCGTTTAAAGCTAGTAATTATTTAAAATAAAATTTTAGACACTCTGTATAAGGTAGAATAATTATTATTATTGCAACACAATAACTGATCGATAAATAAACTTCAGTAAATATTTAGTATTAAAAACTTTGATATCCTCGGAGAAATGAAGCCTTAAAATTTATACTGCAATTTCGCAAAATTGAAAATATTTCAAAAACGGTAAGGTTTAAGTGTAATAAACCTTAATCAAATTTACCTTTATTTTAATCGTAGAAACTAAAAATGCAATAATATACAGGGTGTTCCATTTAAAAAAATACAACTTTGATATTTTTTATTTATTTGGAACACTCTGTATCTTGTAAAAATATTTTTAAATTGTAGCTCTAATAGTCCTTCAACAAACCCAAAACTTACAATTTGTAAAAATCTAATCGTTTAGCTACAATACTCTGTGTCGTATGTGGTGAACAACCCTGTATAGTTTCGTATATTGATTTTTTTTTCCTATTTGATACTTGAATGTGTGATTACAGTGATAAAATACAGTGATACAGTAATACTGAATCATCATCCTGATATTCTAAATCATTTCGACAGTTGTTATTATTATTTGTGAGAGACGGAATCACAATTTTTATGAAATTTTCTGCCTTGAAATTTTAGGCTCCTTATTATTAGCTAGAAGAAGATGCTGTTTAACAGATAAAATTGTAAGTTTTAGGTATTTAATAAATAAAGTTTGCTTAAAAATGCGATTCTTTATTTAATTAAAAGTTACTTTGTTTTGAATCTCTGAATCTTATCTGAATAATAACTTTTGACATTTTTGCTCTAAAAAAATCGTATTTTAAATTTCAATTTAGAGGCTGTGTTATAAACACTAATTTTTAATCAAAGAGCCTTGGCAAAATAGATTTGATCGTTTAATGTTTTTAGTGTCTTGTTCTGGTCGGTTAAAAGATGCCCAAATCGTATTTTTAATCATATCTCCATTTTTTCCGCTCCTTAGCATATTTGGAAAAAAGCATTTTTTACAAATAATTTAGTACCACACATTTGGTATTTTGAGTCAAATTGTCGTTATGGTGAGCTACTATTGAGAAACACTCGGTATAACAAGTTGTTCGGCAACGTCTCTCTCTAATAATGTAGTATTTTTAGATACAAAATCTCTGCTGAGAAACATTGCGATACAGTTTCGTCACATTTTTGGTACATATGGTTCGTAACATAAATCGCTTTTTGTTTCGAAACATCTTAGCAAAATACGGTTTAGCTACATAAGCTATAACAATAAAGATCTTAGTATCACAAATTTTTCAAAACTTTTAAGAAACAGAAGTGGCTCACATTTACAGATTTTGTACCCGTTCTGTGCCTGAAAAGTTTCCATAATTTATTTGATATTCTGTTAAAATATGAGAACATAACCTTACTTTATTGTTTGGATTTCGTTTTTGCATTTGAGCATTTCGCAAGTTTTTATAGTACTATAATTAAAAAAGCAGAAGGAAGAACATATGGTGAGTGCAAATATAGATATTTTTCTTATGCGATTTTATAATTATTTATTATACACATTATAGAGATGATTTGTATTAGGAATAAATAGTAATAACAGCCACTAGCCATACCCAACAGGAGACCGAATGAAAATGTTAACAGCAAACGTTTCTTTCTCTTTTTTCCACAATGCAATACATGTTTTTATGTTTTAATTGTGTTATGCAAATAAAAATGTATTAATTATTTTGATCAGAACTTTTGATTGGCGTTGTTGACAGGTGACTAGTTCGAAATTTCTACACAGAGATCGTTAAATCGAAACATTTTGGAAACAATGTTTCCATTTATTCATTTTCGAAACACCAGTTTCTCTCTTTTTAGATACAAATATGATATAATGTAGATGATATGTGTCCAACTCCATGTCAATTTTATAAAATAATGAATTAAAATTCCGCCATGTTTGTTAATAATAGCGTTTTTAACTAAAAATATGTTTTTTCGGTTGTTGAGCTTCTAAACTCATAAGAACGCGTCCTACTTACATTAATTTATATATTTTTATTTTCAGAACCATGATAATATAGAAATAAAAATCTATATTTCAAATAAAAATATTTTGTAGCAACAAATAATGATATACAGGGTGTTTCAAAACAAATGCGAAAAACTTTAGGGGGTGATTCCTTGTTCGAAATAAAGGGTAGTTTGCTTTATAAACGTTGGGTCAAAAGTCAACCATTAGGGAGATATCGCGGTACAAAGATGGCGGAAAAATAATGTTTTTATTTTTTATCTTGAAAACGAAAAGAGATAGACTAATGAAATTTTATGGAAGCATTACTGTTATGAAAACACACTTTCAGGTAATTTTTTTACTTTTTTAAATGAGTGGAAGGGGTTGAAATAAACTACCCTATCATTCTTGTTAACGAAATTTAAAGCAAAATCTTATCAAACACATGCAAATGCTTTAATTTGGATAGTTCAGTTTGTTTAGAAACTTTTTTTTACCTCTTGTGTTTTTTAATAAAACTCACCGATTGGAAATTAAAAAATAAAATGTAAAGCATTACATGTCAGGACAAAAACATTTTAGATTAAGAATCTATGATAATAACGATAATAATAATCATCTAGATAATAACGTATTGCAGTAGAGTAATGTCAAATAAAATAATATTAGGAACATCTTAAAAAGTAACAGCGGCCGACTAGATTTTTTCCTAAAAAAATTACAGCAGCCCACTAGATTCTTTATCAGAAAAGGTTTTTTGTCCTGACATGTAATGCTTTACATTTTATTTTTTAATTTCAAATCGGTGAGTTTTATCAAAAAAATACAAGAGATAAAAAAGTTTTTAAACAAACTAAACTATCCAAATTAATTTTTTTGCATGTGTTTGATAAGATTTTTCTTTAAATTTCGTTAACAAGAATGAATGGGGTAGTTTATTTCAACACCTTCCACTCATTTTAAAAAAGTGAAAAAATTACCAGAAAGTGTGCTTTCACAACAGTAATGCTTCCATAAAATTTTATTAGTCTATCTCTTTTCGTTTTCAAGATAAAAAATAAAAACATTATTTTTCCGCCATCTTTGTACCGCAATATCTCCCTAATGGTTGACTTTTGACCCAACGTTTATGAAGCAAACTACCCTTTATTTTGAACAAGGAATCACCCCCTGAAGTTTTTCGCATTTGTTTTGAAACACCCTGTATAGAAGGCGCATTAAAAATATGAAAGTACATTATTAAATTAAACGATGAATTTTATTTTGTCAGACATTTTTTGTGCGAGAGAAAACCTAAAAACAAAGATTTTAAGACAAAAACATTATGGCGGTGGTAGACATTGTTGATGGTTGTTTTCATTTTGAAATTCCCCCACAGACGACGTATACTATTTTAGTTTGGTATTTTTTTTCTTCACATTTAGAAACAGTGCCTGCCGAAAACGGGAACTTCTTGGACACAAATTGCAGAAAATGTTTCGAAACATTCCCTCTAAAAGTTTCGATTCCGCGTCGAAACATTTCACGAAAGGCTAGTGCCACCACATTGAAACACATGTAATAAAGCCATATAGAATATATAGGTTTTGAAAATGTTTCCCATTTGTGGCATGCCGTTTCCATTTTGTGTCACGAAACAGAGACACGATTATTAGAAACATTACCTAAAATGTGTCCAAAAATGCCACACATGGTCACAATTAATTTTTTAATATTGATTTCGACTGTCGAAATAATTTAAAATCAGAGCACGCTCAGACAACCGCAAAAAAAACGTGGCAGACGGACTTAACCCATATAAAAGCACTAAAATAAAGAGTATATACGTTGATCCTAACCCTTAGATACGGAAGACTGTGCAACGCTAAAACTTTTGGCCAGTCGCCTTTGAGCGGGCGGCGTGGGCGAGTGGGCGGTGATTAGGGGTGGGGGCGGTGCCTCGCCGCGCGATTTCTCCGTGCTCGTTCCCATCACCATCGTGTCCCACCAGATGGGCGGTGCGATGCCTACATTGCGGTAGAAGAAGAAAGGTGACCGACAACAAAAACAACAAGTCAAGATGCGCTGAGGGGGTTGTTGGTTAAGCGAAAAGGTCTATAGCCAGAACGTCAAACAATGTTGCGCTATTTCATAGCAATATTGCAGTTACAAACACAGGATTTTTTGACAGTTATTTTCATTATATATAAAGTTCATCATTGTTTGTGCGCAGTGTGGTGTCATACAAGGGGATGTAATATAAAGTAATAGCAAAACAATTTCCGATGCACGTGATAGTGAGATGAAATTCACCTCATAAATTAATCACACTGCCAGAGTGTGATTAATTTATGAGATGAATCTTAATGTAAAATTGTGAAACAAGAAAATCTACAAAATAAATTAGTTATTTTTTGTAAACATTGCTGTGTTAATCCAAGGGAAACTACTTGTCAGCAGTTAAGTTTACAGATAAACAAATTTGCCTAACCAAACCAAACAAAAAAATGCTTAACGTTTCGGAAAGTTTATCTCTTTCTGTCGTCGGAAGCAAAAAAAAAAACAAAGAATAAAGAAAAAAAAAACGATTTAAAATATTTAAATTCACCTATTCGAGAACACTTTAGCTTTTAAAAACCGTTGACGTTCTGTTAAAATGACATTAATGTCATTTTTATCTGTAAACTGAACTGTGCTGATAAGTAGTTTCCGTTGGATTAACACAGAGATTGTAGATTTTCTTGCATTGGCGAAAACCCATATAGGATTTTTTTGGAGATGAATCCGCCACATAGGTATAGACATTTTTTAATATATTTATTATATCATTTTTTTATGTTTTATTTTTAATTTAATAATTAATATCTTAGTAATTAATTTATTTATTATTTATGTTTATTTATTAACAGTAGTCACTAACACTCACAGTAGAAATGTGTAAATTTAGGGCAGCAGCTACTCGCTCCAAATCGAAATAAGTAGAAATAACTTTGAAAGTGGTATCACAGATTATACAGATTATAATCTTTGTTTTTTCTTTATTGTTTTTCGTGGTTCCAATTTTCGGAATCGGGCACTAGTTAGGTTACTAGTTTGCGTACATAGCACGCCCACTTATGGCCTCTAAAACTGTGCACAGCGCCTGACCGCCACAGTTATTAGAGAGATATCGCAAAACCGAATAGCGTCATGCAGTATTTACGCGTACCTTATCATGGTTACGACACAGGTTACGATATGCGCGAGTCAATTTTTAACGCAACGCCCGCTAATAACGTTATCGCCTGACGTAATTTGCGGATCAATTACACCAAGCGCTATTTCTAAATAACGTTTAAAAATTGCTTAAATGGGTATGTGCGGGTATTTGACAACCGGGGCCGGCCGGTTGTTTGAATTGTTTTGAATTATTACTTTAGTTTTATTAGGTAATTTGATATATAAGTAGCTGGGATTAGTTTTAATTAAATAAATATGGCTCAAAATATGGATTCCGCCTCTTCAAATATTAAAGAACCTATAAAGAGGTTTAGGCAGTTAGCAGATGACGACTTAGCCCTTCTAAGAGAATTTGTTGCTTGTTGCTCTAAACCCACTGGCAGACGTTGAAAAATAAAGCACTGGAAATAAGCACTTTAGCCATTTAGTTTTAAAATACCTAGTAAACAAAACAATTTCAAAGTTTTAAATTCAAAGTTAGGTTAAGTTTAAATAGCGGACGCGACGCGAACAGAATTCTTTCCGATCCGATAACTATAAATGAAGAGAGTTAATACCTAATACCACCTCACGTAAAGGAAATAACACCTGGCCTTATTAACGTCCATGCACGCTATTCGGTTTAGCGATATCTCTCTATTACGCTGTTTATTGTTATTTTACACGAGTTTATTTTTGCGCACAGGAAATTTTACTCGTTTGCACATCGTCATAAAAAACAATTTTCGTACCACGAATTAGGGATAAGATTAAGATTTTTATCTGTATACATATAGTATACTTAATCTGTGGTGGTATAATGTGTTTACCAATCAAACTTACTTCTCTGCAGTCAAGGGTAAGAAAGGACTTTTATTGTCAAGTTCTCGTTCAAAATAGTTAATCAGGAAAGCTACAAGCTCTTTGCTGCGACTGTTTAAATCTTCAACGCACAATTTCAAGAAATTCAATATAAAAACTCGAAAATTTAGTCCTTGAAAGAACTTTGTGCTTAAAAGTACAATTTAAAAAAAAAGACTATAAAAATCGATAAAAAAACGAGAATTACTCCCAAAGATTCAACAACAACACAATATTATACAAAATAATGACTGACATGATAATTATCAAATAATAAAAGACAACCTTACTGATCGCGATGATAAAAATCGCTCTAAACTAATTTTTGATTTTTTTAATTAAACTAAATAAAATATCTATTACAATCATTTGCTCTATAATATAAAATGAAGAGCTGCTCAGTACCTTAAATTAAACAACAAATTTAAACATTTTTGCCAAAATTTTATTTAGTCAGGTTTATAGAGGCTTTAGTGTCAATTTAGATATGATTGATGACGTGCGTGGGAAAATTTTTTGCGATTACCGTTAAGTAAGTGCAACTATCATATTACCAACACAATAAAGTTTCTTTCTCTTTTATTACAGTCTTTAATTTTGTTACAAAAATAAAATAAGTATACAAAAAATGTAACAGGTTAAAAAAATAATCAAACCAATTTAAAAAAAGGACTAAATTTAGGTAAAAAAAATAAAGCTGTGATCTGTTAGATAAAATAGTAGACAAGGCCAACAAAAAAGTTTATTGAGTGCCTTACAACCACATAACCAGCGTTCACTTTTATAAAAATTTTCACTAAGATGACGAATGCACGATTAATTTAGTGTTAATATTGAAATATCAACAGAATATTGAAAATATGCTTTGGATGTCCTTCTTCAATAGTTTTTAATTTTTCTGAATAGACCATAGAACTGAAAGATGATTGCAAAATTATTTCTATTTTACAGCACTCAGATTCGATTATCGCGACGCGCCGCGATATTTTTTATTTTATACCGCGAACGAGATGTGTTTAAAAAACCGCATCACCCACCGGCTAAAACAGCGAACGGGAGACGTATCGTGGACGGAAAGTTCGTTGACCACGGCTTGCGTTCGGCCGCGTTCAGAATGTAATAAGGACAGTCGCATCTTGGCGCTGTCGAGATATTTTTATTTCTAGCGTTTAGCGTAGGTCTTAGCGTTATCAAACCAACTTGACAAAATAACGTTTGCTCCAAGTTTGCTCTAATAGCGGAATTGTGGCGGTATTTTATTTTGAAACAGCAATATCTTTCTAATATTAACAGATGCGAATCCTGGCGGACATTTTTCGAACTTGAAGATAATTTATGGCGATTTACTAATTAGAATTTTCATCATAAAGTTTTATTACCCATATCTACCTTAGGTATTGGTAATAACTGATGAGTAAATAACAACTAATCAAAAAATACGAATAAAGTAACCTTTAATCTAGTAATAATTTACATTAACATCAATTAACATCTGTTAACCAAAACAAAAACGTGCTCCCAACTTTGTTTGACGTTTGCTATACGAAATATTTAACATTTTCACTTATGAAAGTAAATAATAGATTATTCAAATAATTCATTTAATTAATTACATCTTTCAGCTAAATTGTACCGGGTGTCCCACTAAGAATAGCTCTCGGCTGTATCTCGGAAAGTATTAGCCGTAGGGGCTGCGGAAAAAAATATTTATAGCTAAAGAGGCTACGAGAAATTGCTGGAAACTATTTTCAAGTTTGTAGAACGACCGCTAGGGGGCGCAACTGCAACAAAAAATAAGAAAATGGAGTTTTTACACAATTTTGCCTATATAAGGTGTACTATAAGTAATAGCTTCTTAATCTTCAGTAAATTTTGAATATTTTTTGTTAGAGCCATTTTCCCCTATCTACCAAAATAAAGTGGCGGGGGAAGGTTAGATCTCTTTTTATTTAAATATTAATAACTCTGGACTGGATGATCAGAATCCAACAAACGAGGGCTCGTTTAAAAGAGCGTTTCTTACTCTATATTATACCATATAAACAATAATAATAAGTTTTTGAACATAGACGCTAGGGGGCGTTGTCTTACAATTTAACAAACATTGCGCGTTTTTTCAAAAAAATTAAATGCAATAGTATATGTAATTTTAGCTGATCGGAAAGAGTAGTAAAAGCTTAAAAAGTCAGCGAAAACCGCATCTTGATATCTTCTTTCAAACCGAAGATATTAGCAAAATTATAATAAATACCAAAAAATAAGCCTTTAATTACCTTATTTTTACAACACGGTGTCAGTAGCCCTCTTGATTATGCCCATTCTAACAAAAATAAGATATAAACAGTTAGTTTATTTTAAAATCGACGAAATACCAGAATACCATAATACCAAAGGTACTAATATCTAATAATTAAGATATTAATATCAGTGGACAAGAAACGATGATTCAGTGAAATCATGGTAGGCTTTGGAAAAAAGTTGCTTTTGACGTAATAGTGTAAACGTCAAATTGTTATTAGATCAACATTTTGATAGCCTTAGCAGCGTTTTTTATTGCTTTTATTATTTGAAGTAGTTGAAGTTGTTGGCATTTTGAAAAAGAAATCAACAACGCCCCCTAGCGTCTATGTTCAAAAACTTATTATTATTGTTTATATGGTATAATATAGAGTAAGATAACGTTTGTATGATTCTGATCATCCAGTCGAGAATTATTAATATTTAAATAAAAAGAGATCTAACCTTCCCCCACCACTTTATTTTGGTAGATAAGGGAAAATGGCTCTAACAAAAAATATTCCAAATTTACTGAAGATTAAGAAGCTGTTACTTATGGTACACCTTATCTAGGCAAAATTGTGTAAAAACTCCATTTTCTTATTTTTTGTTGCAGTGGCGCCCCCTAGTGGTCCTTCTACAAACTTGAAAATAATTTCCAGCAATTTCTCATAGCCTCTTTAGTTATAAATATTTTTTTACGCAGCCCCTACGGCTAATACTTTCCGAGATACAGCCGAGAGCTATTCTTAGTGGGACACCCTGTACATATAAAATGCGGATTTTCATGCATCTGTCATCTGTCGTTGATACGATCATCTGAAAGCGGTCTGATTGGTCATAGTGTTATCGCGCTTCATTTCTTCAGAAAAATGTTTACCCCTGCTCGACAACAGAGGAAGTTAAAATAAATTTAACTTTTCGTACGATAACGAATGTTTTGACAACTGTAATTTAACCTTACTTTTTTGCTGACAAATTTAGGCATTTATCGCCATCAGGAAGTGGTAAAAATTAGTAGTGTCTGATAAGTCAAACTGACAGAAAACGTTATGAAAATGAAAAGAAAAAATGACAATTGGAACTGTATTGTGAATTGTTATTGTCAAATATTTTTGACCAGTCACTAACACAGGCATGAGAATATAATAAATTTAAAAACTATTGAGTTTTCTGACCAGTACAGACTTCTATCATCATATCGTCAGAAATTGGATGCATGAAAATCCGCCTAATTATTCAAATAATCTACGTATTTTGGAAGTAGATATTAGTTCTGAAAGTAACAAAACAATTATACAGAATAAAATCAGACATAATAGTTATGCACAAATGAATAAAACAACAGAATTAATCAAAAAAGAATTTCAAACACACGTCATTCGTTCACAATCACTATACAAACCCAAAAAGGCGTCAACTTGACCGGCGATCCCTTTAATGGCCTTGAGAAAAATGACAGGAAGAAGTTGCAAACATGGATGCTGACACGGATCCACCACTCCATCAGTGCTGATAGCAAATTGTAGAAATTTCTGCGTCTGACTGATTATCTGTGAAATAAATAGATTTATACAGGGTCCGGCAATAGTGCGCCGGGCATCTGTAGCTCCTAGAAAAAAAAACTTGAGAATTTTGTTTAAGTGCAAACCTAAAGTATGTACCAGGATGTATTTCAGGAAAATATTTTAACTTCTATAGGGTGGCTCAAAAAAGTGTGAATGGACCTGGATGATTTTTTTTAAATGGAACACCCTGTATATTATTGCATTTTTGGCTTTCTTTCCGATCACTTTACATAACCCTAAGATATGAATAAATACATTTCGATAGTTTCAGAGATATTAAAAAATAAATCAAAAATATATATTTTTCAGCCCATCTTAAAAAAATTATTAAAAATACAAGAACTATTCTGAAATCAAAACTATATTAGGTATTTACTTTAGATGGTCTGTACTGACTTTGCTATAAATATGAATATCGTAAATTATACAGGATGTTCAAAATTCTACGCCAAACTTTCTAAAATATAAAATAATTTTTCTTCGTTTTTTTAAATGGAACACCCTGTATATTATTTTTTCAATAGACGGAGAATTAAAAAATGAACATTTTTTGTATTTACAGTATTTCAAAATTTTTAACGGTTTCCCAGATATTTGCGGTTTTATATTTCATATGGCATTTTCCACAGTAAATTTTTATCAAAGCCACCCAATGGTTTTTCTCTCGTATTTTATCATTAAAAGCGCCATATGAAATAATACTGCGTGTATCTGCGAAACCGTTAAGAATTTTGAAATACTCTCTAAATACAAAAAATGTTCATTTTTACACTCTCCATCTAATAAAAAAAATATACAGGGTGTTCCATTTAAAAAAACAAAGAAACAATATTTTATATTTTAGAAAGTTTGGCGTAGAATATTGAACATCCTGTAGGATTTACGATTACCATATTTATAGCAAAGTAAGAATAGACCATCTAAAGTAAATACCTAATATAGTTCTGATTTCAGAACAGTTCTTGTATTTTTAATAATTTTTTTAAGAAGGGCTGAAAAATATATATTTTTAATTTATTTTTTAATATCTCTGAAACTATCGAAATATATTTATTTATATCTTAGGTGTATGTAAAGTGATCTGAAAGGAATCCAAAAATGCAATAATATACAGGGTGTTCCATTTAAAAAAAATCATCCAGGTCTACTCACACTTTTTTGAGTCACCCTATACAAGTTAAAATATTTTCCTGAAATACATCCTGGTACATACTTTAGGTTTGCACTAAAACAAAATTGTCAAGTATTTTATTCTATGAGCTACAGATGCCCGACGCACTATTGCCGGGCCCTGTATATAGGAAAGTCAATAAAAGTTGTAGTACACGTCATCAACATATTTGAAAAATGCACGTCGCAATATTGCCACGGCTACTTTTTTTACTTTGACTTTTGACAAATGTTAAATATTCGGAATTTTGCCATCGATTTTTTACTTTAATTTTAGACACAATACATATAAAATATATTTTTTTATATCTACTTTGCTACTTTGTCTATTATTATTCCACAAACAAATTCTAATTAAATGAAGTTATTAACAAGTTATCTGAATGAAACCTAAAAACTGTAACGTTCTAATTGGTTAATAATAGTCTTAACTTTCTATGAGATTCTACTCACAGTCAGTAAACTGATATAGAGTGCATCTTAAACATGCTGAAAGATCTTAACAAAAAAATACCTCAGGTTTTGTTAAATTAACTGGATTTCCTATGGTATTCAAAAATCTATACCAACTCTGTGCCATGCAGTCATTTGACATGTTCTTAGGTATCAAATCTTCTTCCCCTGGTTAAAAAATAGTATAAATAATATAATTTTACAAAAATTAATAAAATAAAGACCTATTTTTAGTTCAGGAAACGATGGTCCGTACATAAACACCAAAACTTTCGAAGTTAGAGCTAAGTTCACTCTATTCCATTGCTCTACTAAAGCGACTCTATGTCTCCAGTTCATGCAACTCTCCCTCAGTGTTTTCCATAGAGGAGGAGCGGGAAAACATTGAGCGCAAGCTATTAACCATATCTTAAATAAAAGAAACAGTTTATTTACTCTTTTTTATTTAATAAAACATAAAAAAATAGGTTAGGTACCTCAAAAAGTACACTCAACACCCTTTCACACAGCTGATCCGCTACGTCATCTTTGACAGTTGGAGGAGACAGAAGAATGTCATTGATTGCTAAGAGAAAGAGTAGGAGAGCCTCCCATGTATCCCTGTCGAGGATTTTTGATTTGTGACTAATGTCTTGCAGAGTTCTTAGAACTCTGTGACATAAAACAGCTTGGCGGTGTATTGTATCAGGCCCTAAAAATATAAAAATATTAATATATATCTGTGGATACATACAATTTTACTAATAAAAAACATCACAGAAACATGATATATTTATTTAAAGTACTAGAAATAATGTCTAATACACATAATGTAGATAGCTACATATTTATTTAACTTCCATGCTATTCAAAATATTTTTTTTAAATAAATATAGCAATTTAAAAAAGGCATCCATTTTTCTCAAAGAGACCTGGTTCAAATTAAAAAAGGTAGAAAAAAGACTCAAAGTCTCGGTCTCAACGTTTATACAATGTTAAACTGTTACACGTGTTTCGCTCATATACGAGCATCATCAGACCTAACAAGAAAGAACCTAAATAAATAATTTTTATTTTTATTTTTTTTTATTTTTATTTTATTTTTTGTTATTTATTTAGGTTCTTTCTTGTTAGGTCTGATGATGCTCGTATATGAGCGAAACACGTGTAACAGTTTGTATAAACGTTGAGACCGAGACTTTGAGTCTTTTTTCTACCTTTTTTAAATATAGCAATCACTAAACTTCTAAAAAAAATCAATTCACAGTGTGACCAACGGTCAAGCGTTCCAAAAATCTCCATTATGTGGTAACATTTTCACTCAATTTTTTTGACAAAATATGTGAGCTATCGTAGCGCACATTTTAAAAATATATTCACAGATATACAGAGTGATTCAGACATATTTATATATTTTTTTATTCAAGGCTGAATATTTTACTTGCTCAATAAACGTCTTTAAAATACCATGACATTTTTCTAAAACTGATTAAAATTCTGTCTTAAACATGTTTGGGTTTTCATATTTAATTAAAAAAACAACTCCAAATACAAGATATCATGATACCACTTTCAAAGTTAGTTTTTATTAAATTCTGTTTTTATTAGTTTGTGCATTAATAGCACCCCCATACTTGTTATTATGACGTTGTAAGATGTACATCAATAAATAAATAACCCATAATAACGTTTAGAATAATCTTTATAATGGACTAGTTTTTGCCAATATGTAATAAGTAAGATAAGCTATAAAACAAATAAATCAATTAATTACTAAAATATTAGTTATTAAATTAAAAATAAAACGTAAAACTCTTTAAAAAATGATATAATAAATAATATATTGTTTGTCAATTTTAAATTAAGGTTCATCTCATAAATCCATCACAATCTGACAGCGCTGTCGCCATCGCTTGTCACTCAAAGTTGATCACGTGCATCGGAAATTGTTTTGCGATTACGATAGTAATTAATTAAAAAAAAATAATAAAATTTTAGCATAAAAATGTATTAGATTTAAACTACATATCTATAAAATATTTTTAAAATATGTATTACTATTCAGAGCATAATTTATTAAAAAGTTGAAAATCTGAAATAGAAAACCTGATATGGAGATTTTTTTCGAATACTGAGCCACCCTGTATAGACACTCTCATTTAGACACTCTATAGATGTAGTTTCAAAACAGCACATATATACATGCAGGGCAGAAGCTTCTTATAATTCACAAAACCTTAAGAATATGAAAAATTCATACCCAAGTCCATATATAAAAATGGCCAGTCTTAAAAAATATGACAGAATAATAATAATTTTATATCTTTGACTTAATAATTTACTCAGAACTTACCTTCTCCCTTCCTAGGTACAAACAAATAATGCAAATGAGAAATAATCTTTCTTGCATAGATGTTTGGATCTTCGATAATCGGTTTGGGTACGCATATTTTCGGTTCGGGCAACAAAGCTGTCAACCACTCACAATACACGTTTACACAATCTTTGATAGCATCATGTTCTGAAAGCGATAGAGACAGTCCAAAACATAGTACTTCCATACTCCATTGTACCTAAGAAAATAATTAAATAAAGTTTGCTTGTGGGAAAAACCAAATAAATACGAAAATTAATAAAAGTTGGCCTGTACATCATCAAAATATTTTGACAAATGCATGTTGCAATGTTGTCAAGATTACTTTTTAATAACTTCTGATAAGTGTTAAAATTAGTAAATTTGTCATCGATTTTTCATTTCAATTTTAGATGCTATACAAATATAAATCTTTTTTTATCTACATTATTACTTTGTCTATGATTATTACACAAATTCTAATGAAATGAAGTTATTAGAAAGTTTTTTGAATGAAAGCTTAAAAATTTAAAGTTCCAATAGGTACTTTTATTTTATTTTTTGCCATACTTTTATTCATTTCTTTATACTTACATCTCGATCATTAATAAGAATGCTCGGCTCAGGAGCTTGAGTTATTCCCAAATTACTTGCTAGTTGTTTTACCAGACTCAAAGTTATTTCTTTACTGATAGGTAAATCAAATTTTTCTAACACACTTTGGCCCTCTTGTTCTCCTTGTTGAACCACTAAACCTAAGGACGTCCATTCTCCATACATGCCCTTATTTTCGTTGCTGTCCTAAAAAATAACATTACTACTTACTTTATATCACTTCTAAATTAACTGAATTTAATGTACTAATTAAAAAACTCTTTTTTTTTAAATTATTTATACCATATAATCTTCTTTTGAAATGTGTGGCGCCTACCTTAAGGTTCATACGATTAAACAATCCCAAATTCATAGGCAAGCCGTTTGAGTGGAAAGATAACTGTACAGAAAGGTTGATTACACCTACGGAATTATTAATAATTTATCAACAAATACATTGTTTTTTAATTACTGTTTTTATTTTCGTCCACGTCAAAGATCAGCTGTTTTTGACGGCGCCGGAGCGCGTTCTTCTTTTTGTCCGGTGTGGCGTTTGGATTCTGTAAGAGCGAGCTGGGTATAAAGTCCAAACTATGGGAAAAGAAGAAGAAAACTTGAAATACGGGGGTTTAATGAAAAGAATAATTTAATAATTCAGTAAAAATTATTTTAAAATAGACATTTTTGTAATCAGTTGCAGTTTGAATGGTCCTATGACACGAAGGATAATAATTGACCGAGGGACAATAATTGTACGAGGTTATTTATTAACAGTTTATAATTTCCGTGGTGCATAGATAATTCTATTTTTACTGAATTTGGTATACTTATTTTGTCCCCTTTTGACACAAATGAAAAAAAACGACACAAATGTTGCATTTATTAATCTTCCGGTAGGTAGTTTTGATATAAAGGATAGTTCGTGTATTTGTAATAACTATTTTTTTTTAAGGAAGTGTGAAAAATATTTATTTTTTATTTATTTATTAATATCCCTGAAACTATCAGAATATATTTACTCATATCTTAGAATTATGTAAAGTGATCTGAAAGGAAGCCAAAAATGCAAGAATATACAGGGTGTTCCATTAAAAAAAAATCATCCCGATCCACTCACACTTCTTTGAACCACCCTATATAAGGTGAATTTCAGTTGATTTCAACAAATTCTGACTGCAGCGCTTCAACGGCAGAAATAAGAAGTTATCAGTATGTATATCACGCCGGCGCCCCCGCGCCCTCATTTTGATCACTTTGAAATAATATTGAATTCGTGGTTTTGTCATAATATTTAAGTATTTTAGTTTTTTGCTAGTATGCAGTCGTTGAGTGCTAGTGCAGTTGCTAGTGCAGTTGGTTTCGAGTAGTAAAAAATAAGTGAAAAAGAATTCGAACGTCGGCGTCTTGTTCTGTTGTGACAATTTCAAATGTTAATAAAATTGACTAAAAAATGTAAAGCGTAAAGGAGGGCGTAATTAGGGCGTTGTTGGGTTCAATAACATTCAATAACTCAACTCTCCCGGATATTCAACTTTCCCGAAACAACATTTTATAGCTTCATAGTTTCTCACACCGATTTGATCAAAAGCAAAAATGGATTCAATCAGTTCCATGAAACAAGTGAGTAAACTAAGTGCTCGTTGCATAATCAAAAAATTAAATAGACATATATATACTCTGAGAAGATAAAATATAATTTGCAATAATAATGGTATACTTTTTTTAATCAACTAATGAATAAATATTTTATGAACATCTAAAATTATAATTATGTACCTTTAAAAAATGTCGTTATAGCCAAAATAGCCTCAATTATGCTCCACTAGCAAAACCGGTGATTAAAATATGCTCGCTACCGTAATTGAACTTATTTAATTTTTTTTTAACTGGAATAATAGCTTTTTTCGTTTTCCTGTTATTACCGATTCTGAACCGTCCGAGAACTGTGATGCGTATGCGCAGAAGGAAATAATAGCTTTGTTCGGGTTCTTTTTATTACCGATTCTGAACCGTCCTAGAACTCTGCAGGGCATGCGCAAATGAAATAATGTCTTCATATTTCCTTCTGCGCATACGCATCACAATTCTAGGACGGTTCAGAATAGGTACTAAGAGAAACCCAAAGTAAGCTAATATGAAGACATTATTTCATTTGAGCATGCGCTGCAGAGTTCTAGGGCGGTTCAGAATCGGTAATAACAGGAAAACGAAAAAAAAAAATCCAAGCTAGACCTTCTGAAGATATCAAAATATTTACTTTTTTATTTTTATTTTCAGAATTTTTACAAATTATACTTCCTAACACTTTTAGAATAATTAAATAATAAATTTTTCGTATACTCGCTATATATTCAAACCCATATATTTGTGTATACTAGTTGTTTACGATATTCTCCCATGGTGGCAGCACCGGCAGAGAATGCACCAAGCCTATAGAAATAAAAGAATTCTAAACATTTTTTTGGCAAAAAAATTATGAACAATTACTTAGGATTTAGGATACATCTTGTAGAAACAATGTTAAAGTGTATGTAGCTTGTGTGTAATTTATGACACCGTTATTTATACATACACAAGGATGATATAGGTACTCTGTATAAATATAAAATAATCGTTAGCTAGGAATGGGCTGTAAATCACACATGATTATTTTAGAGGCGTGCCAGAGGCGCTTCGGAAATAAACCGGAACTGGTGCACTTCCGGCCAGAACCGGCATATACATCCGGTTTAGTAGGAGCAGTAACGGCCGTTATAGTCTAGAAATTATGAATTTGCGGCCTGGCGGGAAGCTTAGAGGCTACGTATACTTCCGAGCTCGTTTTGCACAAGCTATATACGGTGGAATATTTGCATAATACAGTTTTACTAAACTGGAAACACGGGTTTTACTTTAAATATATGTTTTATTTTTCTTGGTACGAAGCTAAGAACTGTAGTTGGCAAATAAGAGGTTATTTTTATTAGTTTACTCTTTGAAATAAAAAGATTATGAAAGGATCATAGCAAAAACATATAGATGGAGCGCTATGGGGGCTTAATATATGACTCTTAAATTTTATTTAAAACATGTACAGAAATAATTTTCTCTTTTCAAAGCCAGAACCCATATAACACAACACAATCCTATAGATATCTTGAGGATATCCTCCAAGGATATAATAGTAAATATCTTAAGGATATCCAAAAACCAGAGGAAGATATTTATGGGATATCCAGATGGGACAAAAAAAGTCGTCTTCAAGACATCCCTAGGCAAGTCTTTTACGATTATTTAGGATATTTCTAGGATAATACAAGGACGATGTTGGGAGCATTATAGAATATTTTTAGGACATTATATGAGGACTGTTATTTGACAATACTTACTTCATCCTTAGTTTATAGTAAAAACGTTCGCGATTTAGTTTTATTTAGCCACATTTTGACGTTATTCATTGGATATTTTTATTAACAGCTCTAAAATATACCATGAATATACCTACCTCATATTATGTCAATGAATTTTGCGTCAAAATTTAGAAGTTTACTTGTATGAGTTAAGAGCTTTCAATTTATACTGTACCATAAAAAAAAAACGGCGTTCAATTGGTTTGAAAATTACGATCGATTTTCCCCATATAATTTTACATACAAATGACAGCAATCTTCATTTCCAAGCCACCTCTGACGCTTTTTTCGATCGTATGGTACATCAAAGTTAGCACACAGGATACAGGTATAATTTCTAACACCACATTCCAGAAACTCAAAATTTAAACACAAAAATAGGATTTCTGTTTGAATAGATCAAACACGAAAATGGGTTTAGGGATAAAGAACAGCTTTTCAACAAATTTTCACCTATAATTTTGTCACAAATTTTTCATTGTGAGACCCTGTGTCGTTCGTCGTTTTTCGACATTAGTTGAGGTTAGGACAGAATTTCTGCTAGAACAAGGCTAGAACTATGAGTATAAGAAAAAAAATAAGCTAGGGGTGCTTGTCAGATATAACACCCTCCGAATTTGGCATTTATTTATATATCAGTCGAAAGCATACACTTAAATAAGAATTTTAAGCAAAAAAATATTGCGGATGAACCACAATTTATTGAAAAATAAATTAATTAAAATTGCATTTTTAGGTTATGGTGAAGTTGTATAAGCGTGTAATTATTGTAAAATATGACGATTATATGCATTTTTTATTAATATAAAGGTCAGAATTAATCAGTGAGAAGCATTAATAAGTCATAAGTCAAAAATAGAGTTGGTGATATCTTTTGTAATATTTGCCTCTCAATTTCAATCAATTTACTCTTTCGATTCAAACTTGCCTCCGGAGCCGTCTGTCACCATTTGTTGTTAAGGATGTAAGCTGCCTAAGCATTGTTGCCAAAGTTATTTCTTGTTTGTATGATACATAATACCGTATGATCGAAAAAAAAACGGCGTCCAGCTGGCTTGGAAATGACGATCGATGACATTCCCCATATAATTTTACATATAAAATGACAGCGATGTTCATTTCATAGCCATGGCTGACGCCGTTTTTTTTCGATCATTCGGTACGTTACATGATACAAAAAAAGAGTTGAGACCGAAAGAGTTTTGATTGCGTTGGTTTCAACCTTTGCGTGAGTGTGTTAATCTTTTGTTTTGTTTTTTATTTTAATACGAATCTGATTGCTTTCACTTGATTTTACGTGCCGGTCGCCGGTCTAACAAATACTTATACAGTAGCGCTGTCACGATAAGAACAGATTATAAGTTATTGTAAAATCAAGACATTGAAAGCACTCAGATTCGTATTAAAATATAAAAAAAACAACAGATTAACCCCCAAACAAGTTGAAACCAACGCAATCAAAACTCTTTCGTGCAACTTTGTAGTTATAAATAGTCAGATCTCGTAGGCAAAATATCAGCTATGGGCAGTCCCTCAGGCGATCGCCTTTTCTTGATTTTAAAATAATCTGTTGTTAACGCGAGTTTTCTTCCGACCAGCACGTGTTTTTTTAATGAACCTTTCAAGAAGAAATGAATGAATCTGGCAACGCCGACAAAATTTGGAGGAGTTTTCGCATAGAAAGTAGCCTGTTGTAGCCAGGGTTCGGAAAACTACATGTTACTTTTAAAAACTACATAAACTACATTGCATGTAGTTAATGTAGTTTATGTAGAGGGTGTAGTTTATGTAATCTATGTATGTAACTTTCAAATGTCAAAGGTTTGAGGTGAGGTTATAATAAGTTGAAGCTTTAAAAACACATAATGTATTTAAGAAAACAGAAGAAATATGGCTTTAAATATAATATTTACATCATATTATCTCTATTACACCTCATATAAAGGAAAATTATTCATAATATCAATACATAGTTTAATAACGTAGTTTTCATGTAGTTAATGAACGGGAAAAGACGTAGTTTTTGAAGAAAAACTACACGTATTTAATCAGGTAAATTACGTCTTAATTAACTACTTCCGAACCCTGGTTGTAGCAATAATTAGATGTTTACTTTTTCATTAAATTATGGATCATCCACACTTTTTTTTGGCTTGAAATACTTATTTCGATGTATGCTTTCGAGTGATATAAAAAAAAGTA